CTTATGATCACCAATTATTCATACAAATACTATTAATATCTAATGATCATGCAATACTAATATTATTTTCTCTAAATTAATATCCCCAATAATCATGCAAGACATCAATTAAACAAAGTATAAAACACCTATGAACTTGTTAATTTAATAATGATTGAAAGAGAAAGATTGGTTTAGTCCACATAATCCCTTGTCTCGTTTTATCCTATAGATCCATTAACTAATTGAGGTACGGTCGCCTGACGATATAATTAATTAGGATTATAATTATGTGCAATAGGATAAAAGTTAATCACGAACGAAAATCAAATATAGATTAAAACTTCAAAATCCCATAAATTCATAAACAATAGTTCTCATAGCCTTAGCTATGGACTTAGTTACTCATGCTATAGAGAAGAACTAAAACAATCATAAACAAAATCATAGAGAAAAGCAAACTAGAAAGAGATGATTTTTTAGTCTTTAAGTACAGTCACTCGAAGCTCCAAGTTCCACTAAGAGTATGCCAATGATCCCGTGCAAGAGAGACAAGATGAAAGGTGTATCGAAAAACAAAAGACAAGATGTCTGAGGTCTCTCTTTAATAGGGCTTGAAAACCCTAAAAGTTCTTCATTAATTGGTCTTGTCACAGATGAGCATGGTCGTGTAAGGCCATAAGCACGGCTGTGCATAAGTTCGAAGCACTCCCATGCTTGATGATAGGGTCTGGGCATGCTGACTATTGCAAAGCTCTATTTTGTAACCAATTTTGGGCCCAAAACACATTTAGACCTAGTTGTGGTCTTTTTATGCTAAACTAGACAATATACAAATAAATCAATGTAAAACCCAAATAAAATAAAGTTCAAACATTAATATATGAGCTATAAAAAAAGGTCTAATTTAGACTTATCAGAAAGCTATAACAAGAAATCTTGATTATCTCAAGAAAACTATAAACTTGGGATTATATTACAGTAATTATACTATTGTATTGGAAGGTTATTCCAATGCCAGTTGAATTACAAATATAAGTGATAATAAGTCCACTTCAAGATAGATTTTCACCATAGGTGGTGGAACAATAAGTTGGGCCTTAAAGAAACAAAAATGTATTTCACATTCTATTATGGAGGCTAAGCTTATAGCTTTATCATCTGCTGGTAAAGAAGCAGAATAGCTTAGGAATTTGTTATATGATATAAAGTTATGACCACAACTAATAAATGTCATTTCAATCTTTTTTAATAGTGAATCAACATGTCTCGAGTACATACCAAAGTTTATAATAGTAAGTCTAGACATATAAGCCTAAAACATGAGTATGTGAGACAATTAATAGGAGATGGTATAATTACCATCACATATGTAAAATCTCAAGGGAATTTAGCAGACCCACTGATAGGAACCCAACCTTATTCTAATAGAACACTAGTTTTAAGGTTTAATGGGTAACAATTAGTTATTTAACAATTTAAGCACTGAGATATAGGATTTAGTGCCATATATATATATATATATATATATATATATAGAGAGAGAGAGAGAGTGAGTGAGTGAGTGAGTGAGTTAAAACTCTTAATGGATTAATAATATTATTTATCAAAGGATTCCACCTATATAGGAGTGGTGCCGCTTCAGTCGAGAATTTTAAAGATTTTATTCTCATAAATTTTCATGAAACCAAGATAAGCACATAGAGAGCAAACTTTACACTAAAGGAATGTGAAATATATTTACAAGTTTAATGTAGATGATTTAAATAACTAAGAAAGATGAAACGGTTATTAATTGTTTCTGTTATAACGTTCACAATGTTACAAGCCATTTACTTGTGACAGCAAGAACTAAATTAGAACTATGGACAAGTGTGTTGGTTCACATACAATGCCTTTGATGGCATCGGATGATGAAAGGACATGACTTTCAAATGAATAAAGAATTATATAAAGATGTAATTGTTCACTTGTATCTAAATCATCAACAATAAATAATCCCATTATTGAACAAGTAATGGACTTTTACTTTGTGTAACAAGTGAGTTTGAGTGTTCTTAAATTTCAAGTTCAAGAGAGAAATTTAAAGGTTTCATTGTATCTTATGGGAGCATTATCATCAACCCATAACAACTTTGTGTGGGGATGAATATCTCTCTAAAGATAGCGATTGATTTCGTATCTTGAAACCAATATTTCAAATTCTTGTTCAACATCTTCTACACTAAATTATTAACAATTAAGACCTTTAGCATAACAAGAATAAAATTGTCCATAGCAAAGAAACAAAGATACATGTGGTAAGAAGGTGCGGCCTCTTGTCATTGGTGGGGATGGAATACAGGTCGAGTATTACTACAATGGTGAGATTTTGGTCTAAAAAACCCATGTTATATGTGAAGGTGAAGTTGAACTCAAAACCATCATCAGCGACCTCTGTCGTATTTGAAATCAGTTCTTAATCACTTGCAGTTGTCAAGAATCAGAAGTAACTAACAACTCAAATAGATGTATTTTATTTTATCTTTTGAAAGTAAAACACAGTTTACTTGATGTAATTTTTCAGGCAACACACACCTACATGCATCCTTAAACACTTATCCAAAAATCATTTCAAGTCATACTAAATGCTCAATCTACATCACAAGTTTCAAAAGTAAATATACAAATGATATAATATAAATTTATATTTTTTGTAATCTTAAAATATAATGTATCTATATAAACAACTTCACATTTGTGCATTACTTAATTACTAAAGTGTTAACATCAATCTTTAAAATTATTTTTAAATAACTAAAGATGATAATTTTATATTAAAATATATCTATTAGATCAATAATACAAATAATACAAAATAATTTATTTTAAAAAAATATTCATTTTGGGTTGTTAAAATTAATCTTAAAAATTAATATTTACTTAAGTATAATATTAACAAAACTTTTTAAATGTTATTGATTTTAGTAAATTTGTACTATGATAAAAACCATTTCATTTTGCGTTGTGACTTCATTATTTTAAAAACTTGTGTACAAGAAATTACCAAAATAAAAATATTTAGTTAATATGAAAAATAAAAGCAATGAATAAAAATTATTAAATCTTATTTGAATAATGGAAACAATTAATAGGTAAATATACAAATAATATATTCTAAATTTATAAATTTTGTAATCTTATAAAATATAATGTATTCTCATTATATATGTCTACGTAATTTCACATTTGGAGCATTAATTATAAAAAAAAATTGTTAGCATTAATCTTTAAAATTATTTTTAAATATCTGAAAATGATAATTTTATATTAAACAAAATTTTTTATTACATCAATAATATGAAAATACAATAAAGTTTTTTTAATAAAAAAATCATTTTTGGGTGGTTAAAATTAAACTTAAAATTTGATATTTACTTAAGTCTAATATTAAGAAAACTATTTAAATGTCGCTAATTTTACCAAATTTGTATTCCGATAAAACTACTTCATTTTACGAGATAATGTAACTTAATTGATTAAAAAACTTGTGTGCATGAAATTACCGAAATGAAAATATTTAGTTAATATGAAAAATAAAAGCAATGAATAAAGACTACTAAATGTTATTTGAATGATGAAAATTAAAAGGTAAATATACAAATGATATAATCTAAATTTCATTTTACGTGATAATGTAACTTAATTGCTTAAAAAATTTGTGTGTGCATGAAATTACCAAAATGAAAATATTTAGTTAATATAAAAAATAAAAGTAATGAATAAGGACTACTAAATGTTATTTGAATGATGAAAATTAAAAGGTAAAAATACAAATGATATAACTTGCAAATATAATGTATTATCATTATATACGTGTACATAAATTCACATTTGCAAAATTACTCAATTACCAAAAATATTAACATCAATCTTTAATATTATTTTTAAACAACTAAAAATGATAATTTTATATTAACAAAAAATATTTATTACATCAATAATATAAGATGCAATGGAGTTTTTTTCTTTTAATCTTAATTTTGGATAGTAAAAATAATCTCAAAAATTGACATTTACTTAAATCTAATAACAAAATTATTTGAATACTTCTAATTTTATCAAATTTATACTACACTAAATTATTTCATTTTACTTAATAAAACGTGACTTATAGCTAATAAATATTAGGTAAAACTAGTATTTTGTTCTCTATTTTTAAAATAAATTTCAATTTCATCCTTATGTTATTTTTTAGTTTATTTTAATCCTTTAATTCTAAAAATATTTCAAATATATTATTTTTTCGTTAAAAACACAACTCTATTAAAAATTTATTTATTTTATATACATTCTCCCGTGCCTCTACTTTTTCCTCCCTTCTCATTCATCTTGTTGTTACTACTATTAATAATAATGACTTTCACACTTTTAATTATTGCCAACAATCTTCTTTCTTTATTGAGATGACTCACTCAACATCTCCAATTTCAAACTCATCATTAACTTAAAAGAATATTATATATCTTCTTTAAATTGATGATAATAATTTCTCTAATATCTTAGATATTAAAAAAATATTTACACATTTTTTAAATAAATTAGTAACTTCAATATTTATTAATATAAAATTAATAATAATAGTAATAATTTCACGTGTGAAGATACAAAATACCCTCATAATTTACATAATACCCTAAAAATTACTAAAAAAAATAAACTTTTATCAGTGTTAATATTTTCTAAAAAAAATAAATTATTTGAAATATTTTCAAGAGTTACAGGACTAAAATAAAGATAGTAAATAAAGTTACAAAAATTGAAACTTTCCTTTAAAGTAGACGACTAATTTTGCCTAAACATTATTTCATAATAAATTGTAGGGAAAGTGGAGATTCCAAGTGGGGTTAACCAAAGTATTCACCTAAAAACGTGAGATTCTCCCACTTTGGACAAACATGTTAGGCGCTGGCAGGACTCATAATGATGGAAAGAAAAAATGAATGTAAAATTTATGTACATGGGTTGAATCCATATCTAATCGTTACCAATTCTTCATGTACTTTATTTATTTGCACCAGGAACCCCATATTGAGAACAGTTGTACTACTATCACAACGCTGACAGCAATGTTCAATATATTGCTACTTAATTACCAAAGAAGCTGAAACCAACACTGAGTTATTGCGAACACTTATTGTTAAGTTGAAAATATTTATCACTAAAACTTTAAGACCATCGCAAGCCCCCCATCAAATACGACATGAAAAAAGTGACTAACACCCAAAAAATGAAGTTACCAAATAACATACATACTAAGATTACAGGAGCGATGGCACGATACATCTTCCGATCACATACAAACTCAGCAGTAAAATATAAAAATTCTAAGGGCAACGAAACAATACACAACCAATGTCTTTAAACAGCAACTTGTCCAAAGAGCTGTTTGCGGATCTGCAGAAAGAAACAATAAACTTTAGAATTGTACTTCTACATTTTCTTTGAAGGGGGAATATGCAGGAATTAATGAATGCTGACACGAAACTATTGCAGATCAAAATATCAACTACATAGAATGACAAATATATTTACAGAATAATTACAAAACACCATTAAGACAAATGACCTCAAAAGGAAATTTTGCAATCTATACTGTCTGCAAAGACAAAATTAAACAAACCAAAGAGGTAAAGGAAATGTAAAGGAAATTGGGCAAAAGTCCTAAGATGGAACATCTCTATTAAACAAGGAAACCGAAAGCGCAAATCACTATTGGCATCAGGGATATCTGGACCAGTCTAGCAGATTATTAAAGTGAATAATATCGAGGAATGAAGTGCAGGCAACACCCAAAGAGAAAAAAAATCTTGAAGAAACAGAAAAGTGTCACAAATGCTCTGAAGTCATCTGAACAAATACTTGAATTGTTTGAAGAACTCCGTCCCTTTTCACTGTTCAACAGCAAATATTAATCTTAATGTCCCTCCCAACATGCTTTATAGTCCGTCAGTGTTAAATCTCCCAGTTGTTGCTCACAGTGTGCATAATTCACCAAATGCATTTTATTTCAACATTGGAAGTCCGATATTTTTTAATATTGATTATAAAAGAACCATAACCTTGGCAACAACTAGTTTTGTAGTAGTTGAAAATATTACAATAAAAATTAGCAGCAAATGTCTAGCATGATCATTATGACACAGAAAGATGCAAAGTGTGACCAATAATTCATCGCAAAAATTTACCTCTGGTAGCTTTTTACGAAACACCACATCCAAACGTGCATCAAGGGTGTTTTCACACACAATCTTTCCATCTCGAGAAGCCAACACCACCCCTCCAGAGCTGAACAATGACAAATATAATCAAGCATGTTGAAATTAAATTATCAATGCCAAAGCAGCTAGACAAATAATATTGTTTCAGGAAGCATCCCCAGTCAACTATACAAATGTCAAACAGTAGTTACTTCTAATTTATGATTTGTCACTAATGGTTCTACTTTCTAACCTAAAGATTATATTGCAGCCAATCAACTAAAAAGGCAAAGTGCAGATGAGAACTAGAAGCAAAGGCCTGACTAACAGAGCCAGACAAATTTATATAAGCCCAATCCCTAAAATAGCAGGTAGTTTAGAGTATGAGCTAGTAGCTGAAGCCTGAAGCTAAACAGTTGCTCGGGATTTAATTATAACAACAACATTACCAATAGGGATCATGGGAATTATGGTGGCTGGGGGCAGGTGGAAGATAGATGTTGTCAATAATGATCTCTGGTGGATCACCACCAGCCTTCTCCGCATACTCTCGAGTAGCTGAATCCAACACTTGCTCTACCAAATGCACATCATCTTTCCGACACCGTAACAAGACAGAAGACTCCTTCAACCTCAGCAAACTCTGCCAAATACAATCACTATATTATGTTCCAAATCCACAAACACATTCTAAGTAGCCCAATACAATAACATCAGATTTGTGAAATAATATTTTTTTTTTTTTTAGGGATGTGGGGGGAGGGGGGGGGGGTTGAGATGGCTTTCAAATACAATCCTTATATCATATTGCAATGACTTAAGAATGACTTGTAAACTTGTAAAAGGGTAGAGAATTGAAATGCTCAGGGACTGAACACATCTCCAATGACATCAAACACATCATGGTGAGGGAGAACATTGGTCAGTGTCAAGTGAGCAATTTAGTTATGATTTGAAACAATGCATTGGTTCATCTGTGTCTCCAGATAATTGCAAAAATCTCTCATTAACATATTCGATATACTAGTACCATCTTAAATAATACAGAATTAAGGCAGGATAAATAAATAAATAAATAACAATGGTTGCTCTAGAAAACGGAAATGTAAGAAGTAATCTTAATATTATTTTCCAAGTAGACTTAAGATGGCCTTGTCACCAGGAAAAAAGATAAAAGGGTAGGATTGAAACCATGACATCAACACACAAACTGTCGTCAGTGACATGTCAGCAATTAGTTATGTTTTGAAACAATGGCATTGGTTCATCCATGTCAATGTATAACTGCAAAAACTTCTGATGAACTTTTTTCTTTCCTTTTCTTTTTATAAATGCTTCTTGTGAATATATTAGTTGCATGTAGTCATGTACAATAATAATACCATCATAAATAACAAAAATAAGGCATGATAAATAAAAAGTAACTAACATTGAATTGCCTACATACTGGTTGCAAGTTTGCAACTCAAAAATGAAAATGTGAGGAATGATGTTAATAAAATTACTTAAAAATATTAGGTGAACAAAGTACAATATGAAAATCTTAACTGACCTGAACAATGAGATCTTGTAAAAGGTTTTTGTACACATGATGATCACGGCTCACATTCAAAAGTTCCTTGGATGCTGCTTCTTTCATGTTATTAATCACGTCATCTTGAGCTTGAAGAACTTTAATCCGAGAAGCATTCAACTGCATAGAGTACTCGCTGCAACAAACAATCATGCAATGAAACTTAAATTTTCTGAACTACCACCATTTTTACAAGTTAGAATAAGGAAGATATAGATTATTTAACTGCAAGAAACAAACAAATCTCCAAAACTAAACTCTTGATCTCACTCCTTAATAGGAAAAGGAATTTTTTCAATCATGATGCTTTGGCAATAACATCAAATGAAAGTCATTCGCCGTACATGACATATGCCCATAGTTTGGAAACGAGTAAATAATGTAGCTAAACAGTACCAAAGGGATCCGTTAGACTTGACTGTAAGTCAAGCTTTAGTAGTAAGCACAATCGTCATTAATCTTTGTGTCACTATCACATACAAGGATCAATAACTGCGTCAATACCTTTATGAAAGTTTAAAGTTGGGAATTACAGTAGAATTCACCATATATAAATGACAAGCGATGAAACAGTCGAATGAATTTTTCTTCTATATTGATTTGAAAGAAAAATACATAGAAGCAATGGAGTAAGTTACATCTTCTTGCGAATTTCAACTTGCTTCTCTTTGCGCTCGTACTCTTGGCGGATCTTCTTTTTGTCGGCTTCAACCAACTGCAACTTCTCGATGTTGAATTCCTGCAGAAAGAGAGAGAGAGAGAGAGTAATTCAGAACTAAAGCATCGATTCGATGGTGATTCAATCCAAACAAAGGGCAAAACGAAGAAACATGCAGCGCAGTGTTGAAGTGAGCGTAATTAAGTACAAATCAACGATCTAAAGTGGAAAATAAAATGATCGAGCCGAGAAACTGAGAGATCAATTAGAATGGTGAAGTGGAAGTATGGAGAAAGGAAGTGATACTTCTTCGGCGGAGACAGAGATCTCGTTTGCTTTCTCCTCGGCTTCCTGGCGGATAAACCTGACCATCTGCTGGATTTGCTTGGAGACATCTGCGTCGTTCATTTTCACAGAGGCTTCGGAATCGAATCGGAGAAGATCGAGGGAAAAGGGAAACTGCTACTGCGGAGGTGTGAGCCCTTCGCCGATCGTCGTTTGTGGATGAGAAATATGAAACGACAGCTAAGCCTTTCTATGAACCTTCCAGGCAATATACCAATAAATACCCTCTTCTTTTAACCTTTTTTGTTTTATTATATACAAATGTAAATAAACTGTAATTTTTTAAAGGGTCTCTAAAATATTTAGTAAAATATTATTAAAAAAATATTATGTTTATTATTTATTATTTATCATTTAAATTTAGATCACACAGTTTAATAAAATTATTATCCTGAACTTAAAAAATTATTGATTAATTTTCTCCTTCATTTAATTAATTAATTAATTAATTAGCTTTTTATTATTAATATTATTCATTAAATTTTAATATTGAAAATAAATTACTTTATTTGTTTCTTTTTATCTGTCATTTTGAATTTAATACAATGTTTTTTTTATATTTTTCTTACACTTTATAAAAATCTCAATGATTTTAAATAGTTGTTATATTATGGATAATTAATTATTGTAAAGTTTAAAATTAATAAAAATATAAAAAATTCTTATAACTTAATTGCAGATTAATATATAAAGTATATTTTATTTTTAATATTTAAAATTAATGTCTAAATCAATAAATAAAAAATAGCTAAACAGATTTTAAAAAAAGGTAAAATTGAAAATTAAGTAATAATTTTTTTATAATTTAAATATTAATTTATTTTTAAAATGGTTTAAAATAATCTTAAGAAAAAAATTAAGAAAATACATTTTATGGATTAATGTGTAAGTGAATTAGAAAAATATTTGTGATTTAATTTATTAAAATTTAAACTATGCGATAATGAATTATTTGTAAAATAATTGAGAACTAGAAAAGGATGAAAAATATTATCTGAAACTTTTAAACGAGAAATAAAAAAGAATAAAAGCATGTTTATTTTTATTTTCTATGAATAGTTTTATTTTTAAAAAATAAGTATATTTTTTATTTTTTATTTTTTTTAAATGGAAAGAAATGTAATCTAAATATTTTATAAAACAATGATAGATAAAAAAAAATGAAAGAAGCATCAGATATTACATGTGAATTTTTTTAATTTATGTTAAAAAAAATAGATACTAAGAAACATTATATATGTTTTATTAAATAATTTAAATTATTATATATTTAACATTTTTTTACAATTTTGAGGTTAAAATATTTTCTTAAACTTATTAACAAGTGTTTTCCGACCTACATTGATAAAATTAAATTTTTTTAATAAAAATTATAATAATTGATATTTTATTGAAAATGAATAAGAGGTAAAAAAAAATTCAAAATTTTAAAATTTGACTTTTAAATCATCATAGAAACTTCGTGCTTGAACACGCTTTTGTTGTTGTTGAACACATATGTTCCTGAAGATACTTAGATTCAGGAATTCATAGCCCTATACTAAGTCCTTATAATGTTTTCAAAAGGAAAAAGTCCTGGATCAACAAGGTTAACTTATTGATTCTCAGGAAACAATCGCTAATAAAAGAGTATGTCCAATCCACTCGAATGGACTAGTGTGATATACCTGCCACCAAAGAAGAGAGGTATATTAATCTCGAGATCCCTAAAACCTTCATAGACCATTGGAAGACTGAAGGATATATTGTTCTACACTTTGGAGCAATCAGATTAGTCCTATACTGCATGGTAGGAAAAATCTCCTAGTTACTGCCAGAATCTCTCTCCTTGATAATACTTACCTCCACTATAAACATGTTGTTATAACTACTCTTTATGCTGGAAGTGTGGTTCTCACCATCTTCCTAAATTATAATGTCTCCTTGAAAGATAAAACTCTTCCAACCAGGTTGAAAGTCCAGATTCAACTCACTAGAGCTGAACAAATAGAAGAAGTCATCTCTGCAACACTTCATCATCAAATGATCTATAGGCTACAGAATCATGCCCATGACCTTCCTCTTCCAGGAATGGTAAATGACAATCTCTTTGTCATAGCTAACAGAAATGAAGACGAAGTCCCATCTATTATTCAGGTTCCAAGACAAATTCCTAAGGAAGAACTCCTTAAGCTGATCCCGCTTGAGTGGACAACCAACTATGAGAAGATCAGGAAAAACAACAAACCAATCCAATCTTTTGAAGCTACTTTCAGAAGATCTGTTGATGGTGGTGTCCGAACTATATTTAAAAAACCTAAAGATGAACCAAGCCCTTCTTCCAACTGCTTCCAATCACTTATGGTTGTTCCTGTTGGAAAAGAACACAGAATTCCAGTATACAGCTTTAAACCTGATGGATCTTCCATCTTTTCAGACAAGTTTGATGGTCACTTCATGTGGGATGTTGATCCTTCCATGTGTGATCCTGACTGTAACTGCTGGATGCATACTGGTGAAACATCTGATGAAGAATCAGATGATGATGATGAAGACAATCTGAGAAGAAAGAAAAAGAAACTGTGCAAGCCACCTCCGAAGCCTAGAAGAAGAGACCCTGGATTTACTTCATGGGTAGGAATAAGGAACGAAAGAAAACCTTTGTCCATCTATGATGAAGCCCTAGAAATCTTGAGAAAAGAAAGCCTATTATCCATACCACCTTGTGATCCAGACTTGATCACATGGCCTTCGCCTCCAGGATTGTGCAATTCTTTCAGCACATCCTTAAAAAAGGTTTCAGTTCCTGTTCCCTGTATGATGTTTACAAAGTATGATGAAGAATTTCTTTCATTAGAAAGGAAAGTGGATCCAGTCACTAAGGTCAATACCAGACCTTTAGTAATACCCACTGAAGTACAACCTGATGGAGTCCTTAAAGCTCCATCTCAAGTTAAAGAAGTTCTCAATTGGCAAACAGAGAATTCTTTAGCTCAAAATAAACTCTTAAAGAAGATGGACGAAAAAATGGACCGAATTGTTGAAACTATTCATAAGAATGAAGAAAGACTCCAATATCTTTCTGATAAACTCAAAAGATGTTACAAAGAATCGCAGAAGCAAATTGCTAAATTGGAGTTAGACATCTCAAAACTGACAGAAGAAAAAGTCATTTTCACTGGAGAATATCATAAAAAAGATAGAGAAATTAGGAGACTAAAAGAGCAAGTCAAAGAAATGGATGAATTGATTGCTGCTAAACGACAGAATAGGGAAGCTGAAGTAAATCCCTTTCTTGTTCCACCTCCTGTACAATCAAGTTATTATTCTCCTTTCAGTCCATCTCCCTTTTATCAAGGTACTTTTACGGCACTATCATATTCCTTACCCTCTGCTTACAGACCTAAACCTAGGTCTTCTACACGTGATTCTAAGGGAAAAGGAAAGATGAGCATTTCTTCTTCAGAAACCATTAAGACAAAAAGCTTAGAATCTTTTGAAGAAGAAAAATCTCCACCAAAGAAGTCATCAAAAGAAAGTCAAGAAAGAACACCTTTTATAGGCGTAACACTTGAAGAAGATGACCTAGCTGATGATTCAAATTCCAGCTTATCCGAAGAAACTGAGAAGGATTCCCATGAGGGATCTTATGAATCTTCAACAGCTGAAGAATTCCAGAGTGAATCAGATTTGTCAGAAATCAAATCCTCAGACGAAAAATTCACCAATATTACTGAAATGTTGATGGTTAATACAGCACAATCCAGTAATCAAAGAAGATCTTTTTTATGATTCACCTGATGAAGAAGAAGAAACCAATAGACGAGAAAAAAAAGGATCAAAAATTAATGGAGGTCCTTATTTCACTCTTGATGATGTTTTTTCACAATATTGGAGAAAAAGATTGCTTGATTTTGGAGCTTGGTTAGATACTCAATTCATGAAGTTAGATGCGGATCCATACAAATTCATTGAAGAATTCTGTTGCAGAATGACTAGCACCCTAAAAGAGTGGTACCACAACCTTGGCAGTGTCAAACAGGACCAGTTTCATCAACTAGGGAATACTCGCCAGGTTCTTGGAGCCATACACCAGGAATTTGTGGATGACATGGATCTCTATGATAAAAAACACCAGGCAAGAATATTTTGAGATGAGATGTTGTTCATTAAAGAAAAGTGATTTAGAAAAACATCATAAAAGAATGGTAGAAATTTTCTATCTTCTTAATGGATACAATGATGTTAGTTTAAAAAACACTTATGTTGCTTCTCTTCCTCAAGAACTACAACCAGAGATTCACAAACTTATTGCTGCCCAAGGACAGGATTTAACTAATCTAAGCCTTGGCCAAATTCACCAGAAGACATTGGAATCTCTTGATAAATTGTGCAGGACGCATCTATTTATCTCTGATGTGATGAATGAAAGATCAAAGTTCACTAAAGCCTGCAAAAAAAAGTACCTTGAAATTGGATGTAAGGACAAAAAGTGTGTCTGTTCATCCAAGAAAAAGGGAAAAATAAAGAAGTTTTCAAAGAAGAAGAAGAAGATGAAATACTTCAAGAAGAAGAACAAAAGAGGAAAAAACAAAGGCACGAGGTGTTTTATTTGTGGAAAGAAAGGACACTTTGCCAAAAAATGTCCTAATAAGGATGTCAAAGCTCAAAACCTGGTATAATCATTAGACCATGTTGAAGGGAACATTGAATCAGAATATTCTGAACAAGAAGAAGCAGACCAGGATATTGTCTTTACTATTCAAGAATCGTCTTATGATTCTTCAGATTCCTCTAGCAAAGAAGAAGAATATATTCCTCTTTATTTTACTCAAGAAGTAAATAGTATTCTTCAAACTCCATCACAACCTTGTGTGGAAGTACAAGTTCTTATCAACAAATATGCTACACCAATCAAAGCCATAACCTATATGGATACTGGAGCACAAAGAACCATGATGAATCCAGAGGTTCTTCCAAAAGAATGCTGGACTCAATATACTACCAGTTTTGTAGCAACTAATGGAAAGATTTTCAATACACACTTGATTTCCAAAATGCCCATTGGAATTAAGTTGTTTCCAGATTGCATAATTTGGATTAAGCCCATAGGAACTCATCTTCCTAACAAAGATATTCTTCTTGGAATGGATGCCTATTGTTTGACTGATAAACTTTATATTCTTCCTAGAGGAATAAAATTCAAAAGAAATTTTAAGCCTTACATGGATGTGCTGAAGCTCTACTCTCTTGAAGAAAGTATAGAAGAATATTCTGAAATAAAGGAGCAGCTGAAAATCCTATGTGCAGATGATCATGAGAATTTCTCTCATTCTAATCCAATCTGGAACAATCCAGATTTTTTTATAAAACTTCTTTTCAAGCTTAATGAAGATATCAATCCTACTAAAACCACTCACCCTGGAATGAGTCCAAGTGATCTTCAGATGGCTAGACAAGAATGTAATGAACTTCTTCGTCAAGGATTGATTGAACCAACCAAATCAGAATGGGCATGCCAAGCATTCTATGTTGAAAAAAGATCTGAAAAGCTCAAAGGAAAAAAGAGGTTAGTAATTGATTATAAGCTTCTGAATCATTTTTTCAAAGATGATAAATTTTCAATCCCAAAAACCTCCTCTCTTCATACCCTCATCAAAGATGTCATAATCTTTTCCAAGTTTGATTTAAAATCAGGATTTTGGCAACTTGGAGTAGATCATGCTGATAGATACAAAACTACTTTCTGTATACCAAATGCCCAATATCAATGGAAAGTTCTTCCATTCGGTTTAAAAGTGACACCTTCTCTATTTCAGAAAGCAATGACCAGAATCTTTGAACCTATCCTTGATAGTATACTCATCTACATAGATGATGTATTACTATTTTCAAAAGACACAGAATCTCATAAAACCCTTTTAGACAAGTTCTTTAATCTTGCCAACACTTATGGGATTATGCTATCAGAAAAAAAGATTTAGCTAGCTCAAACCCAGATAGATTTTCTGAGAATGCATTTTTCTCAGGGAAATTATCAACCACAGCCTCATATTGCAGAAGAACTCCTGAATTTTTCTGATGAAAATTTTACCGTTAAACAGAACCAACAGTTTCTTGGAATTTTAAATTATATTAGGGATTTTATTCCTAATGCAGCAAAGTATACAAGTCCCTTGTCAAAATTGCTAAGAAAAAATCCTCCACCTTGGAGCACTGAACAAACTGAATCTGTTCAAAATCTTAAAAAGATAGCTCAAAATCCTCCACCATTGAAGATTCCCGGAAATGGAAAAAGAATCTTGCAGACATATGCTAATGATCACTACTGGGGAGCTGTTCTACTTGAAGAAATTGATGGAAAAAAGGCATATTGTGGCCATGCCAGTGGACAATTCAAAAAATCTGAAAAGCATTATCATACAACTTTCAAAGAAGCCCTAGCAGTCAAGAACGGAATCCAGAAATTTGACTTCTATCTAAGAGGTCACAATTTTGAAGTTCAGATGGATAACTCTTCTTTTCCCGCCTTGCTTGATTTCAAAAACAAAATGTCACCTGATCCTCAGGTTCTCAGATTAAAAAATTGGTTCTCCAGGTATGATTTTACTGTTAAACACATCAAAGGAGAAAAAAATGTTGTCCCTTGTCTGTTGTCCAGACCAAAAAAGCCTATTGCCATTGTCACTTCCATAAACACCTACCATTAATTTTCCCACTCAATGTTGCAGAGACCAGTACCAGTCAAGATCCTCTTCCTATGTTTCCTCCAGAAATGAGGAATGACGGTTTCATTACACTAGAATACATCAAAGATTTTGCTTGGAATCATATGTTCCATTATCTAGCTCTTTCTCTCTCCAACCATAATGTCAAACCAAAACCCTCATGGTTCCAACCTGATGCACCATACTTAAACATCTTTGCTTTATTAATGGATTTTCCCATGATTGAAGAAGATGTATGGTATCTATGGTGTGTTTCTTTTTTATTCCATTATCCTATAGTTTTTCCCACATTCAAAATGTTTGAATTCCTTAATAATTCTCAAAATAATTCATCTCTGCTGTGGAAGTTTCTCACATGGTTTCAACCCATCCATAACTGGAAAAGAGATGTCCAAATTGAAATGGAAAGACTTAGCATATGGAAAGAAATTAATCTGCCTCCAACCGAGTTTCCAAAGCATGTAACGGTGGTGATTGTTCACAGACCATATTTTGAACATTCAGTATCAAAATTTCTTTATACTCAAAATCAAGTTAAAGTCTGGAATACTTATCAAAGCATTCTTGAAATATCAGAACCAGACAAACCACCCTTTAATCAGGCAGATCTGAATGTTCATCTTTATGTCGAAAATGGAACACAAGAAGAAATGATCAAGGTAAAATCCACATGTTCTAAATTAAAGGCAATGGACATTATTTGTCCTCCAAATGCTGATAATCCAACAATGTGGGACAAAATTCAAAAAGTAAATCCGTCAGTAACCTGCTCTAGTATTACTTTTGGAAATTGGAAGACAGAAAGTCATGTCATATTTCGTGATGAAGCTGAATCATCACATGCTGCAACAATAATGGATTCCCAAGATCACCAAGAAGGATGGGGCACTGATGATGATCCTAACATGTCACCAAGTCACGAGCCTATCTTCAAGGACTGAAGAATCTCTGATAAAGCAACTTTATGTGATAAAGTGTCTTTATATATTATGTTTTTAGTGTGACTCAGATGTACTTAAAGTTTTTCTTTTGTATGCTTGTTTAAAGTCACTTTGTAAAAGGTTGGAATCTTATCCAAACCTGTCTGATGTAATAATTATGTCTACTGTCTATCCTCTATATAAGGAGGAACTCTTGCCATTTGAAGGCAGACCAAATTTAAATAAAACTTGTGTGTTTTCATATATCATGAGTTGTTTCTAAATTTATCTCTCTGAAAGCTTTGTTTATAATGACTATCCTCTAATCCCTGACTAGAAAGAAGTATGCTCTGCACTTGCCATTTATTGGATCCTGTGCATCAGAAAATTTCTAGGTAAAAGATCTTGTTGCTACGGTCCTCTTTATTGTAATTTAGAAAGAATGATCAGCATAAGTATAAGAAAAATGCATATGGGTTTGCTCAAAGTATTAGAAAGTGTTGTTGGTTTCTTTTTGGGTTATGATATAAGGGGCTCCGGTGAGTAATGGTATCAGAGCCTTCAAATTGTTTGATGCTCATATCCTCAGAGTTTATTGGCTGGACAGTTGACAGACCTGGAGAGACTGTATTCACAGTCGCTCCTATCTGTAACAATGCCACGAACTCTTGTATTTAATCAGAGCCTAACGTTTCTATTGAAGGAGGGGATAAGTGTAATAATCATTATAAATAAAGTAAGGAAGAGTCTCCACAAAATCATGAGTATAACTACAAATACTAGCCAAACTTCTTCTACTGAAATTTCTCCTATTCTCCTAAATTCACCAATCTCTCTACCAAAAGACTGTATCAGAACTGCTTCTAACAGATTAAGAACTTGATAGAATACACCTATGTTCTTGAAGATGTTCAGATTCAGGAATCTATAGCCCTCTAATCTATCTATCTATCTGGATTTGAGTTACCTGAATCTTTTTTTCCTGACATTATAATCTTACAAGTGTTGGCAAGATTAAAAACTTGTCTAAATGATAACAAAAATGGGACATCGATCTCGTTCTCGCTCAGATTTCTTTTCACCTAGTTTGGTTCCCTCTTTTTTCCGCTCAAAACAAACTACGTGCGTCAAAAAGTCTAGTGGGAGGGAATGTTTGTAGAAACAAAAATGCAGTGCAGCGTTCGTTGGGTTAGACACACAGAACTCTGTTGAATACGGGATTAAGGTCGAGGTTATCGTACCCTTCCCGGGCTATGTTTATATTTTTCCCTCGCAATTGCCACTAAATTCATTTTTTTGTATTCGATCTCAGCTTTTAGACATCTCTGTTGAAACTTGGAACAGAAAAAGCAGATACACGAACCCTGAAACTGAAAACGGTTGTAACGTCGTCTTCATAGTTCAAACTCGAAACATCAAGGCTCAACCAAACAGTTATCTTTGTTTATTAAACATCGATTTGCTCCTCTTTTTTTCCTCCGAACCCAAACTACAATCTCCGGATCTGAATTTCAGTCTCCGATACACACTTAGATGAAAAATTTCTGACACTTTCTCGAACGAGAAATGCGTAGCCGGGGATCACAAAGCCGGTTATCTGGTCACTCTTTTGGATCTCGAGTGTCTGTTCTCATGCTTGCCATGGTTGCTACCATGGCTACCATTTACGTTGCTGGCCGGTTAGTTAGCTATTCTATTTTCAAATTTCTTCTCCTTATTCATAAATCTTTCTTTTAACTTCCATTTTATGCCGTGTGATGCGCAGGCTGTGGCAGGATGCGGAAAGTAGGGCATATTTAATTGAAGAGCTTGAAAAAAAAACTGGTCAGGTATGATGTTAGTTTTCATACATTGCATTGCTTGTGTGTGTTTTGACACCGAAATTTTGTGGTATTGTTATTTGAACCTTTCCTCGTCTGTGCGTGAGTACAATGCAATCGCTAGTGTGTTTGTTTTTAATTTTTAGCTGTCGTCATAGGATAACAATGAGGCAGTATAGTTCATCCGATTTCAGGGTCACTTGGCTGTATCTGTTGATGATACACTTAAAATTATAGCCTGCAGGTAATTTTCTAATTGTTCTAGTGGTGCCAACGTCATTTTGGTTGCTGAATTCGAATTTGGCTGTGAATGATCTTCATCTTTTCCTGACGCTATTATTCTCTTATTTTCAGGGAACAACATAAGAAGTTGTCAGCGCTTGAGATGGAACTAGCTGCAGCTAGACAGGAAGGTTTTGTTCCAAAGCACTTCTCAGGAAATGATGGGAAGCATGCTACCAAGAAGGTGCTTTCAGTTATAGGAATAATGACAACCTTTGGCCGAAAAAAGAACCGAGATGCAATCCGTAAGGCTTGGATGCAAACAGGTAGCTTTTCCGTTGGTTTGGTTTCCTATAGCAACATTATTGCACGTTATGATTCTCTTGTTTAATTCAGGAACACCTGCTATGTGCAAAATTATTTCAGGGTAGACTATATCAGGTGTTCCGTTATTATTTCAGGTTTTCTTCAGTTTTATCATTTTCAATATTGTATCTGAATGAAATATGACCAATAACTAGGTTTAGGATGCATTCCATTTCCTTGTGAAGTCAAAACTCAGAAGTTTGGACACCTAAGTGTTTATCACTTTTCAGTTTTGAATAATCCACTATTCCTTAACTTTTGTTACCCTATTTCTGTGCTTTTATAACTTATTTTGGTTTATTAATGTCAATATGATTAATTATATCTGAAAATAATCACGTTAATAATTTTTTCATTGATGAACTTCTCTACTGTAAATATAGCTTCCGTTTTTTAGGCTTTTAACATTTTGATGTAGTTTACAGAAGTAGAACTTATTGATGCTTCATTTGCAGGTACCGCCATGAAAAAACTGGCTGATAAAAAAGGCATCATAGTGAGATTTGTAATAGGAAGAAGGTATAGTTTTAGTGGTTCAAATTCAAATTTAGCAAATGATTGGCTTTTTTACTTTTTGATCCAATTGGCATTTCCTTCTATGCAGTGCAAATCACGGAGACAATTTGGACAAAGAAGTTGAAACAGAAAGCAGTCAGACCAATGACTTCATCATTCTTGTATGTTGACTTTTATACTGACAATTTCATACAACAACATTTCACGTGGCTATATGGACTGTGATTGAATGTGTAGGCCTGATAAAATGAATTAAAGATGCTTTCAATTGTGAAAAAAAAAGTCTTGGTTTGATAGAAGTATGGCTTTATTCTTTTTTGAACTCAATTTTGGGAAATTGGTAACTTGGTATGGCCAAGGTTTGTTCCTACTCGTTTGTAGACTATTGAGCTTGATGTGATGATGGAATCTTGGTTGATATTTAGATGTATGGCACAAAGTTGTATGTATATTAATACGTTCAACAATCAAATATTATGTTGTCATTAGCTTTATTGTTACTTCACAGGATAATCAAGTGGAGACATCTGAAGAGAAAGCAAAAAAGATAAAATCATTCTTCATTTATGCAGTGGACAACTGGGATGCTGAATTTTATGCTAAGGTCAATGACGATGTCTATGTTAATCTTGGTATGTGGTCTGTAATTCTGTCAGGTGTTGAAAAATATAATACATCTCTATTGTTATATATACATATATGTACATATTAGACTCCTTGCTTACTGAATTCAGATGCCGTGAGGATTTTTCTAGAGTTTGATTCAGTGGACTACTCAGACTTGTTGTGTAACATTGTCATCATGAATATGCAATTTCTGATCAACCATTTTCTCCCATAAATTCTTTAGGCTATGTTTGGATGTCATGTTTTGGAGGAGAAAGAGGGGTTAGTGGGGTTTCACTCTTATTTGACAGTTATTTAATTAGGAGGAGAAATATTAGGCAATTTTTTTATTCAGGTTTTTTAATTCTCCCATTGTGGGAGACTTTTCTCTCTCTTACTCTCTCGTACTTTTTCATAATTAGAATTTTTTTTTTTTAAATGTTAATTTTTAAAGTAATAATTTTTTATAAAAATATAAAAATAAAATTATTCATTTTTAGTGAAAAAATATTTATCTTTTATTTTTTGAAAAAATAAAAAGGATAAAAAAATATGAACAAAAGATATAAAAAACAATAATATCATTTATATGATTAAATCTTTCATTACTCTCTTCTCTCAATATTAAATATCCAAATAAAGAAAGGGTTTTATGAGAGAAAATACTGAAAACGTTCCCTTAATTCAACAGATTCTTAGGGATTAATATTCAGCTCCTAAAACTGATATCTATATATGGTAATAAAATAATTTTACAATAAATAGGTATAAATTACATCATATATGCATAATTGTTCTGACATTAATATCCCTCCTCAAATTGATGCTGGTAAGTCAACCAGCAACAATTTGCCAACAAGAAACTGATTCAAGAAGAAGAGTTCTCACCATATCAAGATGACAATTCTTTCTCTCAACTTCATCATTTTGTGGTGGAGTTGAAGGACAAGAATGCTGAGAGATTATTCTCATGTTTTGTAGAAACACTTGAAATTCTTTAGATATATTTTCCACCTGAATCATATCTCAAAATTTTATATGTTTGGAGAATTGAGTCTCCACGAAAGATACAAGTTGTTTAAAAATAGAGAAAACCTCTGCCTTAGACTGAAAAAAATACACCTATGTAAAGCGACTGCAATCATTTATGAAAGTAATAAAATACTTGTAGTATGCATGAAAAATAATGGGAGCAATACCTCAAACATCACTATGGATCACATCAAAACATTTAGTTGCATGGGATGAATTAGTAAGAAAGGACATAACTGTACTTTTTTCAAGTTTACATGTGGTACAATCAAAGGAAACATAAAGAAAGTGAGAATTTTTATTGCTCCATGATCCAATTTTAAACAAGGTACTAAGAACATAAGAATTTGAGTGGCCCAGGCGCTTATGCCACTCTTGGTTTCCAATTTTAACATCAGTACAAGTAAGGGAAAATAAAGAAAATTTAGGATAAATCGGAGGAGAAAGATGTGTAGGAAAGAGTGGTCCCACTTTAGGCCTTTTCACGATTATTTCCCCCAACACTTAATCCTGTACAATACAACCACAAGAAGAAAATTGCACATTACAATCATAATCATGATCTACTAATTGCTCAACAGAAATAAGATTAGTAGATAGGCTAGGGGACACAAAAACATTAGTCATGGAAGAAGAAATATCACCAACAACACTTATTGGCAGATAATTGTCATCATTAGTATGTACTTTTTGACTTCCATCATATTTTCAAACATTAAACAGAGGTACAATTGTATTTGTCAATGATTAAAGGCTCCGGAATCAAAATATCAAAGGATAACAAGATAGAGAGTTTATGTGAAAACTTGTTTCTACCTGTGAGACCTGTCTCGTTACATACTAATTGTGAAACTTTACAAGAGAGAAGATGCCAAAAATGCTCCCTTCATTCAGCAAATTTTCAGGGATTATATTCAGCTCCTAAAATTGATATCTATATATTGTAATAAAATAATTCTACAATAAATAAGTATAAATTATAACAGATATGTACAGCTGTTATGATATTAACATATCATTCAGATGTTTAGAGGAGACTTAAAAATGAGCTATGTTATAGGCCTCACTTGTAATATTCTGAACGTTACTATGGTTTTCTTTTATGATACTGGAACTTAATGGATCTTTACTTGGTTATTGATAGTGTGAAACTATTTCTTCTACAGATGGCTTTGGAGGAGTGCTAACTTCTTATTTGGACAAGCCCCGTGCTTATATTGGTTGTATGAAATCAGGCGAAGTTTTCTCTGAGCCGTGAGTATTGTCAAAATGCTTCATTGGGCAAAAAGAATAGTTTATCATTGTATTACAATATCTTTTTGCTTTTTCTCATTTTGTCGGAATCTTATTTTATAGGACAAATAAATGGCATGAGCCAGACTGGTGGAAATTTGGCGATAGAAAATCGTGAGTAATACAGACTTAATTAATCATTATGCGCACACACACACACATATATATGGAATATTGATAATAAGGCTGAAATTGTCCGGTCTAGCACATTACCAGAGGTATTGCTTGGTTTGAGAATAATTTCCAAGTTGTTTTTTATTTAGCGCCAGTATGTACGATGCTATTACTTTTAAATTCTTGTTTCAGAAAGATTTACCAAATCTACTGTTATGATACCTTATCAAAATATATTTTGTTCCCATTGTATGAATTCTTCGATGAGCTTATGCAGCAGTAGAATTTTGATCAATAATGATAATGAGCGAGACTGTTTCTATACAAAAGTTAAGCATTGACAATTTCCCCCGAGCATGATGTCCTGATGAGTAGCATATGCCTCAGAAGTGGGATTACTTTTTTAATGGTTTTCCTAACTAATGAATGTGCGTATTTAAAGGAAAAAAATGTTTTTTAATTATAAAAGATGTATACAAAATTATAATAGCTGTATGATTTAAAAAAGAAAAAAGCACTATAAAACTGCTTTATTACTTTTCTCAGCTTCTAAAAGAAATTCTAAAAAAAATATATCATAAATCTGTTCCATAAAAGCTTATCCAAAAGCATCTATCCTTTGTCTAAATCATGGTATTAGATTCAGAAATTGTTTCTCTCCCTTCCTGGCATTTTTTTTTTTTGTTGACATTCATATTCGTGCTTGTTTGATTCAGATACTTTCGGCATGCTTCAGGCGAGGTCTATGTCATTTCAAAAGCATTGGCACAGTTTGTTTCAATAAACAGGTATAGTTCCTTGTTTTGGTATGTGCATTTTTAAAAATCCTTGTAACAATTATATCAGAAGGTGGGATCAGTATGAAATGTTCACTTTGCAGATTTATTCTTCGTACATATGCACATGATGATATAAGCACAGGATCATGGTTTATTGGGATTGATGTGATGCACGTTGATGAAAGAAAGTTGTGCTGCTCCTCCTGGTCCCCAGGTCCCTTTCTTTCTACCCTCTTTCACATACACAAGCTTGTAATTTATGGTTAGGAGTTAGGACCTTATCCATTCACCAATTATGGTTTGGATAATGAATCATCCTACAAATATTGCACACATTGGCTTAATTGTGCTGTAAGAGTGAAATAATCCCTGGGTTATAACCTTGTTGAGAGTCATTATGATATTATGTTTGTGCAAAACACGGCTCCCCAGTCCCCACTACTTAAGCCACTTATAGTGGATCAATGGTGGCAATCTAATGTAGTTTGCACAAAGTAATAGTCTCAGTATAATTTTCATGAATTCAGGTTAAATAAGACAAGACTAGCAGGACTGTAATCAAACAAATCATATTGGATGCATTAACTTTACTGTTTTGAAGTTGTATCAATCTTGATCCTAGGCTGTCTCCAGTCATAGGCATTTAGGTTGGAAATTGGAATGGGTTAAGTATTACTCATAATGGATCCGTTATGATTTTTCTTAGAAAAGAGACTTAGCATGTACGCACACACAAAAGGTGATGGATTTAGCCATTTGCACAGTTCCATTTAAACGAATTCTTATTAAATATTTTTGCTTCCCATCTTTCAGGGGCAATTTGTGCAGCAGTATGAGGACTTGCCACTGAATTTGAGTAACATAAAAGGAATGTATAGCAAACAGAAACTGTTACTTCCCGCCATTATTTTTGCCTCGGGTGATTTTCAATTCAGATAATCTCAACCAGCAGTTGATTCTGCTACTTGAAGGCAGGGGAGCTGTTGGTTAGGAGTTCTGCCTCTGACAATAGATACTTACATACATGCTCCTTGGGATGGTCGAAGGTATTTTGAGAAATTTGCATCATGTGCTCGTCTGATTTTGAGAAACTGCTCCTTCCCCATTTAATCATGTAATATAAATTATAAATAGCTCTCCCCCATTCTTGTTAAACTATTCATTTTTACCCCGCGGGATAAATGAAAGAATCTCATAGCAACTTAATTAAAGGAAACATTTTTTTTTTTAAATTTTCTTATTAGAGTTGAGATCCACATTGATTTCACTCCTGATTGAGGTTGGTCGTTCTTACTTTAGACAATCTATGTTGCATAGAGCACCACATGCATTCAAGCCTCTTCTGCCTAGTTTATTTTTCTTTGAATAACATCGAGTATGTCAAGGGCACTGTCATAGTTCTTTACAGAGATGTTTGATATATATTTCTGTAAACTTTGCGAAGTAGATTTTCTTTACATATGATAGACATGGTTGTAGGTATAATTGAGCGATGATGTTTGTGAACTTATTTCTTTTATACTTTATTGACATGCAATATCACCCACCCGCCCACACAATACTGTTTTCCTTCTTTCTAGTGTGGATGTCAATTTTTATGATTGTACTATTTTTCAAATACTCTAATCGACTACCGTGTTGTCTTGCATTAAACCCATATGGGAACTTTTTTACTGAAACATTTTATGGATATTATTTGGGGGCTTTATCCCATGACTTTGCTTAGAATGTCTGCACAATTTGAAATGTTAGTTAACGTAGGATCTAATTATTATTTAATTACTTTTTTTAAACGTCAATAGGATCGACATTTATACCAAGGGTAGGAAGATAGATTAGAGTTTACAAAACTTAAAGCTGACCTGGTTTTTAAAATCTAAGATTTGAGTCAGACTATATTTTAAGTTTTCATCTGACTTTTTTCGAAGTTAGTTTACTTTAGTTTCTTACGCATGCTAACTAAGCTTTTATGAAAAAGGCATGTTAAAAAGGTTGAATTCACTTTAATAAGCCCTTTGCCTAGAAAGAGACAAATATTTGATGGTCCACTTAAAAAGATATAATTATTTTATAAATAACCTTAGATATAATTATTTTAATTAAGTTTATTACAAAATCTCAAGTTGAACTTAATAAATAATGTGGGTTAGATCATAACAAGTGAACCTATTTCAATTCTTATTTATACCCCCTGATATTGGCATGAGAGATGAAAAGAAGAAAAAAGAAGTTTAATTTCTCCGTAAATTCGGGTGGAACTTGGATTCTATTCTCCCCCCGGTACATCGACCGGGAGCTGTTCTGGTTAAACACCATATGTTGTTAGAAGCATGCAACTTCCCGGAAGTTCCTCAAAAGGCTGTTTCAGAGTACACTTTCATTTTGGACCAATGAGAAAAAAATGACACTTTCATTTGCGTATCTGATGGGCAGTTTTTCCTACGCTTTCAGTCTGGGAAATAATAAATTATAAAATGCTAAGTTACAACCTCCAAGTTCTAACTGAAACCAGTCTCGTTTAATTTTATTTGGCTACGAATTCTAATATCAAGTGTGAACTTCAAATTTGCTTTTAATTGGTCATTCAAAATGGAGAAATACTTAATCAGTCGTAAAGTAGTATCATATATTTAATGGTTTAAAATTTAATATCAAGTATTACCATAAAACTAAGAAAATATATTCTATTTCAAAGCATCGTATATTTTAATTAGATGAATGGACTACTTTAATCATCCGATATTTTTCTCTAAAATGGCCGGCGCTGTTGGACTATCTGCACTCTTAAGACAAGTTTTCGGTTTATGATTTGTTAATTACTCTTGCAGCATGCAATTGTGTTCATTAGTTTATTTTTTTATTCTTATTTATTTCACTTATTCGTTTTCCCATCAAATTCATGCATGTTGACTAAGCAAAATGCACCGACTATTCTGACAGATAAGGTGCTCCAATCTTCCTTTAGCTTCTAACTCCAATCCCACGTTTTGAGGACTAAGTTTTCCTCTTTTTCTCGTGTATTTATATCGTATAATTTATACGAACTGAAAATGATTCATTCCAAACAACCCCAATGGTCCTTGTCACTGTCTCACATTCTCATGTTTTTCCCCTTTCACTCTATGACGGATCCAGCACTAACCTGTTGACCAGGCTTAAGCTCTGACTTGCACGATCCACACAATTCCCTCGAACCAAATTCAAACTTGGCTCGGGTCTAATCTCTTGGGGGGTTTGAAAGGGCATACTCTGATAGGTCACGTAACTGGGTCGTTAATTCTGGTATTGCTGAGTCACATGTTCGTATTTGAGTCACAGTAGCGGTTGAAACTTGAAACCCACCTGTATAGATAAACCGTAGAGCCAAATTTGAAACTAGTCATGCCCATAATCATAGATTTGGTCTGAGGATTATGTTTATGACCCCTTCAGTATATGGCTTTTTCATTTATCTAACCCATTTCCTTAATTCGTCATAATCATCCACCCTTTATTATCAAGTGCGTGCTTGTTTAGTCAAAAAATTACATTCATGCTTCAAGCAATCGCTTCGTTATGATAAATACACATGTTTTGGCTAAAATTTCTTTGTTTAAAATTAATTTTTTAACGAGTAGAAAGTTCTAGCAAAAGTCAACGATTTTTCAAATTTTGTTAAAAAAAACATTCTGCAAATATAATTCACAACGTTTTTAATAATATATTTGTATTTACACTTGAAATTAATGTTTATTTTATCATCTGTATACAATTATTTTTAAGATATAATTATCAAATATTAATTAGTTTTTTAAGATAAATTTCTGTTTATAATTTCACACTTTTCAAACATATCCTTTTTTATTTCACTTAATTCCTTTAAATTTGGTTTATAGTAACCATGATTAATAAACCTATAATCATAACTAAATTAAGTAAAAATAAAAATTATAATATTTTACATTTACACAAATTATAAAAAGTTAAGTACAGAATTATAAAAGAAAGAATATAATTTATTTATTTATCTTCAAATTATTTCAATTTTTGTTTATCTAATTAGAGATAATAATGAATGAATTGTGAACAGAAGCTGTGCAAAAGTGGCAGTACAACTAAAAAATCAAATTATAAAAACTCTGAAATTTGATCAAAGTATTTTATATAACATACATTTAACGTGTTATAATATATATATATATATATATATATATATAAAAGGACAAGATCTTCTCGTACTAGTATAAGTTTAAAAACTTACACTTAATCTGAATATTTTATTTAATTTATATTAATAAATTATAATTTATTACTTCACCGTCTGTTAAGTTAAATAAAAAATTCACATTGAGTCTAAAAATTTTTAAATTTAAACTAGTATAAGAAGATCATTCTTTATATATATATATATATATATAATATTTGTTATTAAAAATTCAAAATTTATTATCATTACAATAAAAATTAACATTATTAATATATATAAAAATTAATAATAATTATGGAACTAATATACATAACATTTGAAAGAGATTACTAGTCATTATTATTCTAAAAATAATAACTAGTTCATTTATTATTATTAGAAATTATTTTAAATAATATTTTTTATAACAATTTTTAAATAAAATAATATTTAATCAATAATTAATTTAAATTAATAATTTATATATTATTATTCAAATATATTATTATTAATTATCATTTCTTAAAATTAATGTTGTTTTTATTACACGATATTATTATAATAATTATATTTTTAAATGAAATAAATATAAATTAAAATTATAAATAATAAATTATTCATGTTCAATGATAAACTTAAATATAATAAATATAATAAAATTTTAATTAAAATATATCTTCAACATATTAAAATTAAAAAAAAATACTTAGTATTTAATTAAACAACTAAAAATAAGGTAAAAAATATTCTCATACATTTTGATCCTACAAATAAAAAATTAACATTAATAAATACAAATCAATTAATTAATTAATTTTTAGGAATGTAATTAATAATGATTAAAGTAATTAATAAACTTATATCAGTGAGTACGTGAGTCATCAAATAGCATGTTAAATGATACTGCCTCTAGTTCTTTTTATATAAAACAAAAAATCAGATCACTATAACCAAAGAAAGCAATTAAATCAGTTATGTTTTTTATAAATATCAATTTTATTTCAAAAATACACATGATATAGTTAGTAATTTGTATATTTAATGATACTAATAAAAGAAGGATATATAAAAAATTTAACAATTAATGTATTTTAAATCTATTATTTACTTCTTATAATAAAGATAAAAAAAATTCTATTTTATTTCTTATAAAAAAGATCATAGAGAATAATTCTTTTGATAAGATAGTTCATTGACGTTTCAACTTCATCTCAAGGTCTTAATTTAATTATTTTTGTTGAGATTTAAGAATTAATATTTGAACATCAATCAAATCACATTGAGATTGCAATTCAATTTATAGTTGAAAATTAGTCTCTTCTTACTTCTTAAAATGTTAGTCAATTCTTGCATTTATATTTCTAAATTATTTTATTTTTCTTTTTGCATTTTCAACTTGATTTTAATTATTTGTTTGTTTATAAATTTTGTTGTTATTGTGCACTTACAAAGTCAAGTGAATGTGCAAAATGCTCGACCAATGACACTGGTAGGAGTGAGCCTAGATTAGATTTGTATAAATTCAATTTAAATCTATTTTAAATCTAATTATGTAGATTAGATTTTAAGCCAATTTATATTATATTTTAAAAAATTGGGTTAAAACTAGTTTTTGAATTTAGATACAGTGTAAAATCAGTTTTAATAATATACTTCCTCAGCATAGCAAGATATATATATATATATATATATATAATACAAACAGAGAAAAGGTAAATATCACATGCAACAAAATTTAACAAAATGAGTAGCACCTATTACTTTTTTCAAGTGAACCGTCTTGGATCAACCATTCAGCATAAAAATTGGTTTTATTAAATGAGATCCAAAATTTATCTCAAGCAGTAAAAGAATGGGTTGGATATCTAATTTTTAAAATAATCCATATTTTTAAATTTAATTTATTTTAGTTATGGATATCATTAAATCTAAATTTTTGTCACACTTTAGACATTAGAGCTTGAGAAATATCTTCTTGATATATATCTCCTATATTCTTTAAATCTTCTTATTTCAACTATCACAACTTTTAAAAATATTTTTTCTTACCATAAATTGGGACACCGTATGGAGTACACCATGTTCCATTATATCTGACTCATGTGACCCTCTATATTTTTACAACATTCAACTATTCATCAAATTTTGAATCTTTCTTCTATTAAAAATGAACAAAAATAAATAAAAAATTAAAATAATAGAAGTTAATTGATAAATTACTTAAAAATAAAAATAATACACATTAAAATTTTCTGTTTTACATTTAAAAATGACTAAAGCATGATATACATGAAATTTTTTATATCATTTTAGATAAACTACCAATTAAAAATTGTAATAAAAAATATCAAAATTATCTTTTGGAGTTAAAATTACTCATATTTTAATCATAGAAAAAAATGAAGTTCTATGAACTCTTACAATTTATGGTGATGACAGTCACACAAGGAAACAATGTTCCTTCACAAATACATACAATAATTTATATATAATGCATACAAAAATAACATAAAACACAAAAAAAAAAAAAAACAATTTCAAATGCATTTTGCACAATTAATTTTATACTACTACTAGATTTAATTTTTACTTTCATCGATTAGTTTTATTTTTTCAAGCTCTTCTCCTATATAAAATGAAAAATGATTTATTATTATAAGTATAGATAAAATACATAAACTAAATTTAAAGATAGTGAAGTAATTGCACTTAAACTTTAGAATCACTTTATTTGTTTTTTATTAGTCAGTTTCAATTCTCAGGCGACACATAATTTTACCTTTAAGATATGTTCAATACAAATAGTGATGTTTATTCTGATATTAAGATTGCATTTGTTTCATGTAAATTCATTAGAAAAGAAAAATCAAAATATTATAAATCAAAATATTTTGTTAAGTTATAAAAATATGCATAAAACAAGTAAACAACAAAGATACACTAAACTTAATATAAAGACCAAAAAAGGTCAATTTAACATTGTAATTATTCAATATTATATATTGGACAATATAAAATATACTTATTATAATGTAACTAATAATGACTAATAAAATAACATTAATCTTCTTATGTTTCCATATTGCATCTACATTATTCTTTGAATATTTCTTTTTCAGTTATTAACTTGAAATAGTACTCGTTTGCATAATACAAAATGTTGCTTTAGATTTTAGACTTAAAAAAATTTGCATGCTTTTCACAAAAAGTTGTGGAGGAGATTGAATATGAAGAGTTTTTCCCTTTGTCATTTTTTTTGTCTTTTTCTTTTGGAGTTTTACATTAATAGTATATTCAAGTCTCTTTCTAATGATTTACTTGCCTGAAATAATAGAATAATTTCAAAAATAATATTTTTACTTTTTTTAGAAAATAAAACTACTATATATATTTAAATTTATCTCAGCTTGTTCAATATTAATCACCTGTGAGTTATCAAGTGCAACATTAAATTGAGTTTTGTTCACTCATTTTTTTTAAGAAGTATAAATTGATCATTAAAGACTCTTTTAGAATTCAATACTAATGGATTTACTTTATGCTAATACAATAATTAACTATAAAAATAAAAAAGAAAATATAAATGAAATTATTAAATGACAATAAAGAACAACACCAGTTAATCTTATTCAAAGTCAAAAAAAGATTTTTCATAAATATACAAATTTAATAGTAAAAGTTGCATTTACCTTTCTTTACTTTAGAGCATGAAAAATTGTCATACTAGTCTTGTTTATGAATTTAATATAGATTTTTCATCATTTTCAGGTCTATATTTTTATTTCTTTATCTTTAATCTTTTGATCTTCATCATTTTTGTTGTTTTTGATGTTCTCAATTAGATTAGTTAAAAATAAAGTCACTTGAGACAATTTTAAATCTTCTATTTCTACTTTATTCTTTCTAATTTTTTTGTAGTCTCTATATGTAACATGATTTTGTGTGAAGTAATACCAATAAAACCAACTGTATTAATAAAAAACACAATTCAATAAAAAGAGAGAAAAGATAAAAAAAAAAAATAAGTGGAAAGAGATTATAATTATATTTCCTACTGTAAATTTTTTTTGTTCATAATGTACACTTAATATACATCTATGACTTTTTCTAATTTTACTTCATAATTTATTCTACTTACAAGTCCATCAAACTAAGTGGAGCACTCTGTGCACGATATTAGAAACTATAATTTATTACATTTTCATCTTTTTTTATCAATTATATTAGTCTTTTTATTTTAATAAGCATTTGTTCAAAATTTGAATTATTTCTAAATCAAAGAACTATATTAAAATCAAAATATTATTTTATTAATTTATAACACTATTATATAATATACTTAATTTAAATTATTTTAAACAAAAATTAAATATTATTTAATAATTATTTACTCACGTAAAAAATTAATTTTTCTACATATTTTCTACTAATTTATAACCTTAATTGCTACACTATATCTTGGAATAAAGATTTTAACGTCTTAACAGAAAGAAAGAAGGTTGTTAGAGAGTGCAGGTGAACTGTGGCATGACAAAATCAATATTTACGGGATTTAAATTATTTATTCAGGTAAGAAATTAATTTTTCTAAATATTTTTTACTAATTTACAGGATTTTAACATCGGAACATAAAGAAGGAAAGTTGTTAGAGACTGCCGTTTGATTCGTTCTATATGTATATATATACATAGCAACCTGTGAACTGTGATGTGACAAAATCAATACAACAGCTTATTCACGGTTTGTCACGGAAAATCCCTCATTTTCACCCGCCGTGGTGACTCACATGTTATCGTGACTGGATTTAGTAACGTTTGGTAAATCATCCTTGCAGAAGAAGGAAGAGACACTTCTACCATTGAAACTGGAAAGAGACTTTTATTGGAATTGGATTAGAGATGAGTAATTCTGCAACCGAGGGTAATAAAAAAGTAGCTTCTGCATCGATTGAACATGTCAAGGACAGGAATGGAATAGACCGAGTAATTCTTCGACACCATCGAGGACCTTCAGTTCTGGTTAGATTCTTTACCTTCTGCACAATCTTCATCCTTTCTTTCGGTTTACAAACTTTCTTTCGTTTCTTCAGGTTACTTTACATGGAGGACAGGTTCTTTCTTGGAAAACAGAACGTGGCGAAGAGTTGTTGTTCCTAAGTAAGAAGGTAAAGAATAATTCTAATATGAAATTCTCTACATAATCCTAACACCGTAATATATCTTTATTTACTATTTTTAATAAAATATTTTAAAAAGATATAGTATTTTCTAATGTAAACTGAGACTGTATTGTTCATTAATAATTATTAATTAATTAATTTTATATTGATTTTGTAAATTTAGGCTATCTTTAATCCTCCAACGCCGGTACGAGGGGGGATTCCGATATGTTTTCCACAGGTATGATTATTTTTTTTATTTAAATAACACTGTGAATTGCATAAAATAGATAGATAATAAGGAGATTAAATTTTCCAGTTTGGAAACCGAGGGACACTGGAACAACATGGATTTGCGAGGAAAAAGATCTGGGTTTTTGAGCAAAGTCCTCCACCGCTTTCCGGTGATTTCAATGAAAAAGCTTATATTGATATGCTGCTCAAATCATCCGAAGATGATACGAAGACATGGCCACATAGGTATCAGCTTAATTAACAGCTTTCCACCATATTTTACTAACATCAATTAAATGGGAAGACGTATAATTAACTGTTGCTGTGAATTTCGTGACATTTTAAATTATTTTATTCAGCTTCGAATTTCGCCTAAGAGTATCCTTGGCACCAGACGGTTGTCTGACTCTGATATCTCGCATCAGGAATATCGACGGCAAGCCTTTCAGTTTCTCCATTGCTTATCATACATATTTGTCCATCTCCGATATCAGGTCTGTTTGCTATTACAACAGTGTATTAATCGACTTTTTTCATGAATATGTATGTATTCATATGGTTATTTTCTTAATTTTAATATTGGAACAAGCATAACGTGCTTTAATTATTGACAGTGAGGTGAGGGTAGAAGGGTTGGAAACTCTTCACTACTTGGACAATCTATTGGAGAAGGAACGTTTCACTCAACGAGATGCTTTGACGTTTGAGTCTGAGGTGACGCAATCGTGATGGTCTAATTATTCAGTTAAGCCTAAGATTTAATGAGCTTGCTAATTTTTTTATTTTATTTTCCCATGTTTTAGGTGGATCGTGTATATATCGATTCTAGCGACATGGTAGCTGTTTTAGATCATGAAAAGAAGCGAACTTTTGTGATACGAAAGGAAGGGCTTCCAGATGTTGGTAAGTATATTCATGGGTAACTGTTATAACTCAAAATCAAATACAATTGTTAGGCTTAAGTCATTCTCTTACACAAAATCTAACAACCCTTATCAACTTTGGTATTGCACAGTGGTTTGGAATCCCTGGGATAAAAAATCCAAGTCCATTGTGGATTTGGGGGATGAAGAATACAAGCACATGCTATGCGTTGATGGTGCATCAGTTGAAAAACCAATCACCTTGAAGCCAGGTGAAGAATGGACAGGCCGCTTGGAGCTCTCTGTTCTCCCATCTAGTTGATCTTTAGTTTGCAGACACAAAGCAATTACTAACGGGGAATAAATCACTAAGCATTGTTTTCAAGCGATAGTTGTTTGTGCAACTCTTGTAACCTCAAATCTAAGGCCGTGACTTTTTTTTTTCTTTTAGCATAAGCTGCCCTTGATTATGAAAGGGGACAGGGAAATGAAAATTACTGAAGAAAAAGACAAAGTGGATTGATATATTTAGGAACTTGAAAATGAATTGTTTTAACTTGGTCAAGCGGAAAATAATTTCATTCTCCAATTTCAACTTAGCACGGCGTTTCTGCAAAGAGTGTTCCATACCGAGCAAATTGCTGTTGTAGGACCCATACCCACTTCCAATAAACAAATTGAATAATTTTATTTCTTTTTCCTTTTTCAAAATGATAAAATTCTGCATTTGAAAGAACAATCAACTATGTGATGCATTAAATATATTTTCCTAAAAATAAACATTAATAACTGTCCTGTGTATTGCTTGAATATCTTTAATTTCAGATAAATTTTTAAAAAATAAATTAAAATGACCGAGTAAAAACATTTAAAAATATAAATAATCACGTCTTTTTAAAGAAATACAGATTATTCTAGTGACAAGAAACTTAATAAAAAAATATATACTTCTAAATCTGTGATTCGTGAATAAAAAATAAAAAATAAAAAATAAAAAACATTCTATGATAGTTTCAATTTTTTTTATTTGACTCGAATTGTTTGTTTTGATATCAGATAATTATTTTTTAAAAATATCTACATTCTCTAATACAAATATAATTTATATTAATTTATACATATATTTAACGAGTTAAACTAATTTTATTTAATTTTAAATTAAAAAGCATATTTTAAGTGGAAAAAGAGTTATGTTACTTTACTTTCAATTTGCAATAAATTTATTGGTGGACAAAAAAGGTGGTTATGTGGTGTGTAGAATGAAATTTATCCTTGATTGTATTCGTTAAACTACTCTTCAAAAACCACTAATGGTTAAGTAATATATAAAAATACATTAAATAAACAAGCAGAGAGTTAGATTATGGACAAGGAAATTGAATGAATTGCATGGATAATTTATAAAATTCATTATTATCATTATTACATTAAAATATAAAATTAAAATAGCCGTACAATTTATATAAATACATTGATAGACGCACGCAACTATATACCCCCGCCGGCTTTAGCATATCAATCTTAATAGCGATTTAATCCGTACAACTGTTCTTGCACCAGAAAAAGGAAATAAGGCAATGCCTGATTTCTGATACCCAGCCAAATGAAGCATAGTAAAAAGAAGTTATTTTATTTTTTTGGTAAAAAAGTGATGTGAATAGTTAACTCTTTTTTTGGGTTCAAGTGGCAACTCTCTTAATTAATGAAAATAAGAAAATGCACTCGTTCTGAAGTGGACCCAATAAGCAAGGGTCCAATACTTCCTGCTGGGCCATGATTATCTGTGTTAAAGGACCATTCGAGTTGGGTCAACCTGAAATGAGACCCAGTTCAAGAGTCACTATCTTCTGAAATATTCTGGGCAAAATATTGTGAGATCTTTCAATTGTTTTATTGTTATTTGGGCTCATTGAAATGCCTTTCTAGTGGGGTTTTCGTTTTGGACCTCGAACTGTTGACTGAAAAAAGAGAGGGAAAGCATCCAGTTATTTACATTAAATTAATGTATAATTTTGCAAAATTACACGTATAACTTTTACATAAAATATGCGTAGATACTTCTTATACAAATAAACGAGGCAAAGAAAGTGGTGGAGTGAGGACATCTGAGTTTAAAGGAATCCACATGATAAATTTAATCGTATTTATGCTTCCAACTAAAACAGGGTCGATGATAAATTGTTGTTTATTTTGATCGAAATAGGTACTCTCTCTCCCATTCTTTTCCATTTTTATATTTTACTTGTTAAATGAGAAAATATGAAATAAAACATGTGAAGGCAACAACAGGTATCTTGATACCAATTTAATTTTAGTTGGAAGAAATAAACAGTAGTTACTCGCATGAAATTCTGATTTTATCACATTTTCTCAATAGGAGTATTCTAATATTATACAGCAAAATTTGGGTATCCTTGGTAGAGTGTAGGTGCCAATCTCACGCTCACATGAGCCTGCCATTAATGCTCTCTAGCAATAAGTTACAGCATTTCCGACGCCGTTAATTTTCACTTTTAACCTCGCATTGGATGCCACACTTTTTACCGATCACCGTTATTTCTAACAAATCATAACTTCGTACTTTTTATTCTTCTCATTTTTGCCTCGTCTTCGTTTGGAAATTGTAGTGCTGTTAAACGACGACTTTAGAGTAGCAGAGTCAGATCTGGAAAGTAAACGACACGAGTGATAGGGCCAAGTGAGCACCCTCTGCTTTTAACTCTGCTTTCCTTCTAATAATAATAAATCTTAAATTTTACCTTGGCCGCAACTGCATGCACGTTCTTCTATGCAATTTTCTGTGTGTCTGCTTCTAATCCCGTTCTTTTTTTATGCCCTTTCTCACTTTCCTTTTTCTCTCTCACGCATTTTCCTTTCTTTTGTGTTTGTTTGTTTGCTTGCACTAGAGCAGTTGCATTGCATTTGGTTTCAGTGCAGAGCAGAAACATCTCGTTCTCTGCTGGAACATGGATTTTTTTGCACGCGTTTTGTGTTCAATCTACATTGTGGGTTTCGTGCTCTGGCTAGGAAATGCAGGACCCATTGAAGACAAGCGAGTTTTGCTTGACTTCATTGAAAAGTTTCCTCCCTCAAGGCCTCTCAACTGGAATGAGAGTTCTTCCCCGTGTACCACTTGGATTGGTGTCACTTGTAACGAAGATAAGTCACGGGTCATTGCCATTCGATTGCCAGGGTTTGGATTTCATGGCACCATTCCTTCGAATACAATAAGCCGCGTCACGGGCTTGCAAACGCTGAGTCTCAGATCCAACTTCATAACTGGGCATTTTCCTTCTGATTTTTCCAATCTCAAAAACCTTTCTTTTCTGTATCTTCAGTTCAACAATTTCACGGGGCCCTTGCCCGAATTCTCTGTTTGGAGGAACCTCTCTGTTCTCAACTTGTCCAATAATCGTTTCAGTGGCAGCATTCCTCTCTCGATTTCGAATTTGACACTGCTTGTTGCTTTGAATCTCTCAAACAACTCCCTCTCTGGTGAAATCCCTGATATTAAGTTGCCCCAGCTGCAGCAATTGAATTTGGCTAACAACAATTTGCACGGTGCTGTGCCCCTCTCCCTCCAGAGGTTTCCTGAGTCAGCATTTGTTGGAAACAACGTTTCCTCCCATGCAACTCTCCCCTCTTCAAAACCGGGTTCTGAATATGAGAAACATGGAAGGCTTGGTGAAACTGCGGTGCTGGGAGTTATCGTTGCCGGTGCTGTTCTTGGTCTTGCGGCATTCATTGTTTCTATCTGTGTGTGCTGCTTGAGAAGGAAAAAAGGAGATGCCTTTGTTGGGAAGTTGCAGAAGGGTGATATGTCTCCGGAAAGAGTAGTTTCAAGGGACCAGGATGCAAATAATAAACTTGTTTTCTTTGAGGATTGTAATTATGCCTTTGACTTGGAGGATTTGCTAAGGGCCTCTGCCGAGGTATTGGGGAAGGGAACGTTCGGTGCTGCATATAAGGCTGTCCTAGAGGACGCTACCACAGTTGTTGTGAAGAGGTTGAAAGTGGTAGCTGTTGGAAAGAAGGATTTTGAGCAGCACATGGATCTTATTGGAAGTCTTAAACATGAGAATGTGGTTCAGCTAAAGGGGTATTACTATTCCAAAGATGAGAAACTGATGGTGTATGATTACTACAGTCAGGGGAGCGTCTCCGCTTTGTTGCATGGTATGTGGTATGAATTCTTTTTCTGTTACAAGTTACTTTCGAAATAGACATTGGTTCTCAATTGTTAAGGATCTCTTGTTTTTTGGTACTTGAATGTGGTTATTGCTTTTTAATTTTGAGTGTTTCACTTTCTTCCAATGGCTGCATTCAAAGGAAAAGGTTGCTTCTACATGCTGGTATGTTAAACAAGTTTAAAATGTTGTTTCTTGATAGTCTTCTTTTGATCCGGAATTTAGCCATGGCAAAATTAAATGGATACATAAGATTTTAAGTTTGAAAAATACTTTTTGGTTGTATGTGTTTTCTGAAGCCAAAAAGATCTTGGCTTCTCTCTGGAGGGCTTATCCTCTGTTTCTCATTGCTGTTGTTCTACATTTAAATGAAGTGCTTTATGTGAAGAACTCAAATGCCTCCACGATTAACGTATTGGAAGCTCTTGCCTGGAGTAAGTTGTGTACAGAATCTTCTTGTACCAAAGATGACCATACATCAAATTAATAAAACAATTAAAACAAATCTATCTTGAAATTTTTATTTCAGTAAGTACTACACCCAACACAATTATGCTGTCCAAACTTCTGTAAAGACTAATGCATTCTGAAATTTTCAGGTAAAAGAGGAGAGGATAGGGTCCCTTTAGATTGGGATACTCGGATGAAAATTGCTTTGGGTGCTGCTCGAGGCCTTGCCCATATCCATTCCGAGAATGGTGGGAAGCTTGTACATGGCAATATCAGATCCTCAAATATCTTTTTGAACACAGGACAGTGTGGTTGTGTATCCGATCTTGGCCTGGCAACCATAATGAGCTCAGTTGCCATACCCATCTCGCGAGCTGCTGGTTACCGAGCGCCTGAGGTTACATACACCAGGAAAGCAGCACAGCCTTCAGATGTTTACAGCTTTGGTGTGGTGTTACTAGAGCTTCTGACTGGGAAATCTCCGATCTACACAACTGGTGGTGATGAGATTGTCCACCTTGTGAGATGGGTTCATTCAGTTGTGAGGGAGGAGTGGACAGCTGAAGTATTTGACTTGGAGCTAATGCGATGTCCCAATATAGAGGAAGAGATGGTGGAAATGTTACAGGTAGCAATGTCATGTGTGGTAAGGGTGCCTGATCAAAGGCCTGAGATGTCAGATGTTGTAAAAATAATTGAAAATGTCAGGCAGATTGATGTGGGCAATCAGCAATCATCTGAGAACCAAGTTGAAAGTGCAACACAGCCCCCTTTAGCCACTTAGCATAAATTTTTTCAGCATGGTAGTGACAACTCCTCTTCCTTGTCCTCCACCCCAAAAGGAAATGAACGATAGAGATTTGCTTGCTGCCTTTATTTATTTGATTTGAGTGCATCTGAAAATGTTTTGTTACAAATTCTATGGCCTTTCCCCCTTACAAAATCTGGTCGCTGAAACGGCCACTTTCACTACGTTTTTTCCTTGTAATTCTTGTTCAACACATTTGCTTTTACCCCCGAAGAAGAACTAACAAATTTGATTGATTTTATATTATAGTATTTTAATGCGAGAAGGGGTAAAAGGAAGCACCCGATGATGATGCAATCGGGTGGTTTCTTGTCTTCTTGCTAGTTGCTAGACTGAGTATACAAAATATTTTAGAGGTCCATTTACAGGTCATGGTCATAAAGATTTATATGAAATCCTATAGTATGTCATGATGACATACTCAATTATCTATAAACCTAACCACGTTAAGCTCTTTGATCATTGTTGTAGTTCATACTTCATATATATTCTATGCTTCGTTATCATACTTAATTAGTGACAACAGTCACAATTGTTATTGACACGCATCACATGTAGATGTGTAAATACTAGTCAACTAACTGCAAGAAGCTGGACTCAAATACGCATAATGCAGTTCCCTTTGTGATGGGAGGGTTTGGTGATTTTAATATCTCATGTATTGTGTAATTTATTTACCAGTAAATGTTGTTAATATCGATTCGCGCGGGGATATTAGCTTAGGATAGATATCTCCATAGACATTGTAATAGTCTGTACGAAAACCTTTCCTATATGATATTCGGGTGTGGAAATTGATTGTCCACCTACTATGCACGTTAAGTTTTGCCATAGATGAATTCATTCTGTTGTGCAATATATTGAGGTAGATGGCTACTTTCTCTGGTAGTTAAATCTTTAAATGTCTCAACGTGTGTGCATTTCTGGTCACTAATGAAGAAGAGGTAGCTCTGTATAGTAGCAAGGAACATTATGGGTTTTATCTTCATTATTTCATGATGGGATTATGTCTATGGCGTAAATTCAATAACATGTCAAAGGATTAGAAGCTCTGGAGACTGGCAAGATAAATAACGTTTAACCAACTCTAACTAGAGATCTCACCGTATGACTTGTGCTTGTCATACAAAGCTAATTATATAAAAATTTTGGTATGGATTGCTCTTCGAACTTCGATGTTACTAAAATTTCTCAATTTTGCGGACAGAAGATATTACAAAGTTGGGCTCTTATAAACATAAGGCTCATTTTGTTGATGGAATTTGGTTTATCCAGTGACGATTATACACTTGACTTGTAGGGTCTAGATTTGGTTATTAATTTTCTTTAGTAAGTATTACGGTCTTGAAGCTTATGGCAAGCCTTGAGTTTTTTCTAAGCTTTGTTGAAAATCTAGTGTAGGTGGAATGAAGTGAACAAGAGCAGACCAAAATAAAATAAAATTATCATTTCATAATTTGGATATAATAAATAAATTTACTGATAATAAATCCATTCATCTTATCATATATCCCTAAATATGATGGAGAAAGAAAAAAAAAATATATATATATATTAAATAAAATGAAATAAAATAAAATATATGAAGATTTGTTCGTTTTATCTTTAATTTAAATAATAATAATTAATGTAAATTTATTATACTAAATATTTTATTGATCCAAACATAACTTTTAAGCTTGTAGAAACAAAACAAAAAAAAACGCTTAAGGTATGTCTGTTTGGCTAGTGATGGTTTGGGGGCCGTGGGAGAAAATGGCACCAAATAGTAGATGATCTTATGTCCCTTAATCCTTTACAAACAAATAGATTAAAATAAAATCATACCCTCATGTAGTCCAATGCTATGTTGGCAATGCTTTTCTTTCTTCCTTTCTTTCTTTTTGGGTCAAAAGGCAATGCTTTCTTTAAAGTGAAAAAACTGAAAAATTATGGACCTCCAACTGGTCCAGTGAGCGTGGCCGTGAGTCCGGTAACGCCACAAAGGCTCTCTCTCTCTCTCTCTCCCTCTCCTGGCCCAGAAAAACACTTTCTTTCTACATTTTTCCGTAGTTGACCAAAAAAGTGGAATTTTCTCAAATTTTTCCGTGGAGTAACAAAACCGCAAAAATATAATTGATGGCCCATTGATTTGACCATGGATTGGGTTGCCGCAAAAGATTTCTACAGCTTGAATGTTCTGTAAGAGAAAAGGAACTGGGGCATCTCAGAACAATTGACCCATCCCCAGAGATCTCAAAAATGAAAATAGACATGGCTGGAAATTAGTGTTGGAATTGAATGGACAAGCTAAGATGGTCTAATAAAAATGTTTTAAGGGTACACTGCTATACTAAAGTTATAAATAACTAGAGGAAACAAAGTTTTAAGTCTACACAGACTGAGCTTCATAATAGATATAAAATCATTCTTGGGCGTTACATTATTATTATATTTTGCTAGAGAAAAATATGCATTACTTGCATAACTAATCCATACGCTTGGGAAAGGGTTTTTTTTATAAATAGGCCTGCTTCTTTCCATTAAGCCGAAACAATCTCCCTTCGGATTGGGAATAATGAACATTAATTGTATTTACATTAATAAGACAAAATATAATAAAATTTAAAATCATAGAATATATATAGCATTTGCTTTTGATCACTGTTTATACTATCCAAAAAGTAGACAAGACTCGGAGTGTGGAAAGAAAACATTGAAGGAGTTAATTTTCACTTTGGAGTTTTATTATGGAAAGATAACATTTGATGCAGAAGCGATGAGGGTGCCGGTGATGCACATGCGACCGCTACATCTTTATTAACTTCGCCAGTAGACACCTTTTACTTTCCTGCTCCACGTGTCCCTCTCGCCCCAAGGACTCAAAGAATAACAAAAGTTGTATAGAAAACATTTTCCTTACATTAATTAGACTTAATCTGATAAAAGTATTTACTTATATCACAAATTCTTGTGTAAATATTTGTGCTGATTATAAAATATTATTAATAATAATTATACGAGTTGCTATTGTTGAAATAAGTTGTTTACAATTTTAATTCCTTAAATTTTATCTTAGATCGACAGTATTATAAGTAAAGCAAATGACTTTATATTGTCTAGTGAGAGTGGTAATATCTCCGATCCCTCTCTTTTTTTGTTTTTAAATATTAAATTAAACATAAAAAATTTAAAACATTTACGGGTTTCTAAAAACCATGCCTCTAATCTCTAATTGAAAATGATAAAATAGAAAGAGTTGAAATATTAATTGTCCTCCAATTGAGACAAACGGTGAGAATGACAGGATGAGCTCCATTCCATTCGGGAAGATCTAAGTAGTGATGGACGACTCGATTCGCCACATGTTCCTGAAATTGCTACGTACTGACGTGGACCGTTCTGAGAGATAAATGCATGCTAATGCTAATGTGATTTTAACAACATAAAATATATCAATTTTAATAATATATACAAATAATCAAATATAAATTAAAATAAACATCCTTAAAAAAACGAAGAGAGAGTAGTATTTAAAGGCTTAATTGTCTGAGACATTATGATGGTGTAATGATAATAACTAAAAACAAAGCACATCTTGGCCACACTGCTCATTGACTTCAAAAATAAAAAAAGGTACATATGAGTGCGGTTAAACTTGAAAATGCTAAGAACCAGAGCTTCTCTCTATTTTGTGGCTCAATGCTTGCATCAAAGTATGCAATTACACCTTGGAGACCATGCTTATTGTCTTCTGCCGTGCCGTTTATCTCTAACGCCATTCTACTTCCCATGCATCTTTCTTCCCCTCAATTTTCTTCTCCAATAATTCTACTTAATTATTAAATATTCAACCCCATAACTCTATATACAAATTTAGAGACACGGCCATGTCGTCTTCTTAGAAACTTGCTTACTTGTTATATGTTCTTTTTATTCCGATTTCATCTTTCAATTAACTCCAAGTTTCAACTAACTAATCTACTATTTCATCAATATCTCTTTCAAAAACAAAATAAATTTTATTTAATGTCTTAAAAATATTGATTAATTAGAAATTATATTTAATATAATAAATAATTTTCTATTATGTTTTAAAAATGCGTGTTTTTTAAATATATAGAAATAAAAAAATTCAAATCCCAATTACTTGTCACGACTCAAACAGAAAATGTGAAAAATAAAATTTCTTTAACAAAGTTGCATGCCAAGTACACATAAATTAAAATAATTCATGCTAACCATTGGCGCCAATTTCTAAGGTGCCTGTCAAGTCGCTATTTGATAGTGTTTTTTTATATATATTTTAAATAAAAATACATTTCATTTTAGAAATTAATTCTAACACATTTTAACTATATTTAACAAATAATAACATGTAGGAGACACGTTTAAGCCGTAATTAACTGTTATTTGAGACGTAATCGGAAGCAGATTTAATAAAATTGTATCATGTCACAACTTATGTGATATTATAGATATTAAAAAAATGAGATTTAAAATTCTATTGCCTGTATTGTCAGTCAAAGGGGGACTGATCCGATTCCAAGTGTCTCACCTCACGTGATTGGGCTGGCTTTTGTCCTACCCCACGTGTCGTCTTTTTATTTGCCTGACTTGTACGGACGTATCCTGGACTAATGCCGCTACACCCAATCCTAATTACTTACTTCTCAGATTAAGGTTAAGTATTTATAAATAAATTATATAGTTATTATATTAAAGTTATAAAAATATAATAAATAATTTTTAATAAAATTTTATTATTATTAACTATTTATTTTTAATCTTAATAATTGATATTGACAAAAAAAATAAATTTAAATATGGTTTTAAAATATTAAATTTTAAAAAGTGTTCAAAATATATTAAAAATATGCTGAAGATATGATAATTATAATTTACAATAATTGTAGGTATGAAAAGAAAATGGAAAATGGAAAATGTTATATCCAATGTTTATTTGTAATTCTTTAATCGAAAACTTTATGAAGATCCAAAAAAATATATAGAAAAAGGTTAAATTTAAACTACCCAGACTAACCGTGATTGAAAGTATTTTAGCGAATAGGTATTGGATCCTATAAAATAGGTTTGTGGAGGGAAGAAAGAGTAGCTATAGCTCTTCTACTTGAGACTTTTAGTATCTCTTACCATCGGCAACCTTTCAGTACCTCATAGTTCTTTCTTCCCTGCAGCTCTTGGTTCCATAACCATTCCATCCCTTACATTTTTAGGGAGTACACTACTCCCTGTGCCTTTACTGCAGCTATCAGGGTTCCGTTAGTTTACCATTTCAAAGCCATACAAAGAAAGTACGCGAATCACTAGCACTTGCTGAGCCTGAGCATAGCAGAGCACAGGTCGTAATTTCGGCAACGCTGCTTAATCCCCTTTTTTTAATTTTTCTTTATGTTTAAGCTTTCAGGCAAATTTTATGCTCATTTTTGCCCCCACAATTCACAGGCCACACAGCTCTTGGGTCAGCCTCACACGCCTTCACTTTTTTTCGTACCTTCTGTCCCCTGCTTCATTCAACAACAACAACTTGTTCTGCACTCCCTCTACCATTTTTCATTTTTCTCTCCTTTTTAACGTAACTTTCCTTTAAATTACTACTCCTTTAATAACTTTCCCAACCATAGCTATTCAATCCATAAATTCACTCTGTATTCTCTCTCTCTCTCTCCCTTTCCCTTAACCTTCTTTATTCTCTTCCACCTCCCCGTGTCCCAAAGAATATCTCTCTCTCTTCCTTTTTCCCTTTTCCATCTCTATTTCACCCTTTCACTGCCTCACTCACTCCACCGTTTCGCCTTCGCCTTTCAACGTCAATGCTATCCCCAACCCCAAGAATCTAATACACCGACATGACACCGGCACCCACCAACCACACTCACCACCTCGAACACACCCAACTCTTCATACCCGCAGAACAACACCCCCCAATCAAACACCCATACCCACGACTCGTGAGGATAACTGTCACTGACACCGATGCCACCGACTCCTCCAGCGACGAAGAACAACCCTTCCGCACTCTCACGCGCCACCGACACAAGAAGTTTGTCAACGAGATTTCCATCGTGTCCTGCACCGCCGAGAACGACCGCGTCGTTTCGAAGAAGAGAAGCAGGACAAAGTCCAAGGCCAGAGCTTCAGAGTCTCGGCAAGTGCCCTCCGGCAAGAAGTTCCGAGGAGTGAGACAGAGGCCTTGGGGGAAATGGGCCGCGGAAATACGAGACCCTTCGCGACGCGTCCGGTTATGGTTGGGTACCTTCGATACTGCTGAGGAAGCTGCCATGGTGTACGACAACGCGGCTATTAAGCTGCGTGGACCCGACGCGCTCACCAACTTCATAACGCCACCTGTCACGTGGCAGGACTCGTCGGAGCATAAAGACCCGCCGGCGCCGGTTAACGGGTACATTTCGGGGGACGAATCTCAAAGCAAGAATTTGTTTTCTCCCACTTCCGTGCTTCAGTGTTGTTCGTTGTCCGAGGAAGCAGAGTCCGTAACTGGCAAAGACGATGAATTATCGTGCGTGTCGGAGAATTTCTGCGATAAGACGATGCCAGTGGATAAGACCAAATCGGAGTCACCGTTTTCGATTCCAAGCGATATAGAATTTGACTTCCGAGGTTGTTGGTCGGCGCCGGATGTGTTTGACAACTTGGATAACGTGCCGGAAAGTTTGTTGTTCTGCGATGATTGGCACGGTGTGTTTCTCACTTCTTGTGAGGATTTCGGCTTCAAAAGTTGGTATACGCGCAGAAATCGTGACTTCTTCCAAGACATCGACGATTTATTTGTCTCAGATCCTCTTCTTGCTCTTTGACTCCATGAATTCGTTATTTAACAAATGAGACTCGTCACTGCGTTGCCCTCCAAATCGGCAAGTTTTGTATCGGCGGGAAATAGCTATTGTAATCACTCACTAATCGTTTTTCTTTTATTATTATTATTTTTATTTTCGTTGTGGTCGTATTTGTAAGTTGTAACATTGTAGTAATTATGCTCAATCCTTGAACGGTTGGACCTTTTAGTTTACTATATAATAGTAGTAATTATCTTTAATTATATTGGCTGTTTTTTAAGGTGACATCAAATTATTGGTTTAGTGTCCTACATTGCTTGCCATGTAAAGTTCAAGCAGGATTTTTAACCCCAAAATAGAGCCTTTGTGATTGTAATTACAGTAAAGCCCACAGAGTTGCTATGGACTGTTACGTGGTTAAATAGAGACGGCCGTTCTGGTATGGTATATCATATATGTAAGTTGTAAGTTATGCTGTGAAATAATTTTAAAATTGAGAAATAAAAAATGTATTCAAAAATTATAAAATTATGTAGAAGTAGGATTTGAAGAAAAAAAGAGTTTGAGGTTTTTTTTTAATAAAAAGTGTCATTTTGAGTAAAGATGATTTAACAAATTAAATTTATAAATATGATAAAAAGAAGAAAGAATTTGAAGCTTTAGATTAAAAATATAATTATTTTTTAAAATAAATAAAAATAAAAAATGCATACAGCTTAAATTAAAAGAATATAAAATGCAATTAAACGTTAAGATTTTAAAACATGGGTATGCATGTTGGGTTCATCAATTAGAACAATTGGGTACATGCGCGTATGAGTCTTAACGGTTTATTAAATGAATTTTACAGAGAAGGTTTACAATTAAGCTGTTTGTTGCACATTCAATGATTTACAGGGAAAATTTCAGATGTGTTGATTTAGGCATTGCTTGGTGGGGTAAATTTACACCTGCCAGCTTCATTCTTCGCCACATATACAAACCTTGTCAACGATTTTCTCGCAGAAAACTACACAAAGGGGTGATTTGGTTTGTGGTACATGCTGTGACAATCTCCCATTGTTACTAAATGTTTTTGGAGATTCAATTCAAACAAGAAACAGTGTTTTTATTAGTATGTTTTATTTTGCCTTTTTTTGTTTATTATGAGCCATTGATTAAGAAGCTCATTCAATGTTTGGCTGTAAACAGAAAAACAAAGCTCTTTTGGCTACAAATAATGCGAGATTAGTCAACTAAATCAAATTCTAACATGGAAAGTCAACTGTGTCAATTTTTATTTTTTGGTTATAATTGGCGAAAGAGCAAGACTTTTGGCCCCCTCAAAAGCCAGAACTTGAGATACCAACAAGCTTCTTTTTCGTTTTCATTTTCTGTTTTGGCCGAATTGAGGCCTGTTCCCAACGTCCCAATAAAAGCAAAAGAAAAAAATACGACAGGATCTCTAAAATGCCAAGTGGCACATAAAATCACAATTGAGATTGAATGCAACATGAAAATGCGTTTTGGCCTTTGGTTTGAACCCAAATTCTGACATATGCAGAAGGGTGCAAGTGGCACAATACTTGGATACTTTTCATGGCACTAGCTGAGCAGAAAAAGCAGATACTCGTAGCCATTGCATTTGGACCACGTTAGACCCGTATTTCGTGAGCGTTTTCATTTCCATGCCATTATCCTTTTGCTTTTCCTGCATATTATTACACACTAAACTCTTCCTCTTCCCCATATTTCACTACAGAAACGCCATTTCTAATAGAAGGGGTGCGTGTTAATTAGTCCATAAACCTGCAATACTAATACATACATTTTAATTCCGGCTTTCCCTACTCATTTTTCTTCTAAAAATTGTATTCTTTAAATTTATTAATATGATCATTATTGATATTAAAGTTGTTTATTTTTTCACTCATCCTTTACGCAGTTTATGTTTGAGAGCAATTAATTATTGAGGAACAGTCTTTCGTGAAAAAGGCTCCAAGACCCGCCACTCATATATGTTTAGCAATTATTCGGAATTCAGTTTATTCTCGTTTCGTTGTTTTATTATAAAAAAATTATTTTATGATTAAAATGAAACACATTATTTTAAAATTATTTTTCACTAAAGCTAATTCATATTTATATTTTTATATACAAAACTTGTTTTATACAATTAATAATAAATATTTTTTTACAACTAATCCAAACAGATATAAAATAATTTTTGAATGGTGTACAGTGGAGGAATTATTTTTTTATATATGATATTTAAAAATAATATATATCCAAACATGAAAACTGAAAATTGTATTGGCATTTTTTAGTTTAGGTGCAGAGATTCATAAATTGAACAACGAAAAAAATTTAAGTATGGTTTTAAAAAAAAAAAAAAACTCCATTAACACCCATTTTTTAAAAAATTATAAAAAACCACTAAAAAATGTTATTGACAATTTTTAAAAAATAATATAAAATTTTAAAAGTACTATAAATGTCAACATCAATTTTGACAATTTTGAACTGCCGAGTTTTAAAAGTTTCTCATAATCTCATAATTTCATATTTTAATATTATATTTTTTCAACATAAAAAAACTGTACAGTAAAGACTAAACTATATAAAAAAATTATTTTACTTTTTAATAGTAACATTAATGTTTCGGGTTGAAATAGTTATGAAGAAGCAGATGTTGCATCAATGCTATTCCACTAAACCACCACGTTTCATTCATTAAATTCTTTGACGTACCACATTAACTTTAAAATAAGATCTTCATTCATTCTTGAATGTAATGCAGCATTTTACATAATTTTTCTTAGCCATTTAAAAATTTTTATTATTATTTTTTCCTTTTCCTTTAAACTCCTAAAGAAGTATCACTAAATATATTTGTGTCATATGTTTTAACCTCTTGACAGCAAAAAATGAAAAAAGAAAAGAAAAGGTACACCTCATCCATGGACCATACATGGAACAGACATATATCTTATGGTTTGAAAACAAAAATTAACAAACATGCTCTTCATGCTAAACGAACGAACGTCTCTTTCGGTGTTTAATGAGTCATATTTATGTAAGCCTTGGTCAATAAATGTGTCTGATATGGGGGTGTAGTTTCACAAAGATAGTCATGTGCAAGGTTAAGATATTTAATGATCCACTTGAAGCATGTGTATGTGTGAACAAGGGTGAAGACGTTAAGCCACAGATATGTCACTGTCTACTAGATCGAGGATGGCAGGTAATTTTTTTTATAAGAAAAGGCATGGCCTGCATAATTTGTCTTAATCTATTACTGGGATTTTTCAAACTCAGCATCATCAAGCCTCTATTACAGGGCTTCAACCATGTTCATCTATATATTTGGTCCCCTACCCTGGTGTTATACTATTAGATTTGTGCCTATGCACTTTCCATGTCTTGCATTTTGTATCATCATCATCATCATCATCATCTTCGTATCATTTATTTATATATAAACACTTTAATTTGCTCTTTCAAGAAGCAGCAGAAGATAACGTTAAACCTGGCACAGGTAACCCACCCAAAAGTATTCCCATATACCAACACAGAAAACCGAAAAATGCCAAAAAAGCTTCCACGTATGGATTCACATTTTAGAATCACAAAAATACAGAGGATCTTCCATGTTATTCAATCGCAGCCGTACATTTATCCACTGTAACGGTTTCTACTCTCTTCTTGTGATCATCTGGTCCCACGGTCCCCGCATGACACGTCTCATCCAGCTCAATCAATATTGTTTCATCCACATGATTGTGACCGCAGTCCCATCTACATGCATGCACTGTTTTTCCTGATATCTTTACCACATTGTATTCATCGTTTTCAAGTTTTATTAAACAACTCTCAAGTTATTTTATTTTATTTTTGTCTAAGTATCACTCACTTTTATGTCATGAGCTAATAAATGCTTCAGCCTTTGAAAATACACTGTAATGGTAACATTTAATTCAACTCTCAGTTGTTCATCTCCCAACATTAATGTCTTATTTACTAATGGGATAAAGTTGGATGTAAAAACAATACTAACCTGTGCCATAGTTCTGAATAAAAAAATTAGACATAGTTTTTTTTAATAAAAAAGGCATATATAAAAGTGGTTTTCCCTTTTGGGTTACAAGTAAATATTATATATATATTTTCTCCTTGTGACGGGCTACTGGCCTACCGCATTAAAAAGATTAAATAAGAAAACGCAAACAAGTCAAAAAGAGTTTCAAGTAGTAGTTTATAGGCAAGTGCTTTTCCTGAGAAGCCACATCAGCTTCTGGGCCAACCAGTGTTGGGCTTTATGATGTTGCTTTTGTTCCTCGGAGCCCTAATAAACGTTAGATTAGTCGCTTCGCCACTGACCAGAGAGCTACGTAACGCTGGACCTTCTTGGTGGAAGGGATTTGTGTGCCTCCTAAGGTTTTCTGTTTTCAATTTTCTTTAATGGATGGAACTCAATACCAATTAACTAGTATCCATAAGAATTCAGGGCTAGTTTAATTTGAATAGCGTATAATTATTCTCTATGCTTGGGCATTGTTCAAATAATTAAAAAATAGGCGTTGTAAGATGGGGGATAGGGATGTTAAAATTTAATGAAGGAAAATTACATATTTGTATGATTATAAAGAGAAAAAAAATCACCGAAGTATATGAGTTAATACGATATTCAATTAAATTTTTAAAATCAAATGGATAGAATCATTGGGGAAAAAAAACTATTTGGTATTAAAAATCACATCAAATTCTTTGTATATATTGGACAGGTGAAGAAGTATTGTAATACTCATTGCCAATGGGCCATGGCCCAAAGGATGTAAATGGGGCATGCTGGAGAATGCTGAGACGCATATGAATAGAAGCCGTTGTAAGATTGGGTTTAAGTGTTTTGTTTTCTGTCACATATTTTAGGAAGGGATACACTTTGGAAACACCGAGAGGAAGAATAAAATAAAGATATTTATGTCTTTTGTTTTTGTTTTTTGTTATTGGGCTCCTTTCATATTGTTGGGCTCTTTTTCGTTATTAATGGAATGGGTGTCTCTACATAAATTAATTTACATTTATTCCTCTTATAATTCATTATTGCTGTCTTCTCTTGCCTTTAATTTCTCAGTATTTTAAATTGTCAAGCGTTCAATCGAAGACATTTCTCTTCATTAAATAAAAATTTCACTCGCCTTTCTCAAAATTGTTTTCTCAACAGTCAGTGTACTATGGTCAGGAGAAGACTTTTTTGTCCCTTTAACAGAGCTGTTGTTAAATTTGTGTTGAGAGCAGGGGAAATGGTTATATTGATTGTCGAGTTTTTCGTCCATTTATATTCTTCACTTGTCATTTGTCTTTTAATTATATGTTGGTAGTCAATTATGGATTTGTTTGGTGAGAAAAGGTTTTTTTTACGGTAACGATGATGAAGGTTAAAATAAATGTTTTGTTGGCCTTATTTGCATATCCTGCCTCACCATGATGGCAAATTGTACTCAAGAGTAGTGGCTTGCCACAACATCGACAGCACAAGAAAACAATGCAGATGTGACATGATGTGAGCTGCACTTGATCTGGCTTTATGAACATGATACCATATCGATATTGAATTATTGATATCTAACATACAAATCACGGTTCACATATGGAGTTGTCTCTTTGGACTCAATGTACATGGCTTTGCCTTCGTCTGCAAACTTAATTACGGGAATACATTGAATTGTGATAGCAGATGTTAAAAGTACAATTGGGTTTCAGCACTTTCTTCCACTTGTTTTAAACTAGCATTAGTTATCTGTGTCAACAGAAAATGAAGCAATACAATTTATATGCTTGATCTTTTATTCCCATGTCTTTTCTAATAGCCTCTACTGTTCTCTTCTTTTTCTAATTTTAATTGTTTGCCGTTTCATACCCAGCTTAATGGTAATTGGCAACACTAACCTGGAGTTGATATTGCCTAATTTTGTTTCCAATTTACAGTGTTCTTGAACATTGCGAACCTGTGTTAATAGAAGTGTTTCTGGCTAACAATGAATAGAAAACTTGGAGCTTGATAATTGGCGGGTCATGGCAAATTTTTATGGAATTTTCATATTAACTTGGATTATAATTAAATGGTTAATTTTTTCTAGTTAATCTTTTTCGGAATTTCACTTGGTTAATTTTTTTTAACATGCACTTCACTTCACTTCAGAATTGGTATTTGTAAATCAAATTTAGCCAAAAGCTGGTGATGCTAAGAACTACTAAGCAAGGCTAGAAAATTGGGAGGAATGTAAAATGCCATCACTAAATAGAATGTAACATTGGGTACCAAGAAGAAGCCAGTAAATATACATCCCTTTCATCACTGGGAAATGCAACTTAGGGAACTTTTTTCTCCCAAATCTTGGCATTTCAGGCTTCTTGCTGGCTCCATAAAGTTGTTATAACTAGAATCAATTACTATATTATAATCAATGCTAATGGTAACAGCATCAATAAACATAACAACTTCTTTAAACAAAACACGATCAATCCATCAAAAGGTAGAAGAGAGGTCAGCGGAATGGATGAGATACGTGAGTGCGAGAGCCAACATCATAAGCACGTACGCAATCCCTTGATCTATGGACGTACCTGAGAAATAACAGTAATGAAAATGATGAATGCGAGAAAGTACGTAAAAAGTGTTGAGATCCAGCGAAGAAATGAGAACAGATCTAGAAAGAGAGGAATAAATAGAGATCGTTACCGTCGCTGGTAGGAGCAGGTGCCGGAGCAAGGGATTGAGAATGGACGGCGAGAGGCATGTAAAGAGTGAAGATGAGAGAGGCAACGACGGCCACAACTCCGAAACGGAATGAAAATGTGAACGCCGCCATGCCTTAGCTTCACTCAACTCAATCTTTGTAACAGTGGTGTGGTGAGAGACGCCGCTAGGCTTTAAGAGGCCGTTACAGAGAGGAGAGAGGCAACCGGTGAAGCCGGTATGCAAAAAGCCAATGTGGGCTCCACCCGCATGTTACGCTTGCTGAAGCTTAAACCCCATGTGATTCCCGGTTCGGTTTGGATTCCAAACCAGCCATAGCTGACACTCTGTCATCTTTTTCCCTTTTGGCGCCATATGCTTTTTTCTTCACCCGCTCTCTCTCTCTCTCTCTCTCTCTCTACTTTCAGTCATTTCTTACACAGGTATTTTTATTATTTTGTGATTTTTTTTCACTCAAAAGTAAGACATTTGATGTTTATGATTATTTTTTTATAATTTAAATTTTAAAAACAAAAGAAAATAATTGTAAATAATTCCCCTCTTAAGCTATCTGTTGGAGCTTTTGTTTTGGTCAAGAAAGGCTGACAGAGCTAAAACTAATTTCCTTAGGTCGCTTCTTTTTGGGCCTTGGCCCACTTAAAAAGTCAATTTTTTTTTTTTAAAAAACTGAAGACCTTAGTCTATGTTTAACGTAACTTATTAAAAAGTTAATTTATATTTTAAAAATAATTTAAAGTTGAAAAGTTATTGAGAGTTAAAAACTATAAATTTATATTTTTATTACTAATCACACATTAAACCAAAATTTTGGTGATTATATTTTAAGAATTTTAATGACAGAATGGCAACTGACGACTCAAAATACCATTAACATTTGAGTGGCTTAAAAAATTCCCATTAGCATCTGAAATTTATTTGAACAATTTTTGAATAATTAAGATATATATACAAAGTAAACAAATAATTAGTTTTGAACTTGGGTCGTTGGAAGGGAAAAGCCGAAAGGTTTTGATCGTTGGGCAAGCTGGCGTTGAATGAAAAATTCTAAAAACGATTGTCTCTTTGCTTTGCTTTTGCTAATAATTTATTTATTTATAGATGAATTAAATGTGGTGAGTGGAAGACAAAACGCGCGGGAACGTAGGGCACATGCAACGACCAATTTGCATGCATTCTCATGTCTTAGACCATAACGAAACTCTGAGGTAGAAGAAGAAGAAACTGCTTCTTCTGGTTGAATCCTTTATTGCATTTTAGTAACATTTCCTCAGAGTTTCTGTTTTCCTTTCTCTTCATCTCCTTCCTTCCGTTTTATCTTACACTTCTTAACTCGTCATCATCATCATCACACTACCCTGCAACCACGTTTCTAACCCCCCCCCCCCCCCCGACATAGGAAAAAGTTTCAAACTCACCATCTTCATCATTCTAGAATCGTTTGAGGCTTAAACATCATTTTGGGAGGATTTTAAACGGCAGGTACTACGAAATTGCATATGCTTGGATTCATATTTTGCATGCTTAGTTTTTTATTCTTTCCAATTCTGATTCAACGAATAAAATGTCATGATCTGAGGTGTTTCTTTTTCAATTTCAAGGATTGAAGGTGAGAATTATATTTAGAAGCCGGAATGGAACAGTTCCGGCACATTGGAGAGGTTCTCGGGAGTTTGAAAGCGCTAATGGTGTTGCGCGATGAAATTCAGATCAACCAGCGACAATGCAGTTTGATCCTTGACATCTTCAGTTTGGCCTTCGACACGATCGCTGAAGAGATAAGGCAGAACCTGAAGTTGGAAGAGAGGAACATGAAATGGAAGCCACTGGAGTTTCCATTGAGAGAGTTGTGTAGGGTTTTCAAAGAAGGGGAACTCTACATAAAACAATGTTTGGATTCCAAGGAATGGTGGGGGAAAGCCATCATTCTTTCTCAGAATCGAGACTGCGTTGAATTCCACATCCACAACTTGCTCTGTTATTTCCCTGCGGTTATCGACGCTATTGAGAATGCAGGGGAGGTGTCAGGGTTGGATCAGGACGAGAAGGAAAAGAAGAGAGTGATGTTAGAGAGGAAATACGACGTGGAATGGAACGATCCGAAGCTGTTCCAATGGAGGTTCGGGAAGCAGTATTTGGTTCCTCGCGAGATTTTGAAGCAGTTGGAGAATGCTTGGAGGGAAGACAATTGGAGGCTTATTGAAGCAATAAAGGAAAAGAGGGGTTCTACTACCAAATCCATGTTTACAAAGAACGAGCAGCGCCTTGCGGAAATGATGCTCAAGAAACTGTTGAATGGGTCAGAGATTTCTCCTATTGCAGTGCTTATAGGGTCTAAGGATTACCAAGTTAGACGAAGGATGGGGTGGGGGAGAGAGTTTAAGGAAATCCAATGGCTGGGACAGAGCTTTGCATTGAGGCACTTTCAAGGGGAGAGAGAAGCACACGAGGCTCAAATTTCCACTCTGTTGTCACTTTCTCACCCTAATATATTGCAATATCTTTGTGGGTTTTATGATGATGAGAAGGAGGAGTTTTCGCTTGTGATGGAGTTGATGAACAGGGACTTGCGGACCTATATGAAGGAGAATTGTGGTCCACGGAGACAGATTCTATTCTCTATCGCAGTTGTGGTGGATCTCATGCTTCAAATGGCTAGAGGCCTGGAGTATCTACATTCTAAAAAGATTTACCATGGAGATCTGAACCCCTGCAACATCCTTCTTAAGGCAAGGAATTCCCAAGAAGGTTATTTTCAAGCAAAAGTTGCAGGGTTTGGGTTTACTTCTATGAAGAATGGTGTAAGTCCTGTTAATGAGGATCTCAACCCTTCAATTTGGTATGCCCCTGAAGTTATGACCGAACTGGAACAAACGGGAAATGCTTCTACCTCTTGTAGGTACTCTGAGAAAGCCGATGCATATAGTTTTGGGATGATATGTTTTGAGTTGTTGACAGGGAAGGTACCCTTTGAAGACAATCACCTTCAAGGAGACAGAACCAACCAAAATATCAAAGCAGGGGAGAGACCTTTGTTCCCATATCGTTCCCCAAAATACCTTGTCAATTTGATAAAAAAGTGCTGGCAAACTGACCCTTCTCAGAGACCTAGTTTCTCTTCTATATGTAGAATTTTACGCTACACCAAAAAGTTTCTTTCCATGAATACAGAGTACCATGTCATCAACCCTGAACAAAACCAGCTTGAACTGCAAACCCCTCCTGTTGATTGTTGCGACATAGAAACAACATTCCTTACGAGCTTTCCAATGGAAAGGGCATCGAGTGTGTCTGCTGTGTCACAAATACCTTATGAAATGTTTGTCTATAAAGTTGTGGAAAAAGGGAAGATGAATGGGAGTAATACCAAAGTTAAGTGTTGTGAGGCCACGAAGGATAAGGCCTCCGTTTGTATGGGTGAAAATGAAGAGCAAAACAAGATTTGTGGTGATGATAATGCATCCATAGTGGAACATTCAGTCCCTCCAGAAACATGTTCAGGATCGGTCTGTGTTGACACGCACCCTATATGTTCCGAAGCCCCGTCGAGGAAAAGCGTCTCAATAAAAATCTCGACACAAGGAGTGAACGCCAAGAAAGACCAAGGTCAGTTTGGTTGTTTGCACTCAATTCCTTTTAATTTTTATTCTACCTTGAAATTTCCTCGTGCTATATATATGTACTTTCCAAGAACTTTTATGATGGGTGTTAATCGTGTATTTTGGTTTGTGATGACAATTGGAGATTTTTGTTTAATTCTTATTTTGATATATAAGCATTTCAAAAATATTCACAAGTATTTTGATAATATGATCAGTTTAATTGGAATAAACTAATTTTTATTAAATTGGTTGAAGCAGGAATGCCAAAATTGCGAGGAACAAAATCATTACCATCATCTTTATCTGGTAAAGTTTTAAGGACAATTAAGGCAAACAAACCATCATTGGCGAGTCCTAGTAGAAGAAAATATATCCAAGTCTCTGAATTGGAGCACAATTCCAAAGGAAATCAAACACCGTTAAGGTCAATTTCTTCGAAAACAGTTAGGAGAAAAAATTGTGAGGGTAATTTATCAGATTTTAAGTCCAGTTTAAAGTTGAAAAAGAAGGAACAATCATCATTAACTACATATGGCAATGTCACTAATTCTAGCAGTGGTTTAAAGACGAAGAAGTCACAACTGACTTTGAACCCTTCTTTGAGCCCAGGAAGATTAAGACGTGTCAATACTGAGACTAATTTGAAGATGCCAAAGGGCTTAACAACAACTCATGCATTGAGCACTTCGAGAACATGCATAAGCAAAACATGTGGTGCTCATGTCTCAGATTTGTATGGTGGCATAAAGATAACAAGAAGTCGACTGTCACCATTAGCATTGAGTCCCTTAAGCCCTTATGTGAGAAAAGGCAAAGCATGTACCCTTGTCTCTGACACTGAGTGTAGATTTATGAAGAAAAGAGGAAGCTTGTCACCATTGGCATTGAGCCCTTTGTGCTCATATGTAAGGAATAGCTGTGGCCATGTCTCCGATTAAGGCCTTTTTTCAATTTCAACCGCTATGGAAGATTTGAAATCATCTCACGTTTTGAGATTATTTAGATCGTCATCACGTCGTCATCACCTTACCTTTTTCTTAGTAGTTACTGGTTCTTAGACCATTTTGCATCATCCAAATTTTTCTGAGATTTATAATCATTCTTAACACGTGTATCATTTATTAGAGTAAGTGAACACAAAAAATGTAGCTTTTTATGGGAAGGTTGGAAGCATAGTTTCATGTTTGGTTGTATTATTTGCAATCTTTCAAAGTTTTCCTTGTGGTTTTAGGACTATGATTTTGAGCAACTAAATTTTGGGTGGATATTTGTGTCATAATTGGATGTTGCCTCCTTTACTTTGTCCTCTTTTTTTTTTCTCTTTTCCATCGGTTACTTTTTTTAAAATTCTGTTATGTTTTTTTTTATGATTCTGTGCATAACTGCATGCAATGTGTTAGGTATGCATTAAAAAAAGACATGGATAATATACCTTCGGATTAAAAATAAATTATTTTATCTATTATATTTACTTTAAATCAAATATACATTAATTTTGACATAATTTAAAAAAAATCTTGCGTTGACTATTTCAGAAAGAACTTTATTACTACCTTTCGCTAGAAGGATTAATACCATTGCTACTCAAAGATTAAAAAAGAAAGGAAGGGAACATTAATATATTCACAAATTCTTCAGTTAATTTGGAGATCAATAGGCGAGCGCTGATCACCTGCCCTTGATTGTCACCATAAAAATGCTCGACGTCATTCTCAAATCATATAATAAAACATTTATGTTTGCTAAAGTAAAATAAATTATGTTAACAACGAATACATATAGCCTTGCGCAAGGGACAGCAACCTAAAACCAATATCGTCTACATAATGTACTAGGGGATATATACAAGGTCCATTGTCGGTGGAGAGCGCCACCGAGAAACAAAGAAAGGTGAGGGTTGTTTCCAATTGAAGCTATATGCTATCCTCTCATGGTAATGAAGTTTGCTTTATCTTTTGATAACAATAATTTTTCCTATAACCTGATAATTGCTAGTCCTTTATAAATAAATAAAAAACTTGATAAGGACCGCAATACAATTTACAAAGTATCATACTAGCTTTGCACGGCTACGGGGTACTTTGTCATGCTTAGAAGCAACTTAGCACCTGCCGTTCCGATTCCAAAGTCTTGACCTTTTTCCTATATTCAATCTCCTTCTCAGATTGATCTCAGGGAAACTGAGGAATAACAAGCCTTTTCTGAATAAGAAATTCTGGTTTGAAGTCCAAGCTGGCACATCATGATGAATCCAACCTTCAAAAAGATCTGGATTTATTTTATAAATCTATTTTTCTTCATTCAATTATGCCCGAAACTCGAGTCTTTCTACTTTGAATTATAAACTAGAGCTCAATGTCGAAAGAATTTTTTATACGATCCCAACAGTTTGATGGGATTTGGCCTGACTGCCCGAGTGACGAGCAAAACTGCAGGAATTCGCAAAATTGTAAAAATAACCATCATCAAGGGCAAACTTTCCTTTTAAACCATCTGTAACACTTTTACACATCCACTTGAATTGGCCGCAATAAGCATGTCTGATTTCCCTCTCCAGCACACACTTGAAACAAACTGACCATTGTCATCATCGGTCTCTCTACCAGAAATGGGATCAACGGATCCAAATTTCTGTGAAGTGATTGGCATTGGAAGTGATCTATAATAGGTGTAAACCTGCAAGAAAACATAATGAATGAACATACTATTGTATATACTAGTAGCACAATAGGATATGCATAGAGCATAGTGAATGAACATGTTAAATTTTAATAAGTTAAATGAAGCAAAAAATGTTCTACTGGAAACTAATATATACCTCATTTGTTTCTGAACCACATGCAATGTATCCATCAGCCACTGACAAACCCACAAAATTCTGTCAAGGGAAGAGGCAGAAGAATTCAACCAACCAATTTGAGTAAACATAAAAAAACTCGGGTCAGCTTAATGACAAACAGATCAAATTTCTGACATTAAGACATAGGAGTTGTTCTCAGAGCTGTCAAATGATTTTGGGCAAAGATAATCTGGATTTCACAAAAATTTGATTTTTGCCGTTCAGAATTTTTAGATCATCAACCATAATCAGATGCTACATTTAACACCAAAGTGAAGTTCTCCAAAGAACTTTGAAAGAAAGTGACAAACAAACCTAGACTTTACAAACATAAATTCCATATAATGCTATAAATTATAAAATTTAAAACCAAACCTTCTCATTTGTATGTCCTGACAGGGTTAGGCTGCAAGCACTAGGGGATGCACCCAGAGGAGAGGTTTTATTGAGATCCCAGATCTTCAATGTATTATCAGTAGAAGCAGAAACAAGTGTTTCAGAGTCTAAGAATTTGACATAGCTTACAGCTTTACGATGGCCAGCCAGTACACACCAGGGACTTCTAAGATTGCGAAGATCATAACAATATGTTGAGTAATCCGCAGATCCAAACGCCAGCAAGTGGGAGGAATGAGCAGAGAATTGAACACAGCAGACATTAGCAACATTCCTGATTGTGCCTAAACAGTTCCTCTGCAAAACATTTTGTACTGTTAGTTCTTGATTTAGATATTGGAAAGAAAATTTCATGCATTTCTCTATTTCTCGTAGCATCGTGAGCTGATGAAGAGACAATCTGATGCAAAATTTATCCATACAAATATAATTCAGAAAATCATGGCACTCATATATATACCCTGTTCATAAACAAAATGGTTTCCACCGTCACATTATTTATTTACAAAAATAAAGATAAAACAGTTGAACAAGGAACCTTTCTACATACTACTGGAAAAGCAAAGGCAAAATTATTCTTCTTAGATTCAATGCCTTCCTGGTATGAAAAAAAAGGTTCATTTGGTGACTTGCAAATCATAAGATGATAATGAACATTAAATATCAAAACTTCTGATATTCATACTATGCTTTAGGTCATAAATACAATAAAAGCTCAGAAAGAAGCTACATTCAATTACGTTGTAACCCTAGTTTCTCTCTTGGGTTACCAATTTTCTGTCAAGCAACATCTGCACATCCATATGCTCACTCGCATTTACCAGCGAATTTGTGTATTAGTACATGGGAGAGAGTTTACCTCACTGATACTCCACAGCTTGACAGTACAATCATCACTTCCACTGGCAAATTTTGTAGGGCATACTACAGAGAAGTCAACAGACCAAGCCCTCTTTTCATGTTCAGTGAATTGAGAAAATTCTTGACCTGTACTAGCATCCCATAACTGAAAATGAATCAAATCAAACAATGTCATGACTAATGCAGAAAATCAAATTATCAAGAAATGATTGTATTCTTTCAGAATCAACCCTTCCCCCTAAAAGAAGCATTTCTCAGTGATATTGGGCATGGCAGGGTGACAACCTAGTGAATGGATACCATTCTAAATTTATGTAGTCAAACAATGATCACCAGTCTCTATTATGATGCTAAATAATCCTACGCTATTTTCAAGCTTTGCTGGCCCACAACCATGTACAAAGCACATGTACAGATGTACATTTACAAAGTAGATATATTCTGACTAATGAGTATGATTCGGGCAGTTTTGCCACATTAGCACAAAGTCACAGCATAAAATGACATTATTTGAAAACATCTTACACATTAATGAAAACTTTGGAAGGATAGTCTCTGCATGTCCACAAGCACACATGCTTTTACCACCAAATTGTAACTTTTAATGAATGTATTGCATCTTATTATTCACACACACACACACACACTACAAATATTCATGTCCAGAGCCAGCTTCAATGTTTCATAGTAACCAATTGACTAGGAAATAGACATCCCTAGAAATTTCAAGTTTAAAATATAATCTTATATGCAACTTTAGAAAATCAAGGAAACCAATATCTCAAAGTCAAGTTATTAACAATTCACTACAAATTGATAGCAATAAAATATGAAACCATTCATGTATTTTTACCCAACAGCTTAAACTTTTGGGATAATTGGTTCATGACATGGTATCATATCCTCCATGTCTAAGTGGTCTAGAGTTTGATCTGTGTTGCCCCATTTTTCTAATAAAAAAGTTGAATTTCAGCACAAGGTAAATGGACCCATGCATTATCCACACTTCAAGCCCAAAGGACTCTTATATGAGTGTGTCAGCTATATAACATAAAACCATTCATGCATCTTTGGTTAATAAATAGTAAAAAGCTTTTCGGATTGTTGGTTAAATAATTGAATATTAGATGTTCAATTCCAAATGAGACTCACCAATCTTGAGAAAACAAGAACTGGTTCTTCATTTAGGGAAGATTTTTAGCCTAAAATATTCAAGTGACAAACTGAGTATACCCTCTAAGGTAAACCGTTTCATTTTGAGTAAAAAAACATTTGATTCCACATAAGAAGCAAATGGATCCTGCAGAAGTAACGGATTAATACAGCAAAGAATGTCTTCCAATAACAAAACAATGGTTCAGACAGTGCATTATGCAAAGCATACCTTCACTATACCGTCATAGTCTGTAGAGGCAAGATAGTTCTTAATATAGTTATTCCAGCAAACACAGCTGAGTTTTGATCTGTTTGACATCTCAACTACTGGATAATGGATATCAACAGAGTCATTGCAAAGTGCACTAAACTCAAATATTTTTATTTTCTTGGATATGCCAGCAGAAGCAAAGTAATCTTCATCCCGATCAAAGCTAAGAGAGCAAATTACATTTGCAGGATTGTTAAAATCAGCATTTCTTAGTACACCACGCACTTCAAACTTGCTATAACGTGCATACTTGCACAAACCATCAAAGAATATTCCTAAAGTATCTTTCCTTTTAGGTTGTTCCTCGCCTTTTTGAGCCGCATACCAGTTCTCACGATTTCTTAGTATATCTTTATCTGGGTGAGTCTCAGCATCTGTTTCGGAAAGCTGAACTTTGGATCTCATGTAAAAATAAGCTCTTTCAAGATGACATATATTTCTCATCAGTCTCACTTCATTGGAATTAGAGGTAGGGGATATTGAGGGCAAGATTTCCAAACTCAAAAGTTCCTTTTTAAGAGGCAAAATATCTTTCTGACAAGAGTAATCACTCTGCAAGGCAGAGGAAACCAAGGATTTCCTTGAACCATGCCTCTTCTCCACCTCGTCTATATCCGATTCCAAGCACTTGATTTCTTCTACCAATTTGAAGGCATTGTTCTGCTTCTGCTCTTTTAATGAGACAAGGAAATGCAATAACAATTCTGATTCTGCATCTTCTTGGTCAATACTTGATGATAATTCCTCACTATACAAATCTTGCAATCCATTAATCACCTCAGATTGTAGGATTTCCCTGTTATGCAACAGAAGTTATAACTTTAGGGAATCATATCAACAAAACTTATAACTTTAGGGGATATCAATAGAGTACAACTCAAATTTGAAGTCCATTATTTTAGGAATAGCAGCATATTTAACTAAAAAAACTCCTAAATATGTACTCAAAAACAGAAAAGCATATAAAATTTAAAAATTCTCTTTACCATTTTGATGGGACTCAAAAACCAACTATTCATTAATGTAACTTTTATTGAACATCTCAGATAGAGCATATAGGTTGCAGATAAACCGTGGAATACCATATCTCTAAAACCTAGAAAAAAATTAAAATGAAAGAAAGAAAATATCCCACAGATCACAGAGCACAGGGCCCAAGCCAGATGCCAAAAATTCCTTCCAAATTCTTCCTGGACAATTCCCTTCCCCAAGTTCCTCTCCTAATAACTCAGAAATCCCTCTCTCCCTCCTCCACCTCATGCATAAACCCTATACCTCCTCAATACATGCTCTCTTCCTCCTGGAATAAATTCTCTAAATACATAGCCCATGACTCAACTGATCAAGAGATTAACCCATTTCTTCTCCTTGACCCTGATCTCTATGATAGGTCACTCCATTGATAGTTTGTCTAAACAAATTACTTGGTTAATCTCCATTAGTTGGTTAGTTAAGTGAGTTAGTTGAACAAGGCATGTTGCCTATAAATAAGAGTGGAGATTAAAGAGGGAGGGGAATTTTGGTGAAAGGAAATTGGGGCCTTCATGGCATTAGGAGGTGCAGGCCCTTGAAGTTCTGCAGTGTGAGTTTTGTAATTGGGATTCATCCCTAATTCTTCTGGATAAAATACCTAGTTCCTATCACTCTATCATGTCCAAACAACCAGCTATGTTTCAATGCTAATACAATTGAAAAAAGTAACACATTTACTCACTTAATAGTTAGTAATATCCCACGGACATTACAAGAGAAGGATAAATTTTTCAATTCTGCTACAATAGAGTTGAATCCTACACAATCTGGCCCTTAATTAATAATGTCTGTAGCACCAATACAATGCTAGAAAACATAAAGCAATATCCAAAAGATGCCCAGTAGGGAAAGGGAAGGGAAAGACAGGATCCTTTGATAAGAATCAATTTGATATAACAGAAGAAATAAGTATAATAAATGCAGTGTACTGAAATATGTAATATTGCACGGAAATAAAGATGAATTAGTACCGCAAATACAGCAGAAAAGAAGAATGCACAGTAAACTATCTTGAGCTATTCGAGGTGCTCAGGGCCTCCCAAATGGAATTACTTCCCACAGTACTCTCCCCCTCTCACTCTCGTTACCCCACAATATATCCGGATTTATTCTCTCTCCTGACAGTTAGCGCACATACGCATAAATTCACTGCATAACAAGAGAGTGATTCCCTGGTCCCACCCTATTTCTCTTTCTCACATATACCCTTCCAAACCTTTTATTATTACTATCATTCTCTCCCCCTTCAAAACTATCCTTGTCCTCAAGGATAGAGTTAGGAAATTCTTCTTCAATCTTGTCAACTAGCTCCCAAGTATCTTCAAACTCTGGCAGTCCTGTCCAGTGAATCAGCACTTCTTTCTCCCCATGATCATTCATCCTCCGTGCTACCACTTTCTCAGGGGTCACCTCTAAATGCCATTCGTCGTTCAAACAAGCTGGCAGTGGTTGAAAGTGAACTGTTGGTGCCACCGATTTCTTCAACAAAGACACATGAAAAATAGGATGCACCTTGCTGTCAATAGGTAGCTTGAGGTTATACACTACTACTGCCCCTATCCTCCGTTCTATCTCATAAGGGCCATAATAACGAGGGCTCAATTTCTGATTCACTCTTTTAGCTAAGCTTTTCAGCTTGTATGGTTGTATTTTCAAATACACCTTGTCCCCCACTTGATACTCCACCTCTCTTCTATGTTTATTAGCTTGAACTCGCATTACTTCTTGAGCCTTCAGCAACTGTTCTTGCAGTTCTTTTACCATATCATTCCTCTCAGCTGTCAATCTGTTAACTTCCTCCACAGCTGAATGGTGTACATCTCCTCTGATCAACACGGGTGGGTCTCTGCCGTATAGAGCCTAAAAGGGAGTGGTCTTCAAAGCAGCATGATAATTGGTGTTATACCAATATTCTACCCAACTCAACCACTTAGGCTACATCCTTGGTTTCCTACCCGTCACACAGCGAAGATAAGCTTCCAAACACCTGTTTACTACTTCAGTTTGCCCATCAGTTTGAGGATGATAGGCACTGCTGTACTTCAATTAGTGCCTGCCAGTTTGAATAATTCTGCCTAGAAGGAGCTCAAAAAAACTCGATCTCTGTCTGACATAATAATACTAGGAAAACCATGCAATTTAACTACCTCTTTGATGAATACTTTAGCTATGTCTTTGGCAGTATAAGGATGGCACACATCTATAAAATGGGCGTATTTTGTCAACCTATCTACCACCACCATGATAGTATCCACCCCTCTAGCTTTCGGTAGCCCTTTTTGAGTATCCACCACCATAATATTTCTGCTGTATTTGAGTATATCATCAAAAAATACTAACACAAACTGTTTCAAAAATGGTCTCAGAATTTGGTTCATAATTGCCTGAAAGGTTGAGGGTGCATCAGTGAGCCCAAAAGGCATCACTAAGTACTCATAATGGCCTTCATGAGTTCTGAAGGCTGTCTTAGCAATATCTTCCTCTTTCATGCGAACTTGATGGTAACCCGACTTTAAATCCAGCTTGGAAAAAATATTAGCTTCCCCCAGTTCATCTAATAACTCATCAATTACTGGGATAGGAAACTTATTAGGTATTGTAACTTTATTTAGTGCCCTGTAATCCGTACAAAACCTCTACCCTCCATCCTTTTTTTAACTAAAATAACAGGACTTGAAAAAGGACTTGTACTATGCCTAACAATACCAGCATGCAACATCTCTTTCACTATCTTCTCAATTTCATTTTTTTTATCAGAAGGGTACCTGTATGGCCTGATGTTGGGGATTGCTTCCCCTGGTTTGAGTTCAATAGCATGGTCATGTTCCCTCTTGGGTGGTAGTCCATTAGGGAAAGACCTCCTCAAACTCTGACAGCAATTGGGTCCACACAGAATCATTATGTTCGGTCATAAGCATAGACTCTGCTTCCTTCTGGTACTTCACTAAATACCCCACCCCTTCATTCTGAAGTGCCTTCATCATTGCCTTCCATGATACATGCACTGTACTCAATGCTGGATCACCATGAATGACAAACTGCTGTCCTGCACATTGCCATTTCAAACTCAGATTTCTGAAATTGGCTTCAATGTTACCTAAACTAGCTAACCACTCCATTCCCAACACCATCTCTGTGCCTCCTAATTCCATCAAGAAAAAATGATGTTGAAACTTTACTCCTTGCACCATAAACTCTATATCTTTACACACCCCCTTATTTCTTACCATTTCACCCGAACCAACTTCTATCATATATATTAGAGTGTCCATCATTTCAATTTCCAACTCAGCTACTAACTGAGGGGCAATAAAGTTGCTTGTTGCTCCTGAATCAATGAGAGTCAAAACCCTCCTCCTTTTAATCTCACCCTACACCTTGAAAGATTTATTTGAAGTAATTCCCTCTCTACTTTGCAATGACAAGTGTAATGTTTCAGTTCCCCAGACTCCTCAACTTCCGTATCATTTTTCTCTTCTACTTCATTTTCCTCTGATTCCTCCCCTCTTTCACACAACATCAGCTTTATGTGCCTAAATTTGCACATATGTTCTTGATTCCACTTTTCACCACATTTGAAACACAACCCTTTCTTACTCCTCTCTTCTAACTCAGCTGTACTCAACCTCTTCCCCCTAATTACTTCATTCTTTTCTCCCGAATGCATTCCCGCCTTACCTCTTTCTCTCCTGTTTGTTCTTTCTTCCCAAGTGCTACTGTACTTTGAGCTATTTCCCTTCCAATCCATTTTCTCGTTTACCTGACTCCCCTTCTTATACACTGCCAAATTCTTCTCCTCTATCAGTAAAGCACAATCCATGAGATCTGCTAGATCTACATAATCATACAGTTTCAGCTTTGCTTGTAATTCCTCCTTGAGTCCATTGAGGAAAATACTATCCAACATTACATGTTCCTCTCTATCCAGAGTTGCCACATGAAGTTCGAATTTCTCCCTATACTCCATTACTGTCCCTTCCTGCTTCAAACTAAGCAACGGACCTAATGGGTTGTTAATTAGGCCAGGGCAAAACCTTCGTTTCACTACCACCTTAAATTCCTCCCACATACGCGATTGTGCTTGATCCTCCCACCATGAAACCAATTCAGGGCCTTGTCTTCAAGCGCGATTACCACTGCATCTAACTTGTCCCTTTCGTGCACGCCATTGATGCAGAAATACCTCTCCACACGCACAACCCACCCATACGCATCATCACCCAAGAAAACTGGAATCTCCATTTTACGTCGTCCTCCTCTATAGATCATCGTTGAACTCCCACTTTGTACCGACTGTGATCGCAAACGTTGGGGTGGTGTCGCTTCATCATCAGTGACATTGCCATCGCCTCTTCTTCGACTAGGTGCTCTGCGTTGGCGCGGATGAACGGTGAGCTCGTTCATCTTACGAAGCATCTTAGCCATGGCCGTTTCCATGCCTCCGAACCTCTGTTCCAAAGCATCCATACGATTCTCCATTTTCCCTCGTATCAGTACCATGCACAACCCCAAGAATGACGTGCTTTGATACCAAATTGATAATAATCAATTTGATATAATAGAAGAAATAAGTACAACGAACGCAGTGTACTAAACCATGTAGTATTGCACGGAAATAAAGATGAATCAGTACCGCAAATACAGCAGAAAAGAAGAATGCACAGTAAACTATCTTGAGCTATTCGAGGTGCTCAAGGCCTCCCAAATGGAATTACTTCCCATAGTACTCTCTCCCCTCTCATTCTCGTTACCCCACAATATATCCGGATTTATTTTCTCTCTCCTGACAGTTAGCGCACATATGCATAAATTCACTGCATAACAAGGGAGTGATTCCCTGGTCCCACCATATTTCTCTTTCTCGCATATACCCTTCCAAACCTTTTATTATTACTATCATCCTTGCATACAAACCTTATGACAAATGTTAACAAACATATAAGAGATCATTGATGAGCTTGATGATGACAACTATTAATGTTGAAAACTCTTCGAACATCAACATAGATGGAAGAACATCATTTCATTAAACAATCTTTAATATTGACAAATATAATAAAAAACAAATGAGTGATATGTATATCACATGTTTGTGAAATCCTTATTTTAATAATGTTATTGAATTAAATCTGATCTCAACTACAATAGAAAATATTCAATACTACCTTGTTGGTGGGCGTGATGATGGTTCAGGATGCAGCAGCCAAAGACAAAAGCCTGCTTCCTTGGGATTTTCTGATAGGAAAACTGGAGGAAGAATCCTATGACGAAGATCTGACATTGCTGCAATATGTGCTCTTTCAGAGTCAAAATGGCCAAGTAGCTGAAAAAATTGACTCAAATGAAATCAGTTGCTGAACTTACTACACATTAAATCGCTTCCAATTATACTAACTGTTTGATTTTAATGACTAGAAAGATTTGCAACAAACTTCCACACCAGTTTTATATTCAACCTAAAATGAGGCAGCCATTTTCCAAAGAAATGTAATTAATATTTGGTTGAGTCTAACTAAGAAGATGTCCGTTCAGAGAAAAACCAAAGGAAAAACTTTTATAGACAGAAGCAGATTTCTATATGCAATTCATAAGTTCATATGTACAAAGACATCTCAATTTTATGAATAAACATTAAAGAATGCACGAAAACTGCATTTAACATTTAAAAATGAAGAGAGACGTTATGAACTAATCTACACACCTCGAAAAGGAGGACACCAAGGCAGTAGATATTTGATGATGTTGTGCAACCTCCCTCAGGACTCGCATACCATTTATTTTCCAATCTTTCACATAAAGAAGTCACTGGCTTTTGACATGCATTAGATACACGAGGGATGCTGGACATTCTACCAATGTTATATTTAGAAAATTGGGTATCTTCCTCATATTCATTACAATAATCTTGCACTCCAACTGTATGACTATGAAGATTCCTATCGCTAGCAGTTTCAAGACACAAGTCACTGCCAGCAACTGTTGAATTTTCATTAATTTTTTGCTTCTTTGACCCCATTTCAAGAGAGGGAAATGAAACTTGTTCTGACAGCCTTTTTCTAATAAAAGGATTATCTGAGTGAAGAACTTCAGAATTTACAACACCATCCACCATCTGTTTTAGAATAGGAAAACCAACATACATGACCTGGTTTGATGACAACAATTTAATATAAGATGGACACAGGTTATGCAAAGCAACTCCCTTAGAGTGAGAGCCATCCACCAAATCCACAATCTTCCTAAATATATTCAAACTTTCCACTTTGCTTGCTTTGTGGTGCCCAGATTTCAGCCATTCCCTCAAAGTCACACCATCACATTCAGACCTGCCAGATCTAGGCATAGCACCACAATAAGAAGGAAACTTTGCAATTTTGGAACCAAAGCTCCCTGATACACTAGAGTTCAAGTGAGTACTGACACCATTCTTCATCTGAGTCTGATCATTACCAATTTCGTTCTTCACTTGATTCTGATCTATGCCAACGCCAGTCTTCATCTGATTTTGTTCCGCTTCAATTCCAGTCTTTATCTGGGTTTGCTCTCTAGACTGAGCACAGAAGCCATCAAAAGCTGGACCTTTATAAACAATTCCCTTGCCCTTTAATGTATTTTTAATGAAAAACTCAGCAAATCCTGATTTGGATATAATTTTTGTCCGTATTCCTGGATGAACATCATCTGCGCCCTCTTTATTTTCAGCAGCTGTCAAGTGTTCTATGACATTACTCTGGCCATCACTAAGAGATTTTCTAGCTAATATTTCTGGGAAAGATGTGGATCCAATATCCTCCCATGCACTAGATGTAGCCTGTACACTGTTTCTATTTCCAATATCACTTAGTGAATTTCCGATTCCTGAATTACTAGCTAGTTGATACAGATTCTGCCAATGGTTCTGCCTATTATACATTTGCTCTCGGTTGATTGATGTACCAATATCCAAACTTGAGCCATTGTAACTTTTCACTGTTAATTCTTCAACCATGACATTAGCATCATCAATAAAATGGTTTACATGAGGGGGTTGTGATGGAGCTGCATGGTTGATAACTTCGACTACATTTTTACCTTGCAGAATGTCATCATATTCTCGAGGTGGTATCTGGGAGTAGTCCTGCTTAACAGGAAGTAGGAATTCTTGGGATTTAAAGATTTTTCGGCGTTCTGTGTTAGGGGAATACTCGTCATCCTCCTTGTTCTGGCGCTGTGAATTCTCAGCAATCTCTAACTGAGTTGCCCCATCAGCCAATTCTTCATCCATACTGTAGTTTTAACTTTCATCAACATCAACAAACTTAGCAATCAAGACATAAACTAAAACTTCTCACATGTTACATCGAGCAATCTGTCACATGAATTTAAAAAACGCGTTAATTAAACGTAAATTAGTTAGCGTTCTATGCAATCACAGTGGAAAAAAGAAAAAAAAGTCCATGCTAGGCTGTCTGAAGATTCAAAAATTGAAACAACAGTGAATAAAGGGAACAATGAACACGTTTATAACCTCACGGCGAATCTCATTTCGATTAAAGAAAATAAAAAATAAATACCAACAATAATAAACATCAAAGATATTACCATGTAACAGATGGAAATAAATAAACAGAAATTGATGAAGAGCAGAAAAAAAAACTTATGTTGAAGCGAAGAGAATGGCACAAAAAGAGGAAAGAGGACTTACGAGAGAAAGCGATTGTTTTGTGCAACTTGAAGGCGGTGTAGCAAACCGTGCAGAGGAAGAACAAAGGCTAGGTAGCACTTCTCTTCTCGCAATGGGAACCCACTAGTATTGCCGGATGCCAATAGAATCATGAGGATAACGGTATAAGGGTCGGGTTTCATTATTTGGGTTCGATCCGACCCGTTATAAACCTCTTTTAAATGTTCTCATTAATTTATTTATTTTTTTGCTAACAATGTTCTCACTAATTTACTTCTGCAGTTCACCCGTTTGTTTATATTTAACAGATAAATATTTCAATATAAATAAAACTATTGATTTGTCATTTAAAATTAAAATCTATCTTTCAAAAAAGACGAATGAAACATTTATTGTTTTTTTTTTCTAAACAATCTTTTGAGCTGGAAAATCTATTTTTTTTTTGCTATTTTTGAGCTGGAAAATTTTAAAAACTAGAGATTTTATTAATTTCATAACTGAAAAATATAGAAAGATAGAGTAACTATTTTTATGACAATCGTGTAATCTCACCACGAATGAAACACTTCTTTTTTATTTTTTTTAAAATCACTGTTAATTGCATAAAATCAATCCTTTATCAGAAAGCGATTTAGTATATATTATATAATTTTAGTTTTTATAAAATTTGATGATAATATTTAATATCACGTGAATATTTTCAGTCGTTTTATTTTTTATGTGTTGCAGTTCTGAGATAACATCTTACTCTTATATGACATTTTGAAATATATGGCACTTATTATGAGTTACATTTGTAAAACGTTTATTCTATTTTATTTTTCCTGGTATCGTTAAAAAAAATGATAACATGCTTTTCATAATTTTGAACATTTTTTACAGTGAAAAGTTAATTCGATTTCATTAAATAATTTTATTACTAATGATAAAGTTAACATATAATTATATAATAATTGAAAATATCAAATCCAAATCACATCTTGCGTCCCCCACCTTTAAAAAAGAAGGACAAATGGCAATGGATGTTCCACGTAGATCGACTGTGGATTGCAACCTCCGCAAAACCGAAAGCGATGATCGTGGTCCACTAGTATGTGATATTCTCTGCTTTCGGGTCCAAACTTTTCCGTCTTCGTTAAGTGCATGTTTGTAAAACTAACTAATAGATTTCAGAGGAATTAGAGATTTTGCTGTCTCTGTGGGAGAATCAAAATTCAACCACGAGTGAAAATTTTTAAATGTAAGTCAGGTTTCATTTCAAAAGATAATTCATATTTCATTTATAATCATAAATATAAAGGTGGATAATGCATATATATATATATATGTATATGTATGTATATATAATAACTTCTCTTTGTGTTTTTTAACATTTGAAATTTTAAAATAAATAAAATAATCTATATATTTGATTTTTTATAAAATCTATTCAAGACCTCAATATATGTTTAACACTTAATCACTTCAAATATTTACTTAATTCAAATAAAACAAAAAATCTGATGAGTTAAAGAAAGGAAGATCATAATTGATTGACCATAGATGCAATAAAGATAAAAAAAAGGATAATTAATATATTTAATTATCAAAATATACTAATAATAATATAATATACATATTTTTATTGGCTTTTTATATGAAAAAAAATTAATATTATCATAATGTTTTAGGAAAATTTTAAAAAATATGACACTAATTACGTTTTTTAGTACTTTTAAAAATTTTCTATTAATGATTTTTTATTTTTATTATTTTATTATTATTTTTTGAAAAATTATTATTAGCAAATTTTGACTTTTTTTTTTTTTTGAAAATCACTATTGGGACTTTTGAAAGTTGATATATAACTCCTTATTTTATCATTATTTACACTAAATGATTTTTGAATCCCATATTTCTATAATTTAAAACAAAAGTTACATTTTGATGTATATAATTTCTAAATCTATATGTAAAAAAATATTCCTATGTATATTATTTTCAATTTTGAGAAAAAAATTATAGTTACAGATGAAATATATCATAGATAAATACAATAAGATAGAACATTAAACTGTTTTTTTTTAAACTACAGCTTAATGCAGTTTTCAAACAAAATAATAACAAGATGGCTTAATTATAATTTTAATACTTATACTCTAATTTATGAATGATTTTAATATTATGGTTTTATCTATTCATTTAATTTTTTTAATTGTTTAGTTTTGAAAAAGCAATGTCTTAATTGTTTAATTTATAATTTTTATTTAAAATATTATTTAATGACTAAAAATCTAAGTTTTTTTATTTTAAAATCTCATATAATATATATTAAATGCTATAAATATAATACATTTATTCTTTTTACTTACATAACTCAAATTTGCTTATTTTAATTAATTTCTTTAACACATTAAATTGTTATTATAAAGTGTAGTATTTATTAGTATTAATGTATTTAATTATATTGAATTTTTTAATAAAAAGTGTTATATATATATATATATATATATGTAATATTTATACATGTTTAAAAAATGTTTTTAATTTATTTGGAAAAAAGTAAACCAGTGTTATCAAATTGTTTTGGGCTGGGCCTAACGTTTCGCTTAAAAATTTGAAGAAGCCTGTATTTTCCACCTTCTTTGTTTAGTTTCATCTTCTTCCCCGGTCTCGTTAGGGTTTACAGCTCGGTACGCTGCGAAATTCGAAAACAAATCTCCACATTCTAATCCGTAGACTGTGGCCATGTCTTCATCCAAAGACGCGGACCCAACCCTTGGTTACCTTACTCGGAAGGACACGGAGGTGAAGCTTCCGCGGCCAACCAGGGTAAAGAACAAAACCCCCGCTCCAATTCAAATAACCGCCGAGCAGATTCTTCGCGAGGCTCGGGAGCGTCAAGAGGCCGAGATCCGTCCTCCGAAGCAGAAGATCACCGACGCGACAGAACTCGGCGAGTATCGGTTGCGGAAGAGGAAGGAGTTCGAGGACCTAATTCGGCGCGTGCGATGGAACATTGGCGTGTGGATCAAGTACGCGCAGTGGGAGGAATCACAGAAAGACTTCAAACGCGCTCGCTCCGTTTGGGAAAGAGCGTTGGAAGTGGACTACAAGAATCACACCCTGTGGCTCAAGTATGCGGAGGTGGAGATGAAGAACAAGTTCATAAACCACGCTAGGAACGTGTGGGACCGTGCTGTTACACTTTTGCCTAGGGTTGATCAGTTATGGTACAAGTACATTCACATGGAGGAGATGCTCGGCAATGTTGCCGGCGCGAGACAGGTTTTCGAAAGGTGGATGAAATGGATGCCTGATCAGCAGGGATGGCTCTCTTACATTAAGTTTGAGTTAAGATACAACGAGGTTGAGCGAGCCAGAGAGATATTTGAGCGATTTGTTCAGTGCCACCCGAAGGTTGGGGCATGGATTCGATATGCTAAATTTGAGATGAAGAATGGAGAAGTTTCTAGGTCCAGGAATGTTTATGAGAGAGCGGTGGATAAGCTCTCCGACGACGAAGAAGCGGAGCAGCTATTTGTTGCTTTTGCTGAGTTTGAGGAAAGGTGTAAGGAGACAGAGCGTGCAAGAGCTATATATAAGTTTGCCCTTGATCATATTCCCAAGGGAAGGGCAGAGGATTTGTATCGCAAGTTTGTGGCCTTTGAAAAGCAGTATGGTGATAGGGAAGGGATTGAGGATGCTATTGTTGGGAAGAGACGGTTTCAGTATGAGGATGAAGTGAGGAAAAATCCATTGAATTATGATTCTTGGTTTGACTACATAAGGTTGGAAGAAAGTGTGGGCAATAAAGAAAGAGTCAGGGAGGTTTATGAGAGGGCTATAGCCAATGTGCCTCCAGCAGAGGAAAAGCGGTATTGGCAGCGCTATATCTATTTGTGGTATGTTTGACTTGGATTCCATTCTTCTGACTTGTTGTTTATTCACTATTTATACTTTTTCTCCTAGTATTTGTTAATCATCTATGTTTATTTAGGATTAATTATGCCCTCTACGAAGAGCTTGATGCTGGAGACATGGAGCGAACAAGGGATGTATACAGGTATGAAGCCTTTTGTGTTCTTAAAGTCTTGAATTTGGTAATTGTGTTGGGTTTGCTTTAAGCGTTACTAATCACTTATCATGTTTTAATCTCTGCTTTATTGGTCACTTGTGCTTAACACTACAATGCGCAAAGAATAATCACACTAAGAAATTATGATTTGTGAGATACTTTGTATCAAATACAATAAGTTTTTCATAGTTCAATAATTTTCTATATATTAACTGTTAGTGGGTGAGACTTGTGACATAATTACCTCATAACTGTCCAAATTAAGAAAGTCAATATCCTTAGATCGTTAAGCATTAAATTGTCAATACATATATACGCATATACTTACAAATTTCTGGATATCATTATTGATTGAATAATTTTTATAACCAATACTGACCAGGTTAATTTACTGGATGAGATTGTGATATTTTCTATCACATGGTGGCATAATTTGAAAGATTGTTGTCAAAATGAAACTGCTAAAAAATGTTAGAATGAATATCACAAGAACAGGCTGAAATCAAAGGGGATGGTAAATTAATAATCATAGGCCCGAAGATGTTTCCTTTGCATGCCTGTGCACAAAAACACATATATGTACTCCAATTTTGAATATATGTTTTAATTTAGTCTTGTTTGGAATTTCTCTTTCACCATTTATTAGATACTTCACTTGGCCCCAAGTATCAGCACTTTGTTGGTTAGACCCGACTGAATAGCAGTTATGTTGACAGTGTGCATATAGAATGAATAGGACGGAAAAATAGAGGTGGGGTTTTACATTTGGTGTAGGAATTGGAAGAGCCAGGACACTTTAAATTTCTGGGTCTTCATGATATATTTTTCTTAGTACTTTTTCCTACTGGATTCTGCAATCACATTTGGTTAAATTGTAGGAAAAATGATATGTAACTATTTGTTTTCTACTTTCATTGCAGTATTAGCATCAATAGATTATCCTATTTAGTATTGACCCTACTGATATTATCTGTGACTTCAATTTCTTTAGGGAGTGTCTCAACCAGATACCTCACCATAAGTTCTCGTTTGCAAAGATATGGCTTCTAGCAGCTCAGTTTGAAGTACGTCAGCTGAATCTCAAGGGTGCTCGACAAATATTAGGAAATGCCATTGGAAAGGCCCCTAAAGACAAGGTAACATATATGTAGATGCTACATATTATAACTTACTTTTCACTGCAACATGGTTAACTTCTCACACAGCTTTACCCTTTGATAACAGATTTTTAAGAAGTATATAGAGATAGAGTTGCAGCTTGGTAATATAGATCGGTGCAGAAAACTTTATGAAAAATATCTGGAGTGGTCTCCTGAGAATTGCTATGCTTGGAGCAAGTATGCAGAATTGGAGAGATCTTTATCTGAGACTGATCGGGCTAGAGCAATTTTCGAACTTGCAATTGCTCAACCAGCACTAGACATGCCTGAGCTGTTGTGGAAGGTAAACACAGAATTTTGTATTGTATGCTTTGGAACTGCATAAGTTAGCAATTAAAACTTTGGATGATATTATTTATCATCACTTGAACAACTGTAATGTTGACAGTGGAGAATACTGCATGTGAGCTATGAAAATTGCTTTAATTTGTTGTTTTGCTTGTTTAAATTTATTTTTCTTGTTCCTAAAATTTGTGAATAAATTTTGTTTTTGTTTTGTAGTAAAATGTTCACAAATTTTAGCACTATTTAATGGAAAAAATGAGATTTTTTTGGGGTATCATGACCAGTTGAATGTGTTAATTGCTCCATAAAAACATCTAAATATAGTTATGCCCTCTTTTGACAGCCTCTGATTTTTTTTATCACTTCTCTGACCTTTATTGTTGTCTTTTACTGCATACTTTGATAACTATTTGCATTGGTCATAACCTAACTATGGATTTGTGAATACAAACAGGCATACATTGACTTTGAGACTGCCGAGGGTGAGTTCGAAAGAGCTAGAGCCCTTTATGAAAGACTTCTTGATCGAACAAAGCATTTGAAAGTTTGGATAAGTTATGCTGAATTTGAGGCTACGGCTGTGGACAAGGACAATGTGGACTTAACAGAACATGAACAAAAGAAGCAATGCATTCAGCGTGCTAGAAGTATGTGATCCTTTGCTATGCTCTCGTGCTGTTAATTTATGATTGTTTGTTTTCAGTTTGAACAAATGTGAACAATTTTTTAATTATCTTTATATTTTGTGTTGTGCTTGCAAACAGGGGTGTTTGAGGAAGCTCTTAACTACTACAGATCATCTGCTCCTGATTTGAAAGAAGAAAGGGCAATGCTATTGGAGAAATGGCTCAACATGGAGGCTTTGTTTGGGGAGCTGGGTGACGTTAGCTTAGTCCAATCTAAGCTGCCCAAGAAGCTCAAGAGAAAGCGGGTTATCACTGAAGATGGTGCTTCGAGGTATATTAACTTACTCAGCTCATCTTTCGGGTAGTTCCCAAGGGTTAGTTGGTATGGTTTCATATGCAACATTTGGACAGCTATTCAGCCTATTCCGTGGATTTATTTTCTGCATGTCCTCGTATATGAAGTCCACTTGATCTTTTGGCATTTTGCATCTTGACAAGCCCGTTTGTTGTCTATTTGATTTTAATTTTTTAACCATCAACATTTTTCTTACTATTCTATTTGTGAGCCTTTTTTCTTTCTTCATACTTCATTCTTGTTTATTTTGATTTTGCAGAACTGAAGAAATCATCGACTATTTGTTCCCTGAGGAAACTGAGACAGCCTTTGGCAAGATCTTGAATGCTGCTCAAAAATGGAAGATGCAAAAATTGTCTTCTGGTGATATTTAGGAATATCTTGTAGCTGTCAAGCTTGTATATATGGGCAAGATTTTTCTTGGATAACAAAAAACGGTAGCATTTGCCGCCAAGTCAATCTTGGGCTTTTAAAAGTTTGCGACACGCATTTGAGGAACATCTGCTTTTAAAAGTTCAGGCCCTGGTTGCAACTTGTAAATCGCAATTTTCTCTCACGAATGATTAAGGCTATGTCAATGCTAAAATCAACTGTTGAATGCGAAGATGTATCATGTTTGTAACAACATTTACTGGGTTTATTAATTTATTTTTGGCCAATAGATGTTATTTAGGGTAGATCACATACTTGCATTTTACTTGCACGTGCCATGTAGATCAAATGGATTTGACCCGAGTTAGAATTTTTCCTAATAGTAAATTGCCTTGAATACGGGATGCTTGCAAATCTAAATGAGTAGGATTTCGATGCATGTTTTCAGTAATCTTGAGAGTAGATATTGATATCTTGCAACACTGAATGAAATTGTCATCATGGTTTTGAAAATCATTTAGACACTTATCATTTTAGTAGCTAGTAACAAAATTTTTAACGTTTTTCTAAATTTATTTTGAAGTAGTGTTAGACTGTGATACTAGCATTCTTTTATATATAAAAAGTGTTTCACACGTGTATAAAAACAATGTATAGTTTTAATATGTATCATGATTGCTCACTAATTTTTTTATTTATTTATCTTTACTAAACATGAATTGTCCCACACACAATTTAAAATTAGTTTTTAGGATTCATTTCTTATAAATGATTTTTGTACTAGTTTTGAAGTTACAATATGAGCTTAATAATAATATTGAATTATTTAAAATATATTTACATTAATATTTATTCAAATACACATGTTAAATCATTTTGTAATATTCTATTATTCAAATATACCTGTAGTTCTTGACCAAAAAAACAAGTCTTGTAGTTTAAAACGATTAATGAGATTTTCTGTGCTCCTAATTTTCTTTCAAATAAGCTACTACTCAATAAATTTATTTTGAATAAAAAATTTATGTATAAGTTTTAAAGTTGCCAAAATCAAAATAAATTATGAGCATGTCTAAAACAAATATAAAAATGCAAGCTTTTAATAATGTTATGCTTCTAAATATATTATTTTAAATTTTTTAAGACATAAATTAATTTCTTTTAACAAAAAATTATTTATTCACTTTAAGAACAAGTAGATATATGATAAGGATAAAAAAGGAAGGGGGGGGCGGGGCGGAATATCCTCAGCCTCTTTGAAATTTACGGCAAAAAAATAGAGTTTTTGTCGGTCCACATGAATTTGTTTTCCATATATTTCTATTTCTAGTGCTCCAAACCAAAGAAACTGTATAAAAAAAATGTGTTTCTTTTTTCTTGACTTTATCTTTCCTGCTTATTTATCAGAGTGTATATTAAAAATTATTTTCTTTTATAGTTATTTTTTATATTATTCTCACAATTTTCTTTTATTATACGCAGAGAGAGTAATCCATGCTTATTATTAGCAATTTTTTTTCAAAAGAAAAAGGAAAAATTACCCCCAAAATTATTGGTTTTCATTCTCATTACACTATATTTTGCCTTCTATTATTTCCCCTTTCCTTTTCAATATTTCTTAATCCAATCGGATTGGTGGAAATCGAGTTCCATTCCCAGGTACTATAGCTGCTTTCCTCTTTAATGTTTATTAAGAGAAAATATGTTTCATTAACATTCGTTGAAGAAAATATGTTTCCTGCTTTTCTCAGAAGATGAAAGTGCTTGGAATTTGAATCTGGAATAGTTATTGTGTCAAGATTCTGAGGGAACATAAAGTGCATAAGAGAGATGATAATGCATAATTTATGAAATTGTAAAAATTTAACGAATTCACGGCGTAATTGATTGTTTATCTTGATATCGTTTCCATTCCATCCTTTTTAAAAGCCGATTAGAGATAGTAATTATAAATTTGAGGATTGATTTAATTGATTGTGAATAGAAATTGTTTTTATTAACATTGGGACTCCCTGGGTTGTCTTTTTTGGTACATTTGGAGTTACGTTGTACATCTCTGTTTGTGAATTCATCTTCATGCATTGTATATAGAATTTATAGCTGCATCGATGGATTCGAATGTTTGTGCTTTATCGATGTTTCTTCTCCTCTGGGAAGTTGAATATATTAGATTCGTACCCAATATCCAGGTTTTGAACCTTTTAATGGTTTCTCCATTTGTCATTCTGTTATCTCTTGATGCAAGTCCAGAAATTACGCTTTGAAAATAAACTGAATGTCATTATTGAATGCTTTTACAAAGTTAAGAACATTTAGAACAAGGAAACAAACATCAACATAAAATTGTAATAATTATTTATTAAAAAACCCACAATTTCACTCAAAAGTTAGGGTATCTTGGGTTCAATTTTTTTAATTGTAAAAATACATTTCATTTTGTTTTGTTTCTTATTTCAAAGTTTTACAATAAAAGCACTAAAAGTAATAAGTATAATTTTTATAAATTTTATTATTTTCTTCACAAATATTTAAAAAAATAATAAAATATTTCATTAAGCAAAATATCCTAGTGTTGTATATTAGTCCTTCAAATATATTTCAACTATATCGGTCTTTTAAAACTAAAATATATTTATGTTAATTATTTAATATTTTGCAAAGCTATTCTCTCAAAATTGGAAATGATTTCCAATTTTGAGTAATCACATTAATTTTCTGTATGAATGTAATTTTATAATTTTATATTTTTTGAAAAACAATATGATTCTTCATCTTAAACACATTCATGTAAAAAAAAAGTTAGAAAAAAAGGGGCAAATGATAATTAATGAAGTTACTCGTTAGCAAGATTTAAAAATTAATAACAAATTAAAGATGAAAATAGGTCTGTCTAACAAAAGTTTACAGTCTAATCTTTTTAAGATTACCTTAATCTATTTAAGTAATAGATTTAATTTAAATTTTTTAAAATATTTAATTAATTCAATAGATCAAACTTGAGTTAGAAAAAAATTATTACGCCTATTAAAATAACTTATTTAAAATTTATAATAATATATTAAATAATTTTATATCAAAATTATAATATAATATAATATTAAATAAATTAAATTTAAAAAAATAAAATATTAAATCATAAACTTTAATCTTTTTCTGTTACTATTATTTGATTTGTGCATAACACCAATTTGTATTTATTATTTTAATATAAAAAAATATAATTTTATTATATATATTTAAAGTATTAAACTATTTTTTTTATATTTTATTTAAATATAAAATTTATAATCTTTATAAAGATATACTTAGATAAATAGTTTAAATTGTTAAAAAAGTTAATATACTAAAATAAATTTTTAAAAAATTAAATTAAATTTAATAAAAAAATTTACAACAGATAATATACTAAACTTAAATTTTAAAATTATTAAATAAGTCAGACTTATTTAATACAAAATTTAGTCTAACTCAACTTATTTTTATTTATGTACCAAACTCAATAATATTAAACAGCTAGATCAATCGAGACTTTAAGTTAAACATTCTTTTTACCACACATTTTCTTCTAAACCTAAATGAAAAAATGTGACAAATAGTATACAAAAGATACGCAATTTTAAGCGAATCTATTTTGAAACTGATCCAGGAATCTAAGCGCTTAGATGTTTCGGCTGTAGGAAAAACACGCTTCTTTAGCTTTTAGATTTCATTCTTTTTCTTGAGTATATATTATAGCAAAGTAAATATTTTGTGTTATCCAATTAAATCCTCAAATATATTAATTTGCTTATATTAATCAGTGTCCATGAACAAATAATGTATTATGACTGTAAAAATCATTGAAGTTGGAGCCAAGATTTGTTGTCTTATGTCTAGGCTAATATTTTCATTTCACTCTTACCAACAAAAAGTTTCAAGGACTATTGCTAACAATATTGTTATTTGTAATCTGAATTCGTTACGTCATTTTTCTTTTTAGAGATTGATATGATCAACTTTTCAGTGATAGAGATGTTTTATTATTGTTGACCCAAAAAAAATGTTTTCTGATTTTTGCCAAGCATATTGAAAAACTATCATGAACTACAACTACTTCTATTTCCTATTAATACTATGTTGTTAATACATTTATTTACATTGAATATACGTAAGCTTATATCGCAAATAATTGCCTTTTAATTTGTCATGTCTGTCTTCACTTCTTAGTTTCAGGGTTCTTAATCACTTGCCAGGAAAATGAAGAGTTCTTTCTAAATTTAAGTTTTCGAATGTTCCCAAGTAAAAGGATGATCAAGCACCGCTTAAGGGGATTCTCCAAGTCCTTTGGAAGCCAAGTTGATCCTGAAAAATCTGAACAACTTAAAAGAACCAAAACAGGTGCAGATTCTTTCTTGTCAACATGCACACTTACGATGCACATGACTTTTAAAATCCCTAGAAGAAGAGATCAATTGCTTTAACGTGAATCTAGTAAAATCTTAGTTTCATGCCTGGTTAAGCAGAGAGATTTTTTTGTAGTACGCGTTTGTTACTACTTTGTACGGTAAACATCCAAGTCTAATTTTAAACGATTAAAACATAGGCTTCACTTATCCTTCGCACTTTGCAATGTCATGCGTCTATTTTCACTCTCGAGTATCTTGTTACTCCTATTTGTGATTTTTGTCTAAAATAATTTCTTTTATAATTAATTAAAAATGAAAATATTTTTAACAAAAATCACTTAAATGAGTGTTAATAGGTACATCGAGACTTTCTTTGACATAACTTTTTAATATTTATTCGTCAATGTATTGTATGTATAACTATTTCTCATTCTTCACAGATATTGAAAACAACCTCACAAGAATCGCAAAGCTTATTAAAAACGAAGAGCAAAGTAAAAAAGATGGGAACTCAAGGAAAGAGAAAGAGCTGGTGGGGCTAATTGAGGACTTCTATAATCAGTACCAATCACTGTATGCACTGTGTGGTCGTCTTACAGGAGAATATGTGAAAGCATCTCCTGGCAGATTAGAGAGGGTGTCTTCAGTGTCTTCCTCTAGCTCAGAGTCGGAGTACTTTTCCTCAGAGGAAGTAGATGGCTACACAGATTTCAACGATTCAAACCAAAGACTTTTCTTGAGAGAAAGGGAACGTTCTACTCTTACCAACAATACTCGTGAAGTAGTTCTAAAGACTCAAGCATCAAATGAGGCAAAGGAGTTGGAGAAGTTAATTATTCAAACGAAAGAGTTGGGGAGCTTGAACCGGCAGAAAAGGAATCTAGAACTTCAAGTTGAAAGGCAAGTACGTGAAATTAAACAACTAGGTGCAAAGAACAGTGAGTTGCAAGCCCGAGTGTTGGAGCTTGAATTGTTGTTGAAAGAGAGCAAAGGAACGGTATCTGCCTTACAGGCAAAACTCAAAAGCAACGAGGATCAAGCAACGTCCAAGATTGCTGAATTGATGGCACGAATAAACAAGCTCGAGCAAGAGGCAAAATCACTGCGGACCCAGAAAGGCAAAATGGAAGAAAAGACAAGGCGCAATAGAAATGAGACCTTATGCGAAAAGAAAGACTTCACGGACCAGCTTTCTGTCGTACAACAAAATTTAGATTCTGCCAACAAGAAGAACAAAGCACTAGAAACTCAGTTGGAAAGAGAAAGAGAAAAAGTTTCCCAATACATGGTTCGGATAGAAAATCTGGAGGAGAACTTAGCTAAGACGACATCAAGTGAAAAGAGTCTGCTAGTAGAGAGAGAGCGTTTTCTTGCAAGGATAAAGGGCCTGGAACTGGAAGTGGAGTCTCGATGCAGCCAACAAAACGATTTGGAGGAACATTTAAGAAATACAAGGTCTGTGATTAACCGGGCGGCAGACGAAGGAAAGGCCCTGCAGGATAAGAACAAAGAACTAGAAAGAGCAATGGTACAGAGAGGGGAAGAGATATCTGCACTTTTGAGGGAACACGATAACTGTAAAAATGGAGCTTCGATACAAGCCACAGCTTTAACAGCTGAAGTTGATAATCTGAGACTGGAGTTCGACGCTTTGCAGGATCAGAAAAGCAAGTTGGAGTTACACAATGAACGAATCCAAAAGGAATATTCAGAAAATCTAGCCAAGATGGAAAGTCTGAATGCCAAGTTGGAAAGCCGGGTGGCAGATCATGAGGAAACGATAAAGAAGCTAACGAAAACCATTGAACAAATAAGTGCAGAGAACAAACAAGTCAAAATTTGGTCGAACAGGTTGAAGGGGCATAAGCAGTTAACAGAGAAGAAAATGGAAGAATTGGCAGACGAATTCCGGAGGAAAATGGAAGGCAATATCCGCCTCTTGCACCAGAGGATCCATGTGGCAGAACAGCTGAATAATGAAAACAAAGATAGTTACAAAATGACAAAGCAAAGGTTCGAGCAAGAGAACAAAATGCTTGGAGAGAAACTTGCTAGTTATGAAGATGAACTAAGGACGCTGAAAGTGAAGGGGACTCCTTCACAAATAGAGGCTGATATAAATGGGTTAGAATTGGCTGCTCAAAATGGACTAAGTTTGGCTGCAGGGAAGGTTGAGGAGCAGAGAGAGTATGTATTAGGCCTTGTCTCTAAAATGTTGGGAGAAGTTCAGTTTGCAAAGGTTTGGATAAGGGAAAGAAATGGGGAGATGAAACAGCTAAAAGACAAGGTGGATAGCCTTACATTGTTACTGGGTGACAAGGAAGAGCAGGAATTGATGTTGAGAGAGAAGGTGTGGAAGTTGGAAGCCAACGTGAGCAAGGAAGGAGGGGAGAAACTGAACCTGATAAAAGCTGTGAGCCAGCTTGAAAGGAAAGTGGGAAAATTGGAAAAGACCCTTAAAGAGAGGGATGAGGAGTTGGTTGGCCTTGGGGAGAAGAAGCGAGAAGCAATAAGGCAACTTTGTTTTCTGATTGAGTTTCATCGCGATCGTTGTGTCCATCTCATGGATTTGATGTCGAAGAGGAGGGTCAGTAACAGGAAATGAGTTTAAAACGTCACTTCCTGTCGGTCACACTTTTTTCCCCCTGGCCATTGCTATCCTCCCCTCCGATAAAAACTCTCGCTAGCCACTATATTTCCTCGCCAAAGAAACACAGATTTTTTTAAAACGTGTGTAAATATCATTATTGTTAACTAACTTTTAGGTACAAGGTTGTCCCCAACTGGTAACCACACTATACCTACCGGCTCCCGCCAACAACGATGTAAGCAAACTCCTTTTACTATAACGAGGAATTGTCATTCTTCTCTCCCTTCAGGTATTCTAACTTTAGTACGCAGCTTTCTTTTGGAAAATATTTGTTTAACCATTTAAATTGTCTCTCTTTTGATTTATGGTGGAATGTTTGTGAGACGTGTATGTGAAAAAAAAGAGAGTAAAAACTAGAAATAATAGTATCATGTTAAATACGGAGTTAATTATGCGAGATGAAGTTAGATAATTTTCCACTATTAACCCTTCTCCGTGTCCTTTAGTTATGAGAAGTGTTGGATAGTATGAATTTATGTCCCTTCTACTGAGATGAAGACGTATGTAAACTCAACATTTGCTCCAAACATTGTACAGGATTCAGGACTTTGCGGATGTCACAATGCATACAGTGTGGCACCTTAACACAAAATTGTGGCCACTGAATGAAAATAATATGTAGAGACTAGATGAAATATGGATATGAAGTGGACATAGAGATGGTTTTCTACAATTGAATCTTCAAATTTCATTTACAGAAAATGAAATATAAATTACCTTGTGATACTATCATTTCTGGCAAATGCCAATAGAAACCCAACGAATTGCTAATTCTTCAATCAGTTATTCTCAGTTCTGCTCCAAGCATATCCTTGACCTTCTCGTATGTCACGAAAGCAATAGCTATAGAAGGGACCACCTGAAATGAAAAGAGTAGGATTGGAATCATAATGCTTTTCTGCCGTATAAGCTCATTGTTACGAATTTGGTGCAAAAATGTAACCCTGCAGTTTCTTAATGGATTGTGTGTCCGAAATTCAAAGTTCACGCCAGTCGGATAGGTATCAAACCTCTGGGATAAACATAATTTTCCAACCAAAAAATATATATTCCTACTAACCCAGAAAAATGAACATGATCATTGAGCATTATCACATGACAAGGAAATTATGCAAATGGCCCAGGGATCAACTGACCTTCACTGAATTGGGAACTAAGCCCTTGTATAATGCTCCAAATCCCTCACGCTGCACAGTTTTCCTGAATGCATCAACCATGCCAGTATACTCAACTTTGCTATTCACCTCACCAGCTACCACCGAAGCAGCATCTTTCCAGCCCCCCATTTGCATTCTTCGGCGAATGACATCAAGAGGGTAAGCTACTGTCTGGCCAACAGTTCCAGCAACAGCTCCACAAGCAAGCCTTGTGGTCACATTTAGCTCGGAGTCTTGAGCTATTCCAAATGGTTTGGATCGAATGAACCAGTCTTTGAGAGATTCATATACAGAAAAATTAAGACCCACATACGGTATCTGCAGACAACATAATATTTTAATGCAACTAACAAATCGGAAATATAAAAAAGGCAGAAAATATGAAATAAAAAGTTAATTAGTACCATATACCAATCGTTTCAATAATCAAGATCTGTTTACTTACTACTCCTATGACTGAAGGTAGCCAGCCTTTATATAAAGCTCGAGGGCCTTCTTCCCGAAAGACTGTTGAAAGAGCATGAAAAATTCCTCTGTATTGGCGAGGAGACGCTTCTGTCTACAAAATTACTGAAAGTAAATTAAAGATATAGCCAGCAAAGCAAACGATTCAATGAGTTAACTCATCTTCCACCAGCACTACTTCTAGAATCATATCCAAATAAACCAGAATTCCAAAAAAACTTTCTTTAACAATACCTGGACAGTTAGCCTTCCTCGCACCAGGTCCATTGGGTAAGTAGCAGACATGGCAATGATTCCCGCACATGCGCCAGCTCCAAGACGCAGAACAGGAGTGAGCTGAGCTTCTTCTGAAAATAAGAGTTGGTTCGGGGAACGAAAATCAACCACAAAACACATGGACTAACGATGACAAGCCAAAAAAAGGGTAGGAAAAGCACATTAATTATGAATCACATCTCCCAGACAAAATCATATATCACTGCTACCTATTTTCACTATTGCTGAAGAGGGTTGATTCCTTCGCTCACAATCTCTTCCAAAAAATGCCATCATAGCAAGGATAAGTTACGCTGAAAAACTGACGTAGCGAAGCCGTTTGCCAGCTACAAACGGCTGCCTTTCTATTCTTCTCGATTCTCTATTTCTCTTTTTTCACAACTTCTCTATATTAAAAAGCTTTTACTTTATTTTTCAAAGCACCCACTTGTAACAAAAATGAAAATGCAGAACGGAATGCTCGTGCTAGTAATTCTAATACGAATAGAAAGCTGTTTTCAGATAAGATAAGAAGTTCAAACGTCCCTTCTAAATATTAACATCAAAATCAACAGAATAAAATCATCAGATTGAAGACAGTACTCTTCTATTAATTAAAAATTCTAATGTGTTCCCCGTGTAATTTTGCCATAACATGATCACCAGACTATTATATGATCGATGGACGGACCAGTACAGTACTGTTTCACTACTGTACTGGACCATCTAAGTCAAATAATGTTCAGATGCATGATAAAGTGATCGAGAGGTGCTTTGGTGTACCATTTCCAGATTGCCGCTGGTAGAGCCATAAAACACCCCTGCAATAGTATTAAGCAATAATTAGAGGGTGCCTGACGGTGAATGAATAAATTGACAACAGACCAAGGAAAAAAGTATCAGAAAACAATTGTTGAGAAGCATACTTAGATGCTTGTTCATAGGTAAAGAATTTTACTGCTGAATTTGGGATAATACGAGCACAATTAGTTCCGTTTCCTTTGAACATTCCTCTAAAACCTTCAGTTTTCCATATATATTTTAAGCCTTGAATTGATCCAGTGTATTTTATATTCTGACTGTTTTGTACCTGCATTTTCAAAAGGCAATTTGTTTTATTCACTGAACATTATAATATACAAGGAGCACATTCGTTCCTCTCGAATACATTTTTTTCAACATTCATGGCTTCACGCTACCAGCCATCCACACGCTCTCGTGCTGTATAAAAAGAGTTTAAAATCTTTTTTTTTTTGGAAGAAAATGAAAAATAGCCTCATGAGGCAGACAGTCTATGTAAATACAATAAATTTTTTTGGGAAAAGACGGCGTGGATGGAAAAGGAGTGGAGGAGATTGGTTAAAAGGTAACAGTAGTAGTAATAGTAATAAACTTAATGAGAACTACCTGCAGCAGAATCTTCAATCTCTCCAGAGGAGCCACAGCTGTTCGTGACCTATAATAGAAGTCAATACATAATGCTTGATTATTATACGCAAGATTGAAACCCATTTCATACGTGCCTAATGAAAGGTAAAACGTGCCTTATCAATGCCAAGTAGAAGCTATAGCTACGAAGCTTGTTTCGTGATGTTAATGGCAAATAGACTTTATCGTACTAGATTTGACTCTCATCCTACGGATCTACCGATCCAGCAATTCAATACGTGTCGAAAGAATTTATATTTACTGGATACAAAAATAATATTTTATCAAATTTTTTTTACCGCTTTTATATTTGACCAGATGGAAATCAAATTAACATAGAGTGCGTTATAATGTGTATTTTTATTTTGTTGATTAAAAAATGTTATATATGAGTGATATTAGTTCTTTTATACAACATTGTTGGAAATCAGATTTTACATATTTCTACAAATTATGTTATAACTATACACTCAACAACTTTATCTTGAAACGTTTGCTTTTTCTCTCTAATAGTTCTCGTGTTAAATGCAAATATTAAATAAAATCGGAATAAAACTATAATGGATAGATAAAAAAAAATTTTATTTATTTATGATCCATAAAAATATATTAAAAATTAATTAATTCATAACTCATAAATAAAGAATTATTTAACTCATCTATTGACTTTTTTTGCGGATAGATATTCAATTCATCTATTTAAAATGTATTATATTTTTTTTATATAAAATAAGACTCATTATTTATACATTTTTATATTTAAATATTATCGAATCCACAACCCCTATTTCTTAAAAATCTATTTTCAACTATTAAACTTTAAATTACTTGATCGAATATCAGATGATATGATTGAAATTCATACATCAATATATTAAATAATTTATATGTAAATAAAATTAATTATTCACCTTAGTCAACGCAAATAAAAAATATATTAAAACTTATTTTTTAACTTAAACAGCGTTGTGTCTATAAGCAATTATTCTTAAAGCTATACTATTTATACAATAAATTTTTGCAATAATAATGTTTTTATCTCTCTGTTACATTTTCTGTCTTGTTACTTCCTTTTTCTCTTTTATTTTTATCTTTCTAATTTATTATTATCATTATTATATTGACACCCGTGCTAAACGTTATTTCTCTTATACCTACCTATCTCGGTTATCACTGTTTCACAAAACTAAGTTAAATAACCGTTGAAGAGTTAACTTTGTAAACACACGTCTCAAAGTCAAATCGAAGACAATCACATCATATATTCATTGAAAGTAAAAGCGTGAAAAAAAACGTAATGATATTGAAAGTGATAAAAAATAAATTATAAAAAACATTGTAAAAATAACATCATTCAGTTTAATATTTTTATTATTATTCCTAGTTTTTTTAATCTCTGCAGATAAGAAGCAAGTTGAGTTGACTATTCTTCATGCACTACAAGCTAATCATGCTCTTAACATACTTTTAAATAACAATAAAATATTTTTTATTTGGCATTACTAATGGTTTTTTTTCACTGGCCAAAACAGAGGGGGAAAATAGTTAAATAGTCGAAGTGGCTTCATGCACGATCGAACATGCAAAACAATGAGTAACTTCAGCTCTTAATATTAGAAACACCACGAAGAAATCGTTGGATTGAAGAGAATAACAAATGAAAGCGAAGGACGATCTTCACAACCAGTGAAATGAAAAAGAACTTTCGAAATCAAAAGTAAAAAACAAGAGGGAGAAAAATGAAAAGAGAAAAGCAACGAGCTATCAAACAGTGCATCTGACAACCACCAAAAAAGAAAGATTAATAAAAAGAAAACGAATATATATGTATATATATGCAGTGAAACTCACAGTCCACCGGCAACTCCGCCGGCAACGAGAGACTTGCATATGCTGAGAAGCGTACGAGATGGAGATTTTACCCCTTCACCTGGAAGCTTGGCTTCGGCGGCGACATTGGCGATCGGAGGGGTTGCCGGCACACCGGTCTTTCCGGTGGCATCTTCGGACGCCATTTTGCTGTCGAAATGAGAGACCGCAACGAATTCTAACAGTTATAACAGAATGGATCGATTTTGCTTTTGAAAGAGAAGGCAGCGAAAGAAAGGAAAGTAAACGATATAACAGAATCGAAATGAAATTTTTCTTGTTCCCAGATTTTCCTTTCAAAAAGCGACTATTATATGCGCGCGCGTAGTCATAACGTGTGATCTGTGACTTCTGGGTTGGTATTTCTGTAATTCTGAAGCCTTTTTATTCATTTTAAATTTTTTTTTTTTTTGTTACAGTTTCGTCAAGCAAGGAACAACCCATGGTCTGCTTTCCGTGTCACGTTTATATGGATAATTCCTAATTTAAATTCTGATGCTTCGTATATATATGGATATAATTTAGGTCACTAGTTCTAAGTTTTATGATTTGATAATTCACATCAATTGTCAAATTCATATATATATTAAGTTTATTTGTTAAGTGAATCAGTTCGAAAAAATCTTTAAACCTTATATATATTTTGAACCATTTTTAAATGTTCTTTATCTAACTGACAACATTTTTAAAATAAATATAAATAACATAACCATATTATTATTTTATTATCCATATTATATTAATTTTTTTATCTTTTCTTCAAAATTATATATTTATTAGTTTATTTGGAGCCTTAAAATTATTACCCTACATATATAAGTTTACTAACCTATATAAAAGTATGAAATCTTATTTACTAATTCTTAATTTCTTATCACGAAATATAATTTTAAATAAATTTTCAGCAGATTAAACTTTAAAATATATTCAATCTTTTATATATATAAACATGTCAATGTGTGACCTATCTTTCCTAAACACCGGATCTGTTTTTTTTTTTTTTTTTCAAGTAAGACGCGTATCAAAATTTTCGTTACCTCATAGGCTGTTTTGATGAGATTGTAAATAAACCAAATGATATAATATATAATTAACTTTTGCTTCTATCATCGTAAATTTCAAATAGTTAAGTTCATAACGAAAACCAGGAACAAGAAATTTTAAAAATATATATGTTTAAGAAAAAAATTGTTATAGCTAGTTTTAATCCCTTATTCCTAAGACTTTAGGAAAAAAACATGAGTTCTTAAAAACTACCTGTCTCGTTCCTCTTAACACCAACTCGACATATAGAAGTTCCAAGAACAAAAGTAGTAAATAACTTTGAATTAGGGTATATAATGTTTAATTTTATATAGAAAATAATAATTTAAGGAGACAAACCGTTTTATTTTCCTAAGAAAGGAAAGTTAGCCTCACTCATGAACTTTATTCGAAAACGACATTATAAGCAAATGTCATGCTTCACGTGATTAAATTAAGTGATTTTTTATAGAATTTTCCGTAAGGCTCACAACTTCCCTATAAAAAAAGGGGTCAGAAATTACAGAACTTTGAAATATATAATAAATAAACAAAAAGGATGTATCACGTACAAGTGCAAATAAGTCACAACATAAACAGTGAAGGACTGAAAGGTCAGACATATTTTTAAATAATTATCATTAACTTTCTTTTTTTTTCCATTTTGCAATTTTTTAAGTTGATTTAAAAGGAAAAAAAAGGTTATTTTTACAGAATCTTACTCTTATGACCGATAAGCATAATGCAGCATACAAATGAAGTGTACGAATACATTGATTTTTAAAATATACGGAAACATACGACATAATATAAACTAAAATAACATAAATAATAATAAAAAGTTTAAAGCACATGTAAGTTATTAGTTGTTAAATATAAAAATGTTCGTTTTGAGGTTTGACTTTTAAATGATCATATGACCGAAAGGAGTTTTTTTTAATTTTGAAAACTGTGTTGGAAAACGTATCCCGCTTAGTAAATATGTCATTAAACAAATAGACCAATAATCATTCATTTTATTTTGCTTTCACTCTATAAATATAATATTTAATTGTTTTTATTGACACACAACTAGAGGGGCAACATATTAGTGTTTATTTATTTATAGAACCCAAAACAATGTCCATGAATACTTTACATCTTGCTATATTAGATTAGACTTTACCATCTGACATTGTGAGAAGAAGTGCAGTGTCCTCTGGCCCAATGGACTCTAGCCCAAATGTAGGGCAGGAATCAATGTTGGCCCACGCGCAAGAAGGTTCTTTCTAACTAGCCCAAGTTAGATCCACAATAGCGAATGACGATTGCTACGTTGACCCTCCCAAAATTGATTTCTAGGAAATAAAGACCAAGAAAACAAAGATTGCTAAGATATAGATCCTGCTGGACGATTATGAATAGATAATACAGAATAGAAATAACGTTATCCTATCTAGAACATTATTGCAATTAGTTATTTCTTAAGTCTATATAAACAAGATGTATCTGGAAAATCAACCTATTAACTACTGTTTGCTTATATTAATACGTCTTTGATTCTTATCTTGGTTTCAAGGCTTGAGAATGAAGGTGAGTTTTTGTGTGAACTAGTACCACAGTGAAAAAGAAGGCTTGTTTGCTGATAATCTTGGTTTTTCATTTTTCCATCTCTAGTCCTCAGCCTTCCATTTTGCTTTGACTCTGCACTCTCTTGTTTAATCCCCCTAAACGTACGCAGAAAACAAAAATGAATAACTAGGAGAGTTAATTAAAGCAAAATAAGAATTAAGATCCAATCATGCCAGAGAGACCACACTTTTTTGGATCTTCATACGATGTTTATCCAACTTATGTTTTTCTTAACCGACCCGCAACCTGAGGGAGACGTACGAATCAGCTACATTATTGGATCATTGAATTCGCATGGCGTGATGTGGCGAGATAGCTAGTGACACACTTTATTATTAATCTATATTTTTATTATTAGCTAAAATATATTAAAAATAAAAAAGTATAATAAAAAATATTAATTTAAAAATAAGACTCACATAACATTACTATCTACGGAATACCAAAAATTACTACCCGCTTAAAACAATGTAAACTCTTGCAATCTGGCTGGCTTTATAGCCATATATATATAAAGTCAGTAACACCTTCATTCCCACACGTTTGACTAGATTCCCATCACTGTAAAGAAAGATTCTCTTTTTATTTGCACCTAAATATATGTATACATTTTGTGTATGAGTTGGGGGGTCATTCGTTAGTCGACGGTGACGCTGTTCATGGAAGAGCCTCCTAAAGGGGACCTTATCTCGGAGAAGGACGGGGGAGCCACTTTCGTTCTCCAATCAAAAGGTAACTGTGGTGTCTCTAACTCACTCACTCTTACACATTGATGATGGTAACTATATGGTATTGAACATTATTTATGATAAATAGGAGAATGGTGGCACGCGGGTTTCCATTTAACGACGGCGATCGTGGGTCCCACCATTCTAACGCTGCCTTACGCGTTCAGAGGAATGGGGTGGGAGCTGGGTCTCTTTTGCCTCACGGTGATGGGAGTGGTCACCTTCTACGCATACTACCTCATGTCCAGAGTGCTTCATCACTGCGAAAAAGCCCATCGCCGCCACATCCGTTTCCGGGAACTCGCTGCTGACGTTTTGGGTCTCTCTCTCACTCTTCTTTTTCCTTCTCAAATCAATGATCCATCAATAATGTGCTCACCGGAATCAAACTATAGTCCTTTTTTTAATAATATTAAATGTTATAATTTTTAATTATTTTTTATTGCATATATTTAAAAATATAAAAATTTAAATTGATAGTAATTAATTTAAGTAAAGTATGATGTCCATAGTTTAACACATCTTTTAAATATATATATATATATTCACAGCTAAAAGTATCCCATTTAAATTCTGAGGAGACGTTTTCCTTCTTCGTAGGGAAACGTAGTGTCGGTGTCCCAACCTGAGTCACTGCGTACGAGTCTGTAGACAACAACGAGTACATGCACTGATGTACGTCGTGTCACTTATGAGACAAGTTTCAGGATGTTATTGGGGACATTGATAGTTATCCAACAAAGTGTTTTGTCTCTTAATGAATTCTGTAAAAAATCTTCGGAAGAAAAACATAGAACATAATTTGCATTATTTAAGGTGAAATTAATTGAATGCATCTTGCGACTTTCTTTGTGGCAGGGTCGGGATGGATGTTCTATTTTGTAATCTTCATTCAAACGGCAATCAACTGTGGGGTTGGCGTAGGAGCAATCTTACTTGCAGGCCAATGCCTTGAGGTTTTGTATTTTTCTTTTTATCCTTCTCTATTTATTCATTGATATACATCTACCAGTTTCTTTTTGTCCTTCTGTTTTCATTTACACATAATAAATAAAGTTTTGTTAATTCATTCTTTGAAAATATAAATTGATAAATAAAATATTTATTTTTATTATTTTAAATACTATTATCACCCCTGTAAAAAACTAGTATTTAAATACTCTGATCTAATATTTTCTATTTTGAATGTTTAGACCTGCTTCTTAATTCTTAAGACACGTGTTAATGAATCCGAAAAACATAAAAACTTCACATTCATGACATTTATATTGTCATGTTAATCATTCAGTTAGCACTATATATTAATAGCTTTGACCTTGTGGTGAAATATTAGACATTTATATTATCATGTAGACATACTACATAATTTAAGAGTTTTATTAACCTCATTCTACAGGAAATTTAAGCATTCACAAATAAATTTTTTTATGAAAAAAGTATAGTTATTGTATTGGCGTTATAAAAATACAAAAAATATTTCTCTTTTTTATAAAATTTTATTATTATTAATTAAATGATATTATCATGTGGTAAGTTAATGATCTTGGTAACAATATTTCAATTGTTTACTTGGTGAGTTAACATTTTTTTCTTTTTCCTTATATCGTGACAGATCCTGTACTCCAGTATTTCACCACATGGATCCCTGAAATTGTATCACTTTATAGCAATGGTGACGGTGATTATGATAGTTCTATCTCAACTTCCCACTTTCCATTCGCTGAGACACATCAACTTATGTTCGCTGGTTCTTAGCCTGGGCTACACCGCTCTTGTAGTTGGTGCCTGCATTCATGCGGGTATCCCCATCTCTTTATCCCTTAATTACAAAATCAGACGTTTAATATTGGTTTCCTTGATTTATTTTTTGTGTTATTATGATTAACTGTAAATAATGTGTAACGACATAAATCATAGTACTGCTATTCCTTTTATTCGAAATTGGTGTCATAATTGGTACCTTCCACATTTGGGTCCTCTGACTTATAGTTGAAATTAATGTTTCAATTGTCTGAACAATTTCCAATCATTTCACAGGTATGTCGAAGAATGCCCCTCTAAGGGACTATTCCTTAGAACCCAGGAAGTCTGCAAGGGCTTTCAGCGCCTTCACTTCCATCTCCATACTCGCAGCAATATTTGGGAATGGCATATTACCTGAGATACAAGTAACAACAGTTATTTTTCAAAGTTAAAATTATATTTTTGGGTATCCTCCATATGATAAAGTTCAATGTAGTGTCACTTGCTTTGCCAAGAGGCGAGTAAAACTAACGAAGGCTTCTTGACGTTACTTTTGAAAATGTCATTTTGAATGCAGGCAACTTTAGTGCCTCCCGCAGCTGGGAAGATGGTAAAAGGCCTTGTTATGTGCTATGGTGTAATTGGTGTGACTTTCTACTCAGCTGCAGTTTCTGGATATTGGACGTTTGGAAATAAGTCTAATTCAAATATTTTCAAGAGTCTGATGCCAGATGATGGACCTTCTTTGGCTCCAACTTGGCTCCTTGGCCTTGCAGTCATCCTTGTTCTTCTCCAGCTCTTTGCCATCGGACTGGTAAGCCATCAAGTTCTCTTCTGTGGAAAGGGCCATCAAACTATTAAGTTTTAGTATAGGATACGTTATGTAATGAAAAATGTTAAAGATCAGCCCTTAACATTAATTTTAAGCAACTATATGTAATCATTACTTCTGTGGAAACGAATTTAATCCATAGGGACATTTTCACTCTTATCCATTAAAACTATATTAATATAATATTAAATTTTCTTAAATAATATATTTCAAATGGTTAGATTTAAAATGCATCATATGTGGTGAAACTTAGTAATTAAGAGGATCTGGATCCTACTTTTGTATGTTTAAAACAAGCCTCCAAGGTTGATGGTAACGAAATGGAATGTGTATATAAATGGCTATAATGATTGTCTCACCATGTCACAGGTCTATTCTCAAGTGGCTTATGACATAATGGAGAAGAAGTCAGCTGATGTGAATAAGGAGATGTTTTCCAAAAGAAATCTTGTTCCTCGTATAATTCTTCGGACAATTTACATGATTATATGTGGCTTTGTGGCAGCTATGTTGCCATTTTTTGGAGACATCAATGCTGTGGTGGGAGCTATTGGTTTCATCCCTCTGGATTTCGTTCTGCCTATGCTTCTATACAACATCACTTACAAGCCTCCTAAATCATCCTCCACTTACTGGGTTAACATCTCAATTATGGCAGTCTTCACGGGTGTTGGAATAATGGGAGCATTCTCTTCTATAAGGAAATTGGTTCTTGATGCCAATCAATTTAAGCTCTTTGACAATGATGTTGTTGATTGAACACATGGATACATAAATTATGCGAAAGCAGGGATTTTTTTCTGTAAGATGGGTCCCCAACATTCGGTTGTACCAAATGCTAATACTAAGGTCGGATCATGAACCTTGTAATCTTAAAGGTAGGTTTACTGCTTAGTGTACGTTTAAGTGGTGATTCCATTCCCTCAACGTTTTTCCTTTCGAGGAGGGTGGGTTATTCTTGTGCTAAAATCATGTAATGTTTCTGATCTTGTTTAGTGAGACAATGATTGTTCCTTGTAAAATGGAATGAATTTATAGTCTGTTTTGTTTACTAATATATTTTCTCTAATTATAATTATAATCTCACTTCACAATAATTTTAATGTTTAGTTTTATATTGTGTTATTCAAAAAGTGGCTATGTGTTAAGGTAGTATTCTAAATAATACTAGCAAAGTAAAAAAATAAATTAATTAAAAAACGGCTTTGTGAAAGCATAAGCTATCAACCAGAAATGTTTTTGGTCAACATAGTCGATTGCTAGCGTCATCTCCCATTGAGCAAGCTTGGGCTTTGTTTTTTATGATTTGCTATTCTTTGCGGTATAACTAGTTTGGGCTTTTCCTTTGTGCTGTATTAGTCTTAGTTTCTTTGTTAGAGAAAAACAAACCTGGGACTCTCTGAAACCCAAAAACCAAAAGGGGAAGAGTTTTTATGAAATAAACAAAGCTATTTTGATATAAAAAATTCAAAATAAAAAAAAATTAAAATAACGGGATTCTATAGTTTTTTTTATTTTTATTTATAAAAGTTATATTTTTCATATACAAGTAAATTAACTTTCTTTTTGCATGATTAAGTTAATGTAAAGTAAATAAAATATAACATTTTTATATAATTAAAAACAATCATTACTTTCCTGTAAATTGTGTTTTAAATGCATATTCTGTGTATGTTTTATTGAAAGATGTAATTATCTTTAGTTTTTACATTTTTTAATAATAAATTTTAAAATATTCCATGTCAAATAGGCATATAAATAAACCAAGTCAAGCGGAAGTATTTGAATCTCAAACTTAACTTATGATAAAAATGAGTGTTGAAACTATTAGCACAAAAAAAATAAAGAATGTTGAAACTTGACTCATTTATTTAAAAGAGTTAGATTTAAAACTCAAACTTGATTTGATTAATAATTTTAAAACTTGACTTATTTTTTTAGCTTGTTTATAATTTTTTCATTGATTTACATGAAAATAAAATATAATTTTATCTACATGAAAATAATTTAAGATTAAAATAAACAAATTATTATAAAAATAGTATTTTTTTTATGATCACTTATTTAAAATATAACTCTTGAAAATTAAAATTAGGCAAATAATATACACACAACAACAATATAATAAATAAATAAATAAAATATAAATATCAAATTAAATATAATAAACAAAAGAGTAAATTGCATTTTTTTCTTATCAATTTTTAAATTATATAACCCTCTCCTAAAAAATTAAAATGCATCACAAATTTAATCTAATTAAAATTTGTTGTTAAAGCATTATTAAACACTTATATGCCCTATTTTAAATATTTGAAATTATTTTATTTACTGTAGTCTAACTTTTATTTTCATGTCTTAATTTCCTAAATCTTTTTATATTTTATCTTTTTCTTTGAATACGTTAAAGTTGCAAGTTGTTTGATGAAAATAATTTTTGTTTTGTTTCTTTATTTGATATAAAGATAAGCTTTTTAAAATATTATAAAAATAACAAGTGTTTTATTGTTATTATTATAATACATTTATTAAAAAAATTATTTTAGTAAAAAATGTCAAACATGTATTTGATAGTGCTTTAACAAAATGCTTAAAATATATTAAATTGTAATTTGTAATGCATTTTAACATTTTAAAGAAGGAATTTATATAATAATAGAATGGAGATAGTAATATATGCATATTTCACTACAATAAGATTAATTTTTAGTGGTAATTGTTATAATTTTTAGTAACAATAAAAATAGTCATTAAAAATTTTACAGACAAAAAAATTATTTATTACTATATCTAATGTTGGTAAAAAATTATTTACTACTATAAAGACTTGATTTATTGCCGTTAAAAACTTTAATTTATAGTGACAAATGTTAATGATAATTTAAATGACCACTAAAATTGATTTTAATTTTTTAAAATTTATTTACTAAGCCTTTATTATTGTCGGTAAAATTTTAAAATTATTTTTATTAATAATTAATAATCTCTTAAATATGAATAATTTAATTAGTATTTCTACCTACAAATTTTTAAATAACAATATATATATACAATTATTTCAAAGAAATAATATATTTGACATCCTTAATAGTCAAATTTTATAAATTCCATTAGTAATCAAAGTTCACACATCATAATAACAATAGTTTTATGTAAAAGCAAATTTAACATAAAAACATAATATTTGGATTAAAAATAGAATTTCAGATCAAGTTAGAAAATATGTGAATTATATAAATATGGCAGAATTTTTAAATGTATATTTACACAATTTTTTATAATTAATTATATCTTTTATTCAATAACTTCAAAGCTTCTATTATTTGTGAGTTGTTGACTAACTTCAGGTTTCATGCTGCTACTGAAACCATATTTTAGTAAATGAAAAGGTGAAATAGCTCTTGGTTTTTGAGATTCTATGGTGTTTCAAGCATTTTCTACTTTCCACTACTCAAGTTCTATTTCCTTCCTCTACAATGCCAATTTGAGATTGAATAACTTCAAGTTCAATGGATGAAACCCTCTCAACAAACTTAGTGTGCTATTTGTCTCTCCAATAGCATTAAGTTCAGGATTGATATGAACAAATATCAAAGTTTATGCATGCCCACCTATTGATAATACAACAAAAGAAGCAGAGACTTAATTTTACATAAATTCAAACAAGCAACTGACTATGGCAATAACAATATCAACATTCAAGTTTTATATCCTTTTTTAGTCCAATCAAACACCTTAACCATTAAAAAAAATTATGCTAATATAATAAATTCAGTAGTAGATATGGAAATATTACCAAACTCAAAGTTTTTAGTCCATTGTAATAAGTAATTTGTACCAAAGATAAAATAATTAAATGGTGGACTAGTATTGTCCACAAGCACAATGAACTAAGCATCAAAAGATCACAACACTGAAAGATGTATGATCAATAAAAATAATGAAAGGCTGAAAATTAGGATAGACACAAGATCATTAATAGTACAATTACAAAACCACATCCAAAGCAGTAAAGAAACACATTAAATTTAATCTAAAAAACGTCGAACTAAAAAAATTCAACATAAATTTACATTAAATCAAAGTAATTATTACATATCTGCATTAACTAGTAGTTCATTTTTCCTCTTAAATCCATAGATGACACCATGGAGAAAGTAGAACTCACTATTTTCCATGCACAAATCACATTTATATTCCAATAAGAGGTATTATTCCAAAGATACAAGTAATATAACTAGAATTTGAAACAATTATTATAACAATATGATCATGTTCTTAGTGAGCCTATTTAAGACTATGTTTGGATTGAAGGAAAGAAATGAAGTGAAATGAAATGACACTAGGTTCCACTATTTGGATTGCTTAAAATAGGATGAAAATTGAAATGAAACAAAATCAGAAGGACTACATTCCATTCCATACAAACATTACCTATCTTTTTCTTCCCTTCTAATGGAAGGTATAGGAAGTAACCAGCCATTCATTTCATTCCACATAAAAAGATTCAAATTCAAACCAATGATAACTTTACCCAATGCCACACCATTCTTTTTCATTAAGTACACAAAAACATAGCATAAACGCCAACAAAAAAGACAGCACACAGTTTTACTAGTTCAAACAACCCATATGCAACTAAATCCACTTGAAAAGTGGAAAGTTAATACCTATAGTGGGAACACAAACTAAATCTCAACCCCAACCACCAACCTCCTAATTTTAAATGTTGAATTAAGGCGAGCATTAGCCTTGCAACGCCTCTTGTTCTCAAGCACTTCTTGTTGGATCAACCAATGTAATAACCAAAAAAAAAAAAAAAAGATCACATTAAATTATCATCACAAACAAAAACCAAGCAAATCTTCAAAAACAAATTAGTTTATACCACTTGGAATTGCACAATATAACCAGGGTTTATATCATGTATCTCTCTCTTCTCTCTCACTTCCTCCATTGCTTCCTTATCAAAAATCTAAAGAGTATAATAACACCATCAATTTTCACAAATGATACGACATGAATATTAAATTATAAACAAGGAATTTTACAATTACATTCACATTATAAGTCAGTATATTTTATCAATATCCCACAAGCATCACCATCAATTTAGCCTAAACTAGTTAGAATGCAAAAGAATTTAAAAATAAGCTTTTATCATATTAAACAAGTTAAAATTTGCTTATACATTAACATATCTCCAATACTGAATTAGAGAAAGTAGACAATCTATTAACAACCAGCCCTTCTTGTGAATCCTTATTGGAGATATTTGATACCATCAATAGGTAAAATGACATTAATGATACAAATAGAGCGTAAAATATTGAGAATCCCCTGTATTGGCAAAATGTCTTAAAATTAACATAAAAAGTCAATTATGAACAAAATAGAAAAAAATATTTTTATAAAAGCATTTTATTGGTTATTCCATTCAATTTTTTGTGCACTGCTCAATTTGCCATATCTCAAGAACAAGAGAACTCAAAACAACTATCAATTTATAAATCTTCAAGAAGAGAATATAAAAAGGATCAAGTTTCAAAATTGTTAATTGTTAAAAAAATAACCTCCATAATCATATGACCAAAAAGTTTAGTATTATCTCTCCATACATCTAAAACTAAACTCACCGGTAATTGAAAGAAAAATGAACTAATTGAAAACTGAGTTGGATTTTCTGAAAATCAAGAAGAATACGGATGCATTCTTCTTAGATCTACCCATGTGATGAGAAAAGGATTTTGGTTTGCAGAAACAAGATATCCATGCAATGAGAGAGAAATTTTAATTCACAGAGAGAGATTTTGGTTAAGAGAAACAAAATACTTATGTAATGGGAGAGAGATTTTGGTTCACGAAGATGAGAGAAAAAGTGAGAATTTTAATTTTAAAAGTTCTGTATATTTTTAATTGACATTTATTTTAATTTTTTTTAAAATTTATCTTAATTGTTAGTAAAAATTAATTTTTTTCTGACTAATATTTAATAAGTGTACTGGATAGGGGAACTGATGGACCCAACATATAGAAAAAGGAAACCGAATACCTACTCGACTAGTCTGAATCAGTATCTCTAAGATTTAAAGATAACTTAATAATTAGAATTTTATTCAAATCATGAAAAGGGCCAAAAGTCAAGGTTGACTTTTGGCCCATTAGCCCATTACAGTGCCTATAAAAGAAAGGTAGGAAGAGCAGGTTGAGGGTTGACTTTTCATTATTGAATACCATTTATTACTCTGAGTCGAATCCTGATTTCAACATCGGAGTGCCTTTTGCAGGTACCATCCCACGTCAGCAATTGTGAGAAGGACACCAAATCAGAGGTTCGAAGACAACTATTTCTCTAGCAAGAAGGAACATTTTGGCCCACCGTAGGGCCCGATTAACTTCATTTTTCAAGATTAAGCATGGTAATGACGAGAAGCCAGCAGGAAGGAACCTCTCGGCAACAAATGGAGAGCGTCACACCAGAGGAACCAATACCTGAAGTGGTGATGCAGGGAGGAACAGAGGAAAGCATTCTAGCTGTACTAAGGTAGCTTAAGGCAGAAATAACAGAGATGAAGAAGGAGCGAAAAAGAGATGCACTGGAACTCTCGGCCATAAGAAGGGAAAATGCTGGCTTAAGGGAAGAGATAAGGACACATGTCTCCTTCCAAACTACTCCCGTCATCCAAGATCAAGGGGAATTCTCAGCGTTGCAAGAGAAATCAAGGCAGGTCTATCAATCGGTAACCAGAAATGACCGGGACAATCTTGTGAACTGGAGCCCATTCGTTCACCATATTCTGGAGGCTAAGCTGCCCGATAATTGGAGAGGGTTGGCAATAAACAAATACGATGGCACATCTGACCCTGGAGAACACGTGGATGTCTTTACAACATAAGTCGGTCTGTACACAGAAAACAACGCCTTATGGTGTAGAATTTTTCCTACTTCACTCTGAGGACCTGCACTCAGTTGGTTCACCCGACTCCCCCCTTTATCCATCGACTCTTTTGCAACTCTCACAAGACACTTCAACTTACAGTTTGCCACAAGCCGGCCTCATCCCTTAACATCCTTGGCCCTAGTCAATATTCGTCAAGAAAAAAGAGTCTCACTTAGAGCGTTCATGGAACGCTTTGGCAAAGTGACTCTTTCAATCCATAACTTGGAACATGCAGTGGCTATGCACCACCTCACAACAGCGTTAAAGCCAGGACCCTTCGTTAATAGCATTTGCAAAAAAACCCCAATTGACCTAGACGAGTTAAGGAGTCGGGCTGCGAAGTATATGCAGATGGAAGAATTATCCGAATACCGGAACCAGGTACGGATGGACCAAGGATCCAACTCAAAAAATGCAGAAAAGAGGGAAGCTTTTAAAGCTAGGCAGGGAAACGAGAGAAGAAATGAACTTGAACGACCACCTCGGGGACCTAAGTATCCTTCCTACACTACGCTCAACACTAACTGGTCCAGAGTACTTGATTAAGCGTTGGCCACAAAAATATTGAGAATGCCTAGACGCGCCAACACTCCTCCTCGGGCAGATAAAAGTAAGTCTTGCCGGTACCATCAGAACAGAGTCACACTATCGAAGAGTGTATAACACTGAGAGACAAAATTGAAGAATTAATTAAGGACGGATATTTAAAAGATTTCGTACAGACAAATCCCATGGGGCAACCTAACAAAGGAAGAGACCGTCACCTTGAATCACCAAGGAGATCTGACGGCAAAAAATTTGAACGACATAGGAGCAGGTCCAGGGAACCTCCAGCTAGAAGATATGAGCAAGAGAAGTATCCGAAAAGGGTCATTAACACTATAGCCGGAGGGTTTGCTGGTGGAGGACCTACCCATTCGGTTAGAAAGAGGCATCTCAGGCATGTCCGTTCGGTTAATAATGTTTCATTGGGCAGCAGAATCCAGATCCTGCCTATTACGTTCACTGACGATGACTTTCAAAGAGTCGATCCGGTGCAGGATGATCCCATGATAATTAGTGTAGACATTCTTAACTGCACTGTTCAAAAAACACTAATTGACCAGGGGAGCTCGGCCGACATCCTGTACTGGAATACATTTAAGCAATTAGGCATCTCGGAAGAAGAGCTCAAAGAATATCACGAATCGTTGGTCAATTTTTCTGGAGAACGAGTAGAGACCAAGGGGTGTATTGACTTGTATACCTCGTTTGGATCAGAGCACGACGGAAAACATATAAGAGTTACTTATCTTGTAGTACATGCGAACACATCTTATAATATACTACTTGGTAGACCATCCCTGAATAAACTGAAGGCCACAGTGTCCACTCCGCACTTGGCCATAAAATTTCCATCTGAAAGAGGCCGAATTGTTACCGTCCATGCTGATCAAAAAATAGCCAGAGAATGCTACTTTGCAAGCTTACGGCTTAGACCCTTTCATGGGAATAACCGAGATGTCAATATTGTATCCCCTCGGTTGGAAGAAGAGTTAGATGTTGAACTTGATCCTAGAATGGATGAGGAATATCGGGTTGAGCCTAATGAAAACAAGCAACCCTTCCAACTAGGAGCAAAGCCAGAACAAGTTGCTTATTTAGGGGTCAGTTTGAATGCACAAGAAAAGCAAATCCTCAAAGGGATGCTATTAGATAACGCCTATTTGTTTGCTTGGACAGCCTCGGATATGCTTGGCATTGATCAAGCATTTCTTTATCACCACTTATCGATCTACAAATGGGCCAAGCCGGTAGCTCAAAAGAAGAGAAAAATTGGTGGAGATAGAGCAAAGGCAGTAGAAGAAGAAACCAGCAAACTAATACAGGTTGGCTTTATCCGAGAAGTCAGGTATTCAACATGGTTAGCCAACATCGTCATGATTAAAAAAGCCAACGACAAATGGCGGATGTGCATGAACTTCACGGACCTCAACAAAGCATGCCCAAAAGACGCATACCCCCTACCAAACATTGATACCTTGGTCGATGGTGCAGCCGGTCACAAAATACTGAATTTTTTGGATGCTTATTCTGGGTATAATCAAATACGAATGTATCCCCCGGATGAGAAAAAACGGTATTCATCACAAATTCGACAAATTTTTGTTATCGAGTGATGCCGTTCGGTTTGAAGAATGCAGGAGCAACATACCAGCGACTCATGAACAAAATTTTTGAAAAACAAGTGGGTAAATGCATAGAGGTGCATGTGGACGACATGGTAATTAAATACCTCGCATTGAAGCAACATCTTGACCACTTAGAGGAGGTATTCGGAGAAGCCAGAAAGCATGGTATGAGGTTTTATCCTGAAAAATGCACATTTGGTGTAATTGGCGGTAAATTCTTGGGTTTCATGTTGTCTAAAAGGGGGATTGAGGCAAACCCCGACAAATGTAGAGCCATCATCGACATGGCCAGCCCTCGAAATGTCAAGGACGTTCAACAACTGACCGGGCGGATTGCAGCCCTCGCTAGATTCTTGCCAATAATGGCAGAAAGGTCTCGGCCTTTCATTAAATTATTGAAGAAATCCTAAAAATTTGCTTGGTCCAATGAATGTGAGGACGCCTTCGTACAATACAAACATGTGCTAGCGACGCCACTTGTGCTAATTAAACCAAAACCTAATCAGGAAATGATTGTTTATTTGGCCGTGTCCGATCACGCCATCAGTTCGATTTTACTTCAAGAAACACCTGAACCGAATCCCGTATATTTCGTCAGCAGAACACTCCAAGGTCCTGAATTCCGATATCAATTAATGGAGAAAGTAGTACTTGCCTCTTAGTCCACACAGCTCGTCGGTTAAGACACTACTTTCAGAGCCATCGGATGGTGGTACGTACAAATTGTCCGATGGCCAAAATTTTGAGAAAACCAGAGTTGGCTGGTCGGTTGGTAGCATGGACAATTGGATTATCTCAATTTGATATCCATTTTGAGAACCGACGCCCTCTTAAAGCCCAGGTGTTAGCCGACTTCATCAATGAATTCACTACATAACGACATACCACTTCAGACATGTGAAATTTGCATGTTGATGGATCATCAAACCAATTAGGCAGTGGAGCTGGGGTCATTCTTGAAGGACCGAATGCATTCGCCATTGAACAATCTATCCGGTTTGAATTTAAGGCATCCAACAATCAAGCTGAATATGAAGCTTTACTCGCCGGTCTCAGGCTAGCAAAGGAGATGGGAGTTAAACGCATTACTAGTTGGAGTGATTCAAAAATTGTAACCGAACAAGTTAACGATACATATCAGGTTAGGGACTCGGTCATGCTTAAATATTACCAGGAATTCAAGAAAATAAAGGCAGAGTTTGAGGAGGTATGTATTCGGTACACACCAAGAAACATGAACGAACGAGCCGACAGGCTAGCTAGGCTGGCTAGCCAACGGAAACCAGGGCAGTTGCAGAGCGTGGTTCACCAAGAAATCATCCAACCCAGCATCGCCAGACAAGAATGCATGGATATAGAAAATTTATCCCATAATTGGATGACCCCACTCATCCGGTACCTCACTGATGGCAACTTACCAGAGGATACAGCTTCAGCTAAGAAAATAAAAGCACATGCAGCCAAATACCTTCTTCTCGGCAAAGAATTGTATCGAAGAGGAATTTCAACCCCTATGCTTAAATGCCTAGACGACGATCAAGCTAACTACGTCATAAGAGAAATCCATGAAAGTATTTGTGGTACCCATTCGGATGGACGAACTATGGCAGCGAAAGTCCTCAGCGCCGGATACTACTGGCCAACAATAACTCAAGATTGTCATTTGTTTGTAAAACAATACATTCCCTGTCAACAACACGGTCCTCACCTGCATCAACACGCCGATACTGTTCGCCACATTAGCTCTCCCTGGCCTTTTGCCATTTGGGAAATGGACCTCCTCGGTCCTTTCCTTTTAGCAAAAGGGCAATGTAAATTTCTCCTCGTCACCGTGGATTATTTCACCAAATGGATTGAGGCCGAACCCCTCGCCACCATCACGGCTAACAACGTGAAGAAATTCACTTGGAAAAACATCATTACACAGTTCGGCCTCCCTCATGCACTAATTACAGATAATGGGTTTCAATTTACAGATCGTCGATTCAATAAGTTTCTGGAAGGCCTGCATATCAAACACAGAGTTACATCTGTTGAACATCCTCAGACTAATGGCCAGGCCGAGACCGCAAACAAAGTGATCTTACATGAATTAAAAAGGAGGCTGGGTTCGGCAAAGGGAGAATGGGCAGAGAAACTGCCCGAGATATTATGGGCTTATCGATGCACGCCGCAAACCACAACAAAAGAAACTCCCTTTCGGCTTACCTATGGTACTGATGCCAGTAGAGATTGGGGAACCCTCATTCCGGAGGGAGAATTTCGAAGAATCGGCTAATGAAGAGGCTCTGGCCTTCAACTTGGACTTAATAGATGAAATACGTGACCAAGCTGCCATTATGATCGAGGCTAACAGAAGAATGATGGCTAGAAAATTCAACTCCAAAATCAGTCCACGACAATTTTATAAAAATAACCTAGTATGGCGAGTAACCGGAGATGCACGCAGAGATCGGCGAGAAGGGAAGCTGGCAGCTAACTGGGAAGGCCCCTTTCGGGTAACAACAAGATTAAATAACGGAGCATACAAGTTGAAAACATTGGAAGGAAAACTAATACCGAGAACCTGAAATGTCACACATTTGAAGCATTATTATAGTTAAAGCCTTGTAATGCATAAACAGGTGTACTCTTTTCTTATCCCAGGTTTTATCCTCTTAAAAGAAAGTGAAAATGGGTTTTCCTGGGAAGGTTTTTAACGAGGCACCTTATCAATAAAATTCTTCTTTTTCACCTATACAGTTTTTTATGCACCAGGATTATCTTTCAAGCACCATCGAATTATTTCCCTCCCAAGTACCCCCACTCGGTTAAGGATGAATCAATTATATTTCCCTCCCAAGTATCACTTGGCTAAGGTCGAATCATTTCCCTCCCGAGTACCCCCACTCGGTTAAGGGTGAATCCATTACAAGTCCCCCCCAGGTATCACTTGGCTAAGGTCGAATCATTTCCCTCCTAAGTACCCCCACTCGGTTAAGGATGAATCAACTATATTTCCCTTCCAAGTATCACTTGGGTAACGTCGAATTACCTCCCTCCCGAGTACCCCCACTCGATCAAGGATGAATCCATTACAAGTCCCCCCCAGGTATCACTTGGCTAAGGTCGAATCATTTCCCTCCTGAGTACCCCCACTCGGTTAGGGATGAATCAACTATCCAAGTATCACTTGGGTAAGGTTGAATTACCTCCCTCCCGAGTACCCCCACTCGGTCAAGGATGAATCCATTACAAGTCTCCCCCAGGTATCACTTGGTTAAGGTTGAATTTTCCCCAACCGACTAACCCTACTCGGATAAGAATGAAGCGTTACTAATATTTCAGTGGCACTTAGTCGGATTAAATTTATTTTTCCCAAGTACCCCTGCTCGGCCTAACGAAGAAGCTATTACTAAGAACGAATACCGCTATATATCTTTATATGTAACAGGAAAGTAGTCAGTTAACTTGTTTTAGCAAAAACTAGGAATGACACCAGTTAGAATTTCTATTTCTTTGTCAAAAAGATTACAAAAATTTGGACACTATCAGCCCATGAATATAAAAGAGAAATTAAACTAAATTCCCTTCATCTCCACCATCTGGACATGAGATATCAGGAACGGTCGCCTCTACATCAGGGGCTGCAGCATTGTCATTTATATTTATCCTTAGAGGGACTTCAGCGTCAGGTTCTAAATCTTCATCTACGTCATTGTATAGCAAAAACCTACTGCCGAAAAAATCTCTAGTAAGATCGAAGTGGAAGTCAGAAGGCACTTGGCAAAAACCATAGCACTGGCGAACGGCATGATTAAAGCCCGACTCATGTTCACTAGCCACTTGAACTGAACACTTGTCGGCAAAGGCTTTTATTTCACCATCAGCCCTGTGCCTTTCAGCTGTTACTGCCTCCTCCATCTCAACGGATTTGGCCCTCAAAGACTCCTCCAATCCTACAGACTTTGCCCTCCAAGCCTCCATTTCCTCTTCCCTCGCCTTCAGCGCTCGTTCAGTAGCTTGGAGCCAGTTTTTCACTATATGATAGTGTTCTTTATATTGAATAACCTCGGCTTCCAAAGCCTTATTGGTTTCGGCCAGATTTTGCCGAATCTCCTCATTTTCTGCAAGAGCTTGCTGAGTGACAGCATACTCATTTTGAACCTTCCTCATCTCCCGTGTGGGCTCCAGAGCCAGTCGTCGGAGCATCATCATAGCTCGGATTTGAAACTCCGAGAAGTATTTCCACACAGACTCAATTTCAAGGTTGCTAACCGCTTCCTTTCCTGCGTCCGACAGCAAGTCAGAAGCAACTGCTCGGCCAGCATGAACACCTTGGTTGAGGAAGGTGTCGGTCAAAAAGAAAGGAGGGAAGACACTATTCGAGGAACTCCCAGTGCCGGACGCCAGGTCACCCCGGCCTTGATGTCGGCTCCCATCTGAGCCACTCGGCCTTCCTGAATGAGAGTGCTTCCTCCTCTTCTCTTTGTCCGCCTCTTTGCTCTTCTCCTTCTCCTTGCCCTTGTCTTTACGCTTTTTTGGTTAGTTTTCGGCAATGACAAGGTCTCGGGGAGGAGGTTGCGGCTCGGTCGCAACAGGAATATGGTCCATTTGAGGATGTCGATGCTCCTCGGTGGGCGTGTTCTCAGGTGCCCTAGACTTCAAAGTTTTCTGATATGTCGGCACGTGAACATCACGCTGAGCCATTAAACCTACAATAAAAGCAGACAGTCAAATCAATATCATTTAAACCAAAAATAAAACCCCAATAACGTAACATATCATCCATGTCCAGGCGAGGTTGAGGAGATTTTAATACTAAAAGTATATGTCGGGCAGGAAGGTCTCGGGGAAGAGACTTTAAATATTCCAATGCCGCTAACTCCCTAACCGACAACATATCCTCGGGAATCCAGTCGTACCGGCAAGACACCCGGGTCCAGCGGAAAGGAAAAAGAGGACTATTTTCACTATCAAAGAAAAAATTTCTACCTACGGAGTGGACGGTTACTTTGAAGAAACCGATTTTAAAACCCTTAAAAGACGAAGCATAAGGCTTAAACAAAGGCAAGTCTGGTTGCCTTATTAAGGATATCCAACTAGCCAGGTCCGATGGACGGGTACAAAAAAAATGAAGAAACAATCCTACACTAGGTTCAATGTAATGAAATTTACAAAGTACTCTAAAAGCCTGAATAGCCGCCCACCCATTCGGATGGAGTTGTGTCGACGCTACATTTAAAACTCGCAACACTCCCATTTGAAAGTCATTAAAGGGCAATTTTATACCTAGCTCCCTAAACATATACTCATACACGAAGAAGGTGTCGGTCATCCCAGCACCCCCTTGAAAAACAAACTCAGGGTCTTCGGTTTCATCCCCACGACAAGGATTAATGAATATGGGGTAGGGATCGGATGGCTTCCATAATGAAATGTCCACATGATCAACAAAAGATTGAAGATCCTTATTTCTTCTATACCGAGAGAAGTAGGCAACTACCTCACCGTGTACCCACTCGTATCCAGGAATAGTACAAGGGGGAGGTACTAGTCTCTCCCTAAGGGGGCTCATGCTCGGTAAAGGTTCAGAGGAATCAGAATTGTTGGACTCTGACGATTCGGCTTCATCATTGCACTCCCTAACGCAAATCTCTATGTCTTCACCACCCCCACTAGGTCCTGAACCAAGTGCTACCCCCCCCTTCATTTTTCTCAGCATGTTGACTATCGACACTAGTCGGCATAAACGACTCAGATAACAAGTCTTCCCATTCTAAGGATCCGGCCATGATAAAAATAGGGAAAGAACGAAGCGTACCTCACAATAGTCGGTTTGAAAAAGAAAGTTTGAGTACCCTTCGGTTTGGAGCGATAGTATATACTTCTCGGTATAGAGACAAAGTGGAGAACAAAGTACCTGGACCACCACGTATTTATAAAGGGCCCTCGGGCATATGAAAGGTCACATCCCTCTCCAACCGATAGATCTGTCCTAGATCAAGTGGTCAAGATCGAGTACCCTTTTGTTTCTCGCACACATATCGAGGAAACTCTAAAAAGTACTTGAGATTCTCGAAGAATCCTTTTCCATTTTTTATTATTTATTTTTATAAATTTTATAAACTTTTATTATTATTAATTTACTAAATTCTTCTGATTACATTCACTTTATTGAAAACCGAATACCCTCCTCGGTATTCCTTATCACTCATCAAACCGAATCCCCCCTCGTTCGACTGTTCCCCTAGTAATTTAAAGCCCTCAAATCGTACCTCTTTGGGCTTGGGAGACTAGTGTACTAGATAGGGGAACTGATGGACCCTACATATAGAAAAAGGAAACCGAATACCTACTCGACTAGTCTGAATCAGTATCTCTAAGATTTAAAGATAACTTAATAATTAGAATTTTATTCAAATCATGAAAAGGGCCAAAAGTCAAGGTTGACTTTTGGCCCATTAACCCATTACAGTGCCTATAAAAGAAAGGTAGGAAGAGCAGGTTGAGAGTTGACTTTTCATTATTGAATACCATTTATTACTTTGAGCTGAATCCTGACTTCAACATCTAAGTGCCTTTTGTAGGTACCATCCCACGTCAGCAATTGTCAAAAGGACATCAGATCAAAGGTTTGAAGACAGCTGTTTCTCTAACAAGAAGGAACAATAAGTATATTAATTAAAATTTGAAGAATAATTTTTTGGTAAAGTATTTATGGTTACAAAATAATGGCCAATAAAATTTATTTTTGTTATGGTGTTTTAGAGTGAAAATTATAAATAAAATTATAATGTATTTAAGTATGTATATAAATTAGAGCTACTTACAACCTATTAATATTAAATTTATAAAATTTAAATTTGATTCATTTTAATAAGAGATAAACTAACAACATATTAGTATTTTTTTTAAATAATTAACCATAACTTCAAATTTAAACTTATTTATTTAATTAAATAAACGAGTTTGACTAAACATTTAATAATCTGCATCAAGCAGTTCATCGAATGCTCAACATTTATCAACAGAAAATATTCAATATAATTATTTGTAAAAGTTGTTAGTTATATTTTCCCCTCTAATATATATATATATATTTTTTTAAGGCCTCATATTTTATTAATGAAAATCAAGAAAATATTCAATATAATTTTTTGTACTTTTTCTGTTTGTATTTGTTTCGCACAAAATGTCAATATGAGCTTAATTACGTTCATATTTCAAGCTTACTACTACAAAGAACTTTCGAATTCTTCCAATTATTCTCTAATCAATCAATGAGTTTATTATTGTTATTATTGTTATTATTTTGTACTTAAACTATTCCATGGATGAGACTTCAACAGTCGAGCTTAGAGATCCTGGAAATTTTCTTCGCAGCTTCACAATTCCCAGATAAATTTTCCTTTTGCTTCTTTATGTCTGTAAACAAAAAGAAAAGAAAAGAAAATAGTATATATTTGTCCAACTACGACCAATTAGTAAGCATCTCACATGGGATAATATTTAAGAACAACTCATAAATTACATCATCCATGACAATGTCGATAGCTAACGCGTCCGTTTATTATATATTACTGTCATGATCCAAGGGTAACATCTTATTATTACACGTACCCCGTTTCCCATCTGTTCTCATTAATTTATTTATATAATATAATACTTTTAAAATCATCATATGAATCATACACGATTGAAGAATGCTATAAAGTTTAAAGAATTAAAGCTGATCTGTTTCTGAAATATCTTTGTTTGACCGATATTATAATTAGCTCTGGTGTTCTCTTAGTTTATTTGGATATGAGAAAAGAATATTGTATATAATATCATATATAATAATATTTACACATAACTTATTTTATTACAATATATATTTTAAAAACACACTTCAAAATAAAATAAAATAAAACTATTTTTTTTCTTCTTTTTTTTCTTCTAATTATATCAAACATCATATCCTATGGCATGTCTCTCTTTCTTCGTATTCTCTTTATTGTACACAATGGGAAGTTTCTCTTTTATGGTCCATATATGCTGGACGTGAATAACTTAATTATAAGGAGTAACCTTTCTGGTCACTAGTCATAACTAACGCGTTTGATCCTTCACCAACCAATACAAAAGCTATGAAACGTCACCTTATCTTTTGTCTCTCTCGTAAATCTTCTCCTATATAGTTTTGGCACATACAAAAAAGACACGACAGTCTCATAGGATTCCGGTTAGTAGTTATTAGTGTTTCATATGGAGAAACTCTCAGAGGAAAACCAAAAACAAAACCAAAACCAATTTTCAGCGACAAACTCATCTCCTCTTTACGATAACAGTGAGTTGTGGGATTGTGGCAGCACACTGTATGACTCGTTCGAACTCAACTCCTTCAAACGCCAACTCGACTCAGCTATAGCAAATTCCCCTAGAACCCTTTCCATGTCTCATTTACCAGAACGTCGACGTTTACCACTTGCACCAAATTCATCGGTCATGCCCAGAAAGTCCTTCAACATCTCTCGCTCCTTTCAGAAATTTCTTCGCTCCGTTTTCAAGTCCAACAATAAATCCACCACTGCTAGTTTCCAAGGAACAGACAAATACTCCAAAGAGAGTTTCTACGTTGTTTATGATAAGTCTGGACCCGTTCTCTCCACCATTCCCGAAGTTCCAGAATTTGAGATTGGTGCACTTTCGCCGGAGATCTCTTCCTTGGTCAGAAGGTCAGCTTCCGAGCGGTTCACTGCCACCGCAATCGGTGTTTCCTGCGCTTAGGAGATTACGGATTTTGTTTTAGACGTTAATAGTTAATCTATTTTTTAAATTAGCGTTGTCTTGTAATCAATTACTAGCATATGTGAATTAGCGTGAAGAAGAATGTTACTGTTTTAAATACATAGCTTCACGGTGCAATTCTTGTTTAATCTTTCAACTTTGAAGTATTGGCGACGTTGGAATCTGCAACTTGGACGAATATATGTGACATTTAATGAAAATAAATACTTTGAAGTTAACGTGACTTTTTCTACAGGTCCACAAAATTAGATAAAAAAGGACTACAAATGCAGATGGAGTTCAAAATTTAAAATAAGCATATTATTGCTATGGTTGGCTCAATATTTGAAATGACATTAATTTCACACCATAACATCCACAGCATCTTATGTTCTCATTCAAAAAATAAAAAATAAAAATCAAAAGAACAATATTGAACGAATACTACGGTTATATCAATTGAGCTTTGAAATCGATTCGGATGAATAAATGAGATATTTAATTTAAAATATGATGTATAATTATAACTAATTAACGATTAAAAATTAATGAATGAAACTTTAGTATATAATTTCATGATTTATCATAATATTTTTGTGTGTAAAATTTATTTTATATGAATTTTAAATTAAATAATTAAATGAATGAAATTTATATTTAATATCACGTAAATTTCAAATACTAAAGTACATTTATGAGCATTAAAAAATTTGTATAGTAGCACTATTTTATCTCGTCGTGAATATCAGATGGGTGTGCAGGCATGGGGCCATTCCGCCATGACTATCCATGCTGGTGTGGTGTTCGAATTTCGAACAGTGGAGCAGATCTAGAGTAGTAATTTTGATGGGAACTCATATAAATGCAAAGATTGGACCAGCTTACATGTTAATTTTCTGAATTAAGAGGTAGGGCCATGGAGTTCTTCCATGGACCGTAGTCGTAATCGAGTGTAGGTTCGTAATTAATTCAGTGGCAACATCTGTTGAGAACTTGGAGTGAGTTTTGAATCTTTATTCTTATTTGTATTTCTTGCTCATAATAGAAATTCTATAACGTTTATATTCTTACCACAATTTTATTTAATTTATTAAACCTTATTAAAAATCATAAAATATTATAATAGTTAATATATAAATAATATTAAAGGTCATTTTTTAATAAAGTTTATTATTTATTAATTTTTTATTATATTTACTTTTTGACATTTATTAAAAAATTAAATATAAAATTAGACATAAATAGAAAGTCTTATTAAAACTATCTTACTTTTACTACGTTTTTTGTTTTGGGTCGATATTTTTACTACGTTAAATGAGCCTAGATATGTTGTGTTTTGAACTACAAATACGTATGTTATTTTATTTTTTTAAAGCTTACACCTCTTGTTATGATAAAGTTTTTTTTATTAAATATAATTTTTAATATATATTTAAAGACATATAATAGAAACATAATAAATAATATTTATTATTAAAAAATAATGGTTAATATCAATATGTTAAAATTTATAATTTATAATAAATAATTTCTTATGTATTCTTAAAAATGTGTATCTAAGAATATATATTTATTTATTTATTTATAAAAACTAAAATCGTAGAAAACATCTTCTATTCCAATTTTCAATTTTTCCTGACTAAAATATTGCCTTTGTTAATTATTTTTTGTTTTTAAAAAAGTAATAAAAATTATCATAAGGCACTTTATAAATAAAATTTTAATCTTTATAATTTACATCACATGTTTAGTTTTAATTCTTATACTCGAGTTGCTTTTTATTTCTATAGTTAAAAAAAATACTTTTATCCCCATTACCAATAATATATCAAAACATGTGTTTTGAAAGATATAAACATTCAGAGTAATGTATTGTATATTGAAAGGAATAAAATTTAAGGCACTAAAATAAATTTATAAAATTAAAGTTATAAAACTATAAGGTACAAAAGCCAAAGTGTTAAACTATAAAAAGTAAAATTAAGATAAATTATATAACTAATAATGCATTTAAACTAAAAAAATATTATACTCTACCTATTTGAGTATATCAATTTTCAAAGCAGGATCCTTTTTAATATCCTCTAATCACTCAACGATGTGGAAAGTTGTAGGAAAAAAAAAACGCGCAGAGTGTTAGGCCAATAAAACAGTCGCTTGAGAAGTTGAGATAAAACAAAATATACGTTTAACAAATATAACTTATCTTAATTTAAATAATTATAATAAAAAATAAGTATTTATTTAGCCTGTCAATTATAATTTTGACAGCAATTTCATCCGAACAATTCAATACCAAATTTGCTAATTTGCTTCATAGAATATTATTTTAATATTTTTTATTGATATTAATTTTTAGAATCAAATTTAAACGATTAATAGTAATAAATATTTTAAAAAATATTTTTTATTTGTCATTGATATTTAATATTAATAATTTACGTTAACAAAATTGTTATTTTAATATTTGTTATAAATATTTTACTATATCTTATGTTTTTAATATTAATTAAGTATTATTTAAAATATTCTAAGACTAACGTCTCACGTATAATTAATCAAATATAAAAAAATTATTTAATTTAAGATAAGAACTAGTATGTAATTTTTTAAAATGAAAAATTATATTTCTAATAAAAACTACTTTATTTAAATCATTGATGTAAATATCTTCAAAAGATATATATTTAAATTATATTTTTTTTTAAAACAATATTTAAATTATACTTGAAAATTTATTTATATGAAAAGATTATTGTAATATATTTTGTATTGGATACCGATATAGTTTATTTATATTTTATATTTTTATTTAAAGCCAATTTGGATGAAAATTGGAAATTTGGAATAGCGTTACCCCCCAACTGAACAGTATACCCCAGTGGCATGTTAAACCCCAAAAACAGTGTTTAGGTTTGAGGAGTTTCACGGAAAGAGATGGCGAAGGAGTTATTGACGCTCGATAATGGCACAACATGCACTTCATGGAACTACTCTTCTACCAGACTCGCTGCTGGTTCCGTCGATGGCACGCTTTCGATCTTCGATTTCCCCGACCCACCCTCTTCCTCCCTCCGCTCTTCTTTCAAATCTAGGGTTAGTATCGATACTCACATTATTAATATTTTGTATTTATTTACAAACACCAGTTATTGTTCATTTTTATATCCTCGCCTGTTTTTATTCTCTGTATGATTTCTATAGTCTGTATTTATTTTCCCCTGAAACTGTGAAGGTTCTGGAAGGAAACATCGTCAAGATTGTTTGGGTTCCGCCAGAATATGGCGATGCAGTTGCGTGTATTTCCGCTGATGGAATTGTGTCATTGTGGGAGGAGGTTGTGGAAGGTATCATTCATTCTGTTACTTGCTAAAATTCGTTGATTTATTTTTTAAGTAGTTCAATTCGCTCAATGCTGAAAGCCCGAAAATTAAATTTATGTGTAGATTCACAGCCTCTTCAGTGGAAGATTTGTAGAAGCTTTGGAAACAGTTCAAGCAAAGTCCTTGATGTTCAATTTGGAATCTCTTTGACTAGTTTGAAAATGGTGAGTTTTAGTGCTGCTAACAATTCCATTAAATATTTATTCTGGAACTATATTTCTTAAATCTAATTTTCAAATAGCCATTCATAATTATAGTCATCTGTTTTCCTGATGCAATTTCACATTTTTCATCTATCACCTTGACAGCACTCTGCTTGCTTTTCATGTGCAATCCTGGAAGAATGCATGAAGTTAATATATCAATGACTTACTCTTTTTCACTTACTTTTTTATGAATATTAAAGGTTGCCGCATATGCAGACGGTAATGTACAAGTTTTTGAGCTCTTGGATCCCTTGGAACTGAAAAACTGGCAGCTTCAGGTGAAACTAGCATGTTTTACTTTACATATTTGTCAAATTATACCTTCTCTTTGAGACTTGTAATGTGATACTAAATTTTCTTATTACTAGAATACCCACTTATTTTCTATGTTGTTCATTCCCATTCTAGGCTGAATTTCAAAATGTTATTGAGTCAGTATCTGCATTTGGAAAGGCTACGTGTCTCTCTGCATCCATATCTTGGAATCCACAAAAGGGTGGAAACCGGGAATCCAGCTTCCTTATAGGTTTTAATTCAAATACATCAGAGCTTAATTCTTCCAAGGTAATTTTTGTCTACAGTTTTGCCCTGTTATTTTATCTTGATTTATTGTTACTGTTCTATGGTATGATTATTGCATTCTAGACTTGCCTCTTCATCTCTTTGAATCGTGCATAACCTTGCAAATGCTACAAACTGTGACAATGGGGAAGATTTCAGTATTTTTAACGACAGAAAAATAGTTTTCAACATTTTCACTTTTCCACAGGTATGGGAATTTGATCAAGCTCATCAAAGATGGCTTCCGGTGGCAGAATTGGCACTTCCTGAGGACAAGGGTGATCAGGTTTATGTTGTTGCATGGGCACCAAATATTGGCAGGTAAATATTTGCAAAAGTTTAGAGATCTGTCAATCACTTTTAATAGCTTGGACTTCCATATCGAGCTTGTCCTGGGTTTCATGTTAATCAACACTAAGGAGGTTCGTTCTACTTAGCAGTGGTAGTTATTTACCAGGGTGAATGAAACTGTTCAGTTACTATGCATATATTTATAACTGGTTTAATTTTCTGGTAGACCATATGAGATCATTGCTGTTGCAACACCCAAGGGACTTGCAATATGGCACCTTGGATTGAACCCTGATCATAATGGGAGACTCCCGGTGGAGAGAGTTGCACTATTGTCAGGTCATGAAGGCATGGTACGTCTTATTTCAGAGACCATTTAGATGTTTTATCATGGTTTTTGGTAGATTATATAAGAAGGCAATGGTAACTGGATTTCTTGGGTTAAATGTTGTTTAGGTGTGGCAAATGGAGTGGGATATGAGTGGAATGACATTGGCCACTACAGGTCACGATGGAATGGTCCGATTGTGGCAGTCTAATCTCAATGGCGTTTGGCATCAGCAGGCTGCGTTTGAACCCTCTTCTTAGCCACTCGTCTACTATTATACCCAGCCGATTTATGTGGCAAACGAATCTCTTAAATATTTTGGGCTCTGGAGAGGGGTTCAAGGGATCTCTGTCTGCTTTTTAGTAACATCCGATATCTAAACCTCAATTCAATTTGTTGTAACTTGTAAGTAGTAAGCCGACGTGGGTTTTCTTCCTTTTTTCCCCACCAGTATTAATTATTGATTAGGATGACGTGTATTCTGTTGTAGTTTAGGTGGACCAAGATACTCGTGTTACATAAAGGCTATGATGCAGATGGCTTTCCTTTACTATCTCACCCAAGTATCCTGCTGTTTGTACAAATAATTTCGCTTTCAAGTAGCTTAAGATAAGATTTTCATTTGCTCTATATTGAAAGAACACGCAGTTCTTTATCAAAAGGAGCTAATGGTTCCTTTTTATCTTCCGTTGCGATGTTCTGCAGCCAAGTCGAATGGTTCATAACATTTGCAATTATGCCTAACCGGTAAGAGTTTGCCACATAGACAACCTCTGCCGGGTCTGTGCGGCTTGTAGACAAAAGACGCTATCACCTTTTGTGACATGCGCTTCTACCCGTTGGCAGTTTAACAGATCATGTAATATCTTACGCTATGTATGGAGGTTTCCGAGATAATGAAATAGAACAAAATGGCATTGGGTGAAAATAAATGTAACGGGTTTTTCTGAAGGGTGAGTAAAAGGGCTGTGGAATATATTAGAACGAGAGATATGTTAATGATTTTTTTGTCACTTACTATCTCATTGTGTAATCAGCTCAAAACTGGGAGAAATTATTTTCTTTTCTTTTTGTTAGAGGGGATGAATTCTTTTTTTGTTTTGATCCAACGAGAGGATAAATTGTACCAGGCTTTTGATGTTCAGATTTGCTCCATTTTTGTGCCTTGCAGCACTCACTTTCTTTTAATTGAACGGGCCCGGTCTCTCAAATAAGTCTCGTTGTCATGTGTATTTTGGGCCCAAAAACGCGATTGGTTCTTCATGTAGGGAAAAAGAATTGACCCAAACAAAAGTATGGAAAAAGAGATTAAAACATTTGAAGATTGACAATAATTTCTGAACCCTCGCCGAAGTTTTCCCTCAATCATGCTTGATTCTTCTCCGATTCTGCATCATGATCATACATCAACCCTGCCCATAATTAGAAGGCGGGGGGCGGGGGTTTGGAGTTAAATGTAAAGCTGTGATTGTCTCAGCTTAGAGTTTGAGTGAGAACAGATATGGATACACGACTAGTTTAGTTTAGCATCCCTATAGAGGCACAGTATAAGCAGAACATTCAATTCTGGCGTCGATTGAATAAAAGTATATTTATTCTCAATTTATTATAATCTAAACTCATTGATAATTTTACAGTAATTTACCTTCTACTCACTTTGAAAATAATCTTAGGATTAAGCAGGTTTGTCCAAACCTTTCCTTAAACAAGATAGCGACTTGCCTTTCTACGTTTTTAAAGCATGCCAAAATTTTTAAACATTATCGTCAGATTGTTGAAATGTGCTTTAATTGATTACTCTCAGCTTTTATTTTTCCACAAAAGATGTATATTGTGCGTTCTTTATACAAACGCAAATTTGGAGCATTCGTATGTCTGAAAGAGTTGACTAATAAAAAAAGTATGTCTGAAAGAAAATCCTAGTACGCTAAAATGTAGCGTTTATATTATGCGTCTGTTTTAAAATAATAATTATTTTAATGTTTTACCTTATCTTAAATTATTAGTCTCATCATAGTATAAATTTTTCTAATTCAAATTAATAAAATTGAAATCTGTATATTTATTTTCCAAAGTAAAAAATTAAGTAATAAAATATATAATGAAATCTTATTAACGAGTATTGTGAGGACAATAATTACAAAATCAATATAGAATATTTTAAATTAAATTTACTTTAAATATAAATTGAAAGTTATAATAAAGTTCTTTAATATATAATATTCTGCATTTAATTTCTTTTAAATTATTTAAATTTATAAATATTTAGTCACCTTATTATTTTAAATGAAGGAAATACCTATGCATGCATTTATTAGTGCTATGTATCATTGCTGGTCCATTATTCTGTTTGAAGTATTAAAAATTGATATGGAACGTAATCTAATATAATATTATTGTTTTTATATTTTATTTATTTTTAAAAGAGTTGTAAATAAGAATGGTTGAGGCATCCTTTTCTTTTAAATGGTAACCAAACATAGTACACGTAGCATGACATTTATTATCTAGTGCAAATAGAAGAAAAACCCCGAAGCATTTAATTGAAAGGGAAGTTTGAATAAATTCCCTCTGTTTCGAGTGAGAAATTAAAATCGAAAATCGGAATATTGGAGGCTGATGTATCGGTTGAAACGATCCAAGCAACATCAGAATCTGGATATGGCTTGTCAATGAGAGATGGAAAATAACTTATTGTTTCTGGCGTGTGTGGAGACAAGAAGTTGCTAATGCTACTCAACATAGGATCATTCTCAGGGACCGAAGAAGGAAGCAAGGTGTGGTTATCTTGTGTCATGCATCCGAATGGATATGCCATTTCTTGATTAACAGTTAAAATGTTGCTGAAATTTGTTGGGTTTTCTTGTGATGGGTGTGCATGGTGAAGGTGAACGACGTCACTATCATAACCATGCGTTTTCTCTTGTATGTCTGGTGACTTTGGCGGCAAAACGGCATCGTTTCCCTGGCCACAGGTGTGGCTTCCTCGGTAAACTATGTCAAAGATAGTGGCGTCTTCATCTGATCTCTGTACGTGCTTCGTGGCACAACAACCTCTAGTGTTGCGGAACGTGCACCTATAATAGTTTCTGCAAATGTAACAATAGATTGTTAATTAATTATATTTGATGATAATTGTGATTGTTTCTTCTATCAAGCTCAAGTCCTCGCACGAACCTGGGATATTTTGCACCAAGGATGTCTTTCTGTCCATATTTTCTCCAATTGTACCCATCTTCATAGGGTCCTTCAACGCCACTCTCGATCTTCACTTTAACATGATCCATCCATTCTGGCACCATTTTTCTGAAACCAATTTTCACACACACAAAAAAGGATCCCATAAGTGTTAAGATATATATAAACGAATAGACATAACCGATGCTAGCTAATTTTTAAGAAGTTGATTTATGCTATTAAAGTGTAAAATTAATGAACCTTTTCTTTGGATTGTGTTTAAGCTCCTTGACGCCCCCTGGAACGTTTTCCCTCGGAGAACTTCTTTCGACGGATACTGGGGACTCTGGTGACGAAGTTTTAGTTGCATGTTGCATGGTGTGTGGCTTGGAAATAAATGCATTCCATCTTAGAATTAGTAAAGACTTGTCATAACAAGATAATATCCTTTGTAAGAGGGAGTCTCGAGTGTCAACTGAAGAGGGTATCTTCAAGTCTGCTTCCAACTTTCTTGCTATCTCCAACCCCTGAATTAGTTCATTGACGAGTGCTTTCTGTTCCCGATTCCTTTCACTTTCCATGTTCTATCTTATCTATTACCTCACAGTGTGATTGAGTATGGTGGTTCTTGATATCTAGTTGTGGCCGAGGGCAATCTAATTGATGTTTAAAGAAATGAATCCTTTGGGTTTTAAGGTTGCAAATGAGTCCAAGTTTGACTGAGAAAGCGACTTTTTGAGGTAAGACTGGTAATTTGTTAGTGAGAAAAAGAATGCTGACCAAGTCCAGTGTTGGAGATTGAGAAATATGATTGGTCCTCACTAATTTGATTTTGCAATATGTAAGGAAGATTTCAAGGTCAGAGTTTGGAATGATAGCAAGGAATCATAGAATTTCCAAACACGCGTTGTCGCTTTGATTCCTTTACAGCTCTTCCCCCGTCCTTTTCTTGATGTATCATCCTCTAGAAGAGAAAGCATAAATAATAATAATAATAATAATAATAATAATATAACGATTTCACATCTTTTATATACCCTGGGTTTTAAGACAAAAAAGTTATTATTATTTTATACTCTTTTTTTCTACATAATGTTTATTTTTCCCCTTTTTTTTAATCACTGTATTTATTTTTAAAAAGTTTTATCTCTTTTTTTTTTCAACTTATTTTGCACATTAATAATTGGGTGTGAAATGAGTATTATTCAAGGAAAAAAAATATAATATGGGACGAGCATATTATTTAAATAATGATTTTTATAATTTTCTATTATATCAATTACTTTATCTTATATTTCTCTTTCCTCTTAATTTTCTTTCCATTGTATAAAGTTTCGTACAAAATTTATTTACAAATTTAATTTCCTTTATTGAGATGATAAAAAATATATATTTTACACCAGTGAAAATATTTAAAGGATAAAAAATTAAGATTGAAATGGATAAGATTGAGAATGTTTGGGGATTGACAAATATTACTATTTTTTTTAGTTATTCATTTTTTACGGATATTTTAATTTTACTTATCTGTCTTTTATTCAAAACTTTAAAATAATATTTATCATTTTTAATTATTCTGACATTTTATTTAATTTTTATATTTTTATATATTCATAACATGAAAATTATTATTATTATTATTATTTTGGAAAGTTAAAAAATATAATTTTAATATAAATAAGAGATATTAAATGTGTTTCTTATAATTTTTATACCATCTTTAAAAATGGAAGGGAGCAATATTAACTTAGCTTAGTGTGAAAAAAGTCATTAACAATTTTATTATAATAAAATTGGTTCAAATAATACATATTTGATTCTTTATAAGTAAAGTCTCTAAATTTGAATTTAGTGTATAAAAAAAATTCTTACTGAAAGAGTTAGCTTAGCATGATGTAGATGTTTCCAATATATATTCCCACAAAAATATGCATTATGGATATATGTTCAAATATATTAAATATCACTATATACCATTACAATACCAATAGACACTCATAATATATATGAATAACTTGTTTATTACAAAAATTATACCAACAAAAATAATGTAACACCTCATTTTTGTCTGTTAATAATTGACTTTCCTTTATTGCAGTGTTTTAATTTGTTAAAGGGCAAGGTGAAATCTTGTCAGGTTTAATAAAACGGTAGGAATGCAAGTCTAATAATTCTTATACTTTGTCTGAACTATATATAACAGTAAATTTAATTGTTTTATTCGTAAATTAATTAATTTAGTATCCTATCACGACTATACGGCCTTTATTTATTAATATGAACGTCATAAATTTTCAAATTAATTAATGTAGTACTCCGTCAATGGCGAATAATGTCAATTGAAAAGCGTGAAGCATGTTGAGCGGAGGGAACCGAGGCCTATGTGAGAGAACTATGTACAAATTTTTAAATAATTATAATCTTTATAATTAAATTTTTAACTCTTTTAATTTTGATTATTTATATGTGATTATATTATTTAAATTTACTTTTCTATTTTTATGTAATAATATTTCTTCTCACTATATATATATATATATATATATATATATATATAATTATTCATTATTATGTTTAGATATATTGAGTGATGAGATGAAAGGGAGAAAAGGTGATTTTTCTAATATTATTTCCATGCTTGCTGAAAAAGAAAATAATGATAATTAGAGTTAACAAATTGTTTTAATATCGATCATCATGCGTAACCAAATCTGATATGTTTAATTGTTTCATGTAAGTACTAAGCATAACAAAAGATTGAATTATTGTAAAATGAAAATCGAGAGCATCACGAAGGATCAAACATAAACGCATATCTTATTTTTTTTCTCCTTTTTTTGGGGTATAGACTAATGCAAACCGTTTCCATATGGAGCTTCTGTGAGACATTCATGACGAATTAGCTAATGGAAGTGTACGTTCGACGAGAGGGAATACAATGGGATATAATAATTCTACAAAATCCAAAACAAATTAAATTTATATACCAGAATTATGCCCTGGAAAATATATATATATATATATAAATCACCAGTCTTTGGTTTTACGTTCATTTCTTTTAACAGAGAAAGCATCGCCGTGTCTCATAATCCAGAATCTCTCTATTTCTTCTGCTTTTCGACCTGGAATGCGACCAGCTATCAAATTCCACCTGTTCCATTGTAAACCATAAATTACTTATACAGCAAGAAATTCGTATAGAATGCTAAGAAGTATCCTTAAACAGCTTGATAGTATAAAATGTAAACATCAATCAAGATAAAATATCAATGAAAACTTCAAACTTGATTCTTACTCCAGTCCCCAAAAAGCTTAGACGAGAGAAAGCCGCAACCAACTGGGTGCGCTATTCATGGTCATGATCGATTGGACAGAAATAGAAATTAAGGATAAGAAGCAAAGGAAATTAACTTTGTTCAATTTTACCTTACAGTTGAAATTAACGAAAAAAAAAATACTGGAATGGTACTAATCTATTCTTATGAAAAATACTTGTTAGGTCAAGTCTTGTATTTATATAATTTTTTATATAAATCTTTCACCTTTTTTTATTACAAAAATAATTGGAGCTCTTACTTTCTTTTTTTGGCCTTTTTTTCCTTCGTCCGCTCTACTCCAAAAAATGGGTGTCAAGGTACAGGTTTTCGGTCAATAAGGAAACTTTTTTACATTCAACCTCACTTTTGTCTTTAATAATGATTGTGGCCCACTGACAATTCGGTACAATAACTTTACTACCAAATAGTCAAAGTTCCGGCCAGATGGAATGTATCGCTAATCTTATTGAAGGGTGAATTCTACAATTTACCCAAAAGGTTTAAAGTGCATGCCCGCAATTAGTTTCTAACCATGGATGCATCTAGTATTTTAATCAAATATTAATTTGATTTTTAAATCCATAAATGAAAAACATAACTTAATCTAAGGTTAAAATTCTAGGTGCATCCATGTACAATTAACTTTTTGGATGCATGGTAGAAAGCCTACCCTCGTTGCAGTACCTCATTCCCACTAAAATAAACCGAAATGATAAAGAAATGCTGAAAAGTATTTGGTTACACCTCCAATGGTGCTCAAGATCACCCGGAATGGCCTATATGCCAATTAGATATCGTATATCTCGTGTATAAGAAGCACAGGTATTGATTTATTTCGAAACACGGTAAGGTGATACATATTATATATATAACATACACTCTAAGTATTCTCATATCATATGCGTTGCAGTGGAAATAGTTCTACTTAATTTGAACCTTGAGATGAGCAGATGCAGAAACTAAAATCCTTGTTAAACTGTATATAAATGCAATTAATATAGGGGAGTTTTGATTGATTAAGAAAAAAAAATGCAAGGAATTATAAACGAGAAGGGAACGAATATATATATATGCATGTATATCCATAGATATATCCTTACCTATCACCAACTAGCCCGTACATCCTGCGAATGAGATCCTCCTCTTGCTCGCTCATGTCTATGAACTCCCATTCATTACTGCTCACTTCTGCACCCGTAAACATTTATTTCAAAAAATCATATATATGAGGTGCGTTCAGTTATTCATTATATGATCATACATTAAACGCAACCTTCGATCAATCTCTTAATCATTACATGTCTAAAGAAAAAGCCTAAATCAGATATACAATTAAAAAGATGGAAACATAGAAACAACTTATCAATAACGATTGAAAAACTGCAAAAGGCAATAACATATCTAATTAAAGTGATGAAAATGGATGCATATATGGGATGGGATGTAACAAAAACCTTGAGAGCTTGTCGTTGAGGTTGTGGACATCTTTGCCTTCTTTTGGGGACGCTGATCAACTAGTTGTAGAAACACGGAGCGGCGCAGGCAACTTGGAGATGTGAAGATTATATAATTTGTCTTGAAAATGTGGAAACATAAGAAAACTTTTACGTCTAGCTCTGCCTGTGGGTCAGTCAATCTAATGTTAAATATAATATTAAACCTTCTAGAGGATATGTACACAACACCTAGGCTTCCTTATTTTGTTTAATAATATTCCACGATTTCCAGCATCATGTTGCTATGGGTCCTTTTTTAAATATTTCCATTTTAAAGAAAGGAAAATGATAGATCCACTTATATATATATATATATAACAAGAAATACAGATTCTTCACAAAATAGCGCACGTACGAGTGAACACATCAAGCAAGAGAAGCAAAATTTTGGGTGGATTGTTTTTTTGCTTTTGATCTAAAATACCTGTAATAATCAATGAGATTTCTGTATTTATTTTATGTGCACTTATATTATATATCTAACATTTGTTAAAATAAAAATTATCATGGTCATACATGCATGTATACGGTATATGCCATTGTACCACTATTTGGTATTTGTCTAGATAAACGAAAAAAAATGATTGTAAAGAATTTGCTGGCAACGAATTAATTTTAATTTCCAAGGTTACCCCTCAAATCTGCTAGGAGGATATTGGATAATTTGTTGGATTTTCTTATGACAGAGGGTAGAAATGTCAAAGTGTATTTAAAATTAATAAATACTGAGGACTGCTTGGTATACATCACATGGTATGAACGGCTGGTACAAAAGGATCGATCACCAAGCAGTTTGACTAGTAGATATCTCTTTTTGTGTTCATTTAAATGAATGGATCGAGTTATTGAGGAATTAATCATAATTGTGCTTTCAGTTCATAACGAATCTAATTATTAAATTTGGAGAATTGAAGCACTATTACTGAGTCGCGCAACCGCTGACGTTGAATACTAAGAGGCATTAAATTAGGTTGAATGGTTGGCTTAACTAAATCTAGAAACTTATTATAATAAGGACTCTGATTAAGAATAATGTGCACGGGCGTCAGCATAGATAGTGATTTCTACTCCCTTGTTGATGTTGATGGTCCATTTATAAGGTTCACAGATTTCTAGAAAACCATGGATTAGACTTGACTAATCAGCCACGAAGATTTTGTTAACAAAAGATATAGTGTATAAAACGTTAGATATGCGCTTGATTTAAATAGTTTTTGAAATATTACATCAGTAGTTTTATTATGCTTTAGATAAAGGTTCTTAAAGAGTATTATGAGTAACCTCGTTACTCGACCAAATAATCTTATCAAAGGAAAACAGTTGACTATCTTAAAACAGGCTATTATCTGGGCGTTAAAATCATCATTACTAACAAAAATTTGTAACTTGAGGGTATGTATTTTCCTTACGCAGTTGAGTAATTTTGAAAATCGTCTAAACACTTCTAGAATATTTTCAGTAAAGTCAAAACATAATCAGTTATACCCTCTAATTTGGCTGACAAACGGAGAAGGTTAATTAACAATGAGCATTTAAATCATCAGCAAAATAAATACACATCCAATATATATATATATATAAAGATATGATCCATTGACATTAGGTATAAGTCACTACACTAGAATGGAGATCTGAGAGCAGTTTCATTTTAAATTAGAGAATAGTTAAACAACTGCTCTCAAAAGTTAATATTGAAGAGCGGTTGCATATGGAACTGCTTTTTAAAGTATAAGTGTAAAATTAGAGAGCGGTTCCACGTGGAACCATTCTCCAAAGTATAAATATAGATTGCGAATCTGAAATTTGAAATTGGTTTCTTTTTTAGTTTTCTGCTACAAAGTAAAATTAATTTATTATTACGTTTAAATTAAAATTTGAAATTGTTTTCTTTGTAAGTTTTCTTAATTTTTATCATAGATCAAAATTGAATCTTGAGTTTATACATTTGGTGTTAACCAAACAGTCCACATCTACATGAATCAAACAGAAAAAAAGAGAACAAATTAGTAGGATAATTTTTAAAGTTAGTAGAGAGAGAGAAATATAAAGAAATAATGAATGATTCACCGTTAACAAAGAGAAGAAAAAAAAAAGAGAATGAAGAAGTACCTACAGATGTGGCAAAAAACTAATTTGTTAGCGCAGAAAATATTAAGAGAGCATGTTAATAAAGAATAAAGAGGTAGCTACAAATATAAAAAAAATTAATTATTAGCACAGAGAAAATGAAGAGAGCAGGTTAATAAAAAATAAAAAGGTACCTACAAATGTGAAAAAAAATACCAATTTATTAGTAAGAGAAGACAAAGAGAGCAGGTTAACAGAAAATATAAAGAGAATATAAGAGAGCGGAGAAGACGAACAAAACTTACAGTAAAAGAGACTAATTTTGTTAGTTAAGAAGAAGAAATGCATTGAGCATATTTTATTTATAAACAGCTTTAATGATAAAGAAACGCTCTCCAAGAATGACTTTAAGAGAACGATTCTTTATTAATCGCTCTCCAATGTTGTTCTGAGAGCGGTTAACAAAGAACCGTTCTCTAAATATATAGTTATAAAACAGTTTTTATTAATCGTTGATTAAGTTAGCACTCCAAAAACTTATTTCTAACGTAGTAAATAACAAGTAACTTTTCAACTGTTAAATTATTAATTTATATAGTCAAATAACTCTAAAAAAAACTTACACTTGATCTATTAATCGAGTTAAAAAATAAAAAAAAAACCATTTCTTGCGTATAGAAAAGTTTGGTCTCCTACGTAAATTAAAAAAACCATTTCATTTAGAGTTAAAAAATCGAGATTCTTGCGTGAACTTTTAACTTTTAAATATAATATATGTTGCTTGATTTTATAATAGTAACAGATAAATATAAATAAAACATAAGAAAACGTGACCGTTAAAAGTAGATATATTTTTTTCATTACACAAAACATTTGACTTCTACTTTTTAAAATATCTTGTAAACAATGAGAAAACATTTGTTAAGAAGATGTACATTTTTTACACAAAACAAAATATATTAAAATCCATTTTCTATAAAATAGACAAAGGCTTTTTACCTGGATGTATCCCTATCTGTAAAATAGACAAAGGCTCTTTACCTGGATGTATCACTATCTTTGCTACTTTGAAAAAGGTGGGGAAAAATCGTTGTCAAAAACCTCGGTGAATTCTACGTTTGACCAATTATTTTCCTATGAGAAACAAATTTGATCACGGTCGAATGTTGGAATAATCAAGTGAAGCTTCCACGTAGAAAGTGGATAGCTAGCTAGGTACAAATTAAGCTTTTATTTTGCATTGAACGATCATGCTGATTATGCCCCACTGTTGAAATTGGATGTCCTACTCGTCGATCCTCATTCAAACAGCTACCTTGGTAAAATTAAGACCTAATTCAAAATACTTCTATTCGGGTGGGGTAGGGAGTTCATCAATATCCACCTAATCAACTCCACATAATCCGTGTTCTAGAAGGAATATGCAATAAAAATTTACGTTAATTATTGAAATTAAATTACAATTTAAATTGAAAAATATCACGAAAAACATTTAACTTACACAAGTTATGTATATTTTCTCTCTTTTGATATACTAGTATATATTTTTTTATATCACTCCTTGTTCAGTCCAGTCATGCCCCTTCCTCCCTTAGACCCCAACCAATGCAAGACTATATGAACACTCCACGTTGTCTTTTGCTTTTGAGCTATTGAAATTAGGGTTTTCCCAGTCGAACACCACACCATTAGCTACATCTGGTTTTGGTGACAACCATCCCACCTTCAGCCACGTCCGTGTTCTAATTTCGATTTCATTGATCTTTTAAAAATATCTCTAAAACTAAATAAATAATTTAGAGTATGTTTAACAATCTTGGTCAATAGATTAAAAATTTAAGATGTTTGATGAAAATAAAAAGAAAAAATTATTTGTAATTTTAGGAAACTACCCAAAATAATTTTTAGCTTCTAAAAGTTAGTTATCGATAATTAATTCTCATATATTGTTCCTCTTATTCTAAACATATATATGAGGGAAATTTTTTTAATTTTTTATTATCTAAATATTTAACTGTTTAAGTATTTAGTTGATGATAAGTAAACAAAAATTCAATTATTTAATTAAATGATTAATGATAAATAAATGAATATGAAAAATGAGTAATATATATTTAATCTTAATATTAAACTAATATAATATTGTAGGTCTTCTTTTAGACATTTAACATAGCAAAAGTAATACTTTGACTCTTTAACGTTATTTCTTTTAGTTAAATTTTTTAATATTATTTTGATTTAGTCATTTAATTTTTAAACATCAACTATGTAAGCCTTATATGTTGGTTATATTTATATAGATTAATTATTGTTTTATTTTTATTTTCTCTTAATTATTATCATCATCATCATCTTGTTATTATTATAATTATTATTATTATTATAGAACTTGTTTATTTAAGATTTGAAAGTTACTTGATTAAAATAAAATAAAATAAAAAACTAAATTGAAATAACAAATAAGCCAAAGGACTAGAATTAAAAAAATATACATTAGAGGATCAAAATGGTAATAATAATCAAGAACCTAGATATTAATAACTTTAATCAAATTATAAATTTCCAAGTAGCTTCATAATTATAAGTTATAAGCTTATAGTTTTCAGTTAATTTTATTAAATATTTATATTTTCCCCACAGCATTTTATATGTAAAATAATGTTAAAATTAAATATATAATGATTAAAATGTATTGTTAATTAGTAACCTAGTGTTAAAAATAGTAATTTGAATTGATGAAAATATAGTTAATTAAATTTTACTAATATGTATACTTTATTTTTATATACCATCACAAACAAAAGTGAACCCTAACAGTGAGATGCCATATTTGCCTATGAATGTTATTATAACACTTAACAGTTAGTCCATATATAATATTAACATTTAACGATGGACAGCTGTATATATAAAGTGAAAAACAGGAAAACGGGGATAAGGCAAGAAAGG